TGGGCGAGCGGCGAAGGCGCCTTATATAGAAGATGCGGAGCGCGCCGTGTGCAGCGCGTGGGGCCGTGTGCAGCGCGTGGGGCCGTGTGCAGCGCGCCCAGGGGAGGAGGGGAGGGGGGTGCGACGGGGCCAGCGCGTGGGGCCAAGTGCAGCACCGTGGCCCAGTGGCGCCACACGGGGGAGACTCGGGGCCAACGCGTTGGGCAAAGCGGCAACTTTGCCGACGAGACGCAGGAATGTCGAAACCGCTCCCGGAGTGTCCCCCTGTTATTGTGTCGACGTTGCTGGGGTTGTACGCTCCCAAAGGGCCGTGCGGCCGATGGGATGCGTGAACAACGGTGGGATGTCGGTAATGTCGAGAGGAATGTGTGTTCAGGTGTGATGTGTGTTCAGGTGTGATGTGTGTTCAGGTGTGATGTGTGTTCAGGTGTGATGTGTGTTCAGGTGTGATGTGTGTTCAGGTGTGATGTGTGTTCAGGTGTGATGTGTGCGTTCTTAACGTTGTTATATGTCACTGTTTAACACCGCCTCCTTCCTATTTTGGTCTCCTATTATAAAAAAAAAAACTAAATACAGCGTAATTAAATTATAATTACAAATACAGTGCACACGGTGGTCCAGATTTCCTGTGACCCTTAATTAATTGACCCCTAACATTTTTTTCATTTTGCATATTAAGATCTGTTTTAAATAAACGTTACTTTCAAAATATACGTGATAAGCCACTTCGTTGAGCTGTCATTTGTGGCCAGGTCGCTTTTGAAAAAGAGATAATATCTCAGTGGGTCTATCTTGGTAAAATAAAAAATATTTTTTAGCTTATGAAGTTTTACAGAATTAAATGTGCGTCACAAGACATCTACACCACCATGTACAGTGAGGGAAAAAATAATTTGATCCCCTGCTGATTTTGTACGTTTTCCCACTGACAAAGAAATGATCAGTCTATAATTTTAATGGTAGGTTTATTTGATCAGTGAGAGACAGAATAACAACAAAAAATCCAGAAAAATGCATGTCAAAAATGTTAGAAATTGATTTGCATTTTAATGAGGGAAATAAGTATTTGACTCCCTCTCAATCAGAAAGATTTCTGACTCCCAGGTGTCTTTTATACAGGTAACGAGCTGAGATTAGGAGCACACTCTTAAAGGGAGTGCTCCTAATCTCAGCTTGTTACCTGTATAAAAGACACCTGTCCACAGAAGCAATCAATCAATCAGATTCCAAACTCTCCACCATGGCCAAGACCAAAGAGCTCTCCAAGGATGTCAGGGACAATATTGTAGACCTACACAAGGCTGGAATGGGCTACAAGACCATTGCCAAGCAGCTTGGTGAGAAGGTGACAACAGTTGGTGCGATTATTCGCAAATGGAAGAAACACAAAAGAACTGTCAATCTCCCTCGGCCTGGGGCTCCATGCAAGATATCACCTCGTGGAGTTGCAATGATCATAAAAACGGTCAGGAATCAGCCCAGAACTACACGCGAGGATCTTGTCAATGATCTCAAGGCAGCTGGGACCATAGTCACCAAGAAAACAATTAGTAACACACTACGCCGTTAAGGACTGAAATCCTGCAGCGCCCGCACATATACATGCCCGTCTGAAGTTTGCCAATGAACATCTGAATGATTCAGAGGACAACTGGGTGAAAGTGTTGTGGTCAGATGAGACCAAAATGGAGCTCTTTGGTATCAACTCAACTCGCCGCATTTGGAGGAGGAGGAATGCTGCCTATGACCCCAAGAACACCATCCCCACCGTCAAACATGGAGGTGGAAACATTATGCTTTGGGGGTGTTTTTCTGCTAAGGGGACAGGACAACTTCACCGCATAAAAAGGACGATGGACGGGACCATGTACCGTCAAATCTTGGGTGAGAACCTCCTTTCCTCAGCCAGGGCATTGAAAATGGGTCGTGGATGGGTATTCCAGCATGACAATGACCCAAAACACACGGCCAAGGCAACAAAGGAGTGGCTCAAGAAGAAGCACATTAAGGTCCTGGAGTGGCCTAGCCAGTCTCCAGACCTTAATCCCATAGAAAATCTGTGGAGGGAGCTGAAGGTTCGAGTTGCCAAACGTCAGCCTCGAAACCTTAATGACTTGGAGAAGATCTGCAAAGAGGAGTGGGACAAAATCCCTCCTGAGATGTGTGCAAACCTGGTGGCCAACTACAAGAAACGTCTGACCTCTCTGATTGCCAACAAGGGTTTTGCCACAAAGTACTAAATCATGTTTTGCAGAGGGGTCAAATACTTATTTCCCTCATTAACATACAAATCAATTTATAACATTTGTGACATGCGTTTTTCTGGATTTTTTTAGTTGTCATTCTGTCTCTCACTGTTCAAATAAACCTACCATTAAAATTATAGACTGATCATTTCTTTGTCAGTGGGCAAACGTACAAAATCAGCAGGGGATCAAATACTTTTTTTCCCTCACTGTATGCTGCATGTCGTGCTGCGTGTGTGCTGTATGTTGTGCTGCGTGTGTGCTGTATGTTGTGCTGTGTGTGTGCTGTATGTTGTGCTGTGTGTGTGTGCTGTATGTTGTGCTGTGTGTGTGCTGTATGTTGTGCTGCGTGTGTGCTGTATGTTGTGCTGCGTGTGTGCTGTATGTTGTGCTGCGTGTGTGCTGCATATTGTGCTGCATATTGTGGTGCATGTATGCTGCGTGTGTGCTTATTCAGGTTGCATTGACCGCCGAATACTTCCTGGACTACATCTTGAAGAGTTACGGGAACGGCTCAGTGCTCACGACCCAGGGTACAGCGCCGTCCGCCAAATGTTGCCGTCCAGGCCGATGACAATTCGCTTTTGTTCCACGTGGCCGTCCATGAATGACGTCACGCACCTAGGGGGGGGGGTCAGACATTTGTGACGATGTGTGACGAGGGGGGGGGGGTTTGAGAAATGTGACGTCACATCAACATGCGCAACTTTAAATAAATATAGACAACATGGCACATTAAATAGGCACTACAATGACAGCAGTGTAAAGCGATTTGAAGCATGTTTGATTTTTTTTGGGGGGGGGAGGGGGGGCAGAACTTTGTGACGTCATATTTGAGAGGGGGGGGTCTGACTTTTTGTGACACCGTGTGACGAGGGGGGGGGTGGGTCAAAAAATCGTCCAAAACCGCGTGACCTCATTTATGGACGGCCCCCAAGTAGTTCAAATCGGCAGGGCGAGTTAACGAGGCACCCCACGTTTCGGAGCAATTCGTATTTCGGCACGGACCCCCGATGATGCCGTCACGTGGTTGAAGGGGGGCGTTTGATGAACCCATCGCTACGGTGCATCTCGTTGTGTTTAGCTTTTATGTAACGACTCATTGCATTTTATATCCAGATATAAACATTGAAACATTATCCACGACTGCGTCACACAGCTATGCATTTAGAAGGTGCAGGTGCTTTGAATAGATCGTTTTGGTACTGTTATTCATCAGCATTGCACAAAGCACCTTGTACACATATATAACGTGTGTTTCCTTGCAGGACTGGAGAAAATTATGCACGACCTGGGTATTGGTGAAGAGCATCAGGAACATACGAGGCAAAGTCCATTGAATAAAAATGAGGTGGGAGCTCAAGTATATCCCAACAGACCGTACCACAGCACCCTCCGTGCCCGTGGTGATGTAACACCCACGGGGTGATCCTTCTTGCAGGTCTCAACCGCTTCGTGTGCCTTGTAGCGCCTCACCAGGGTCCCCTTGATCTTCTTGAAAGGATTCCCGCTGTTGTGGGTTACGTGGCGGTGGGCTGGCCACGGCCACGTTTGCGCGCCTGTTGCAGAGGTTTGCGGCTCAACACCGGCGGGTCGCCCTGGTTAATTAATGCCGTGGGTGTGGCAACCATGAAGTAAGCGCCATCTGCTTCACAGTTGACATTCAGGGCCCCCGCGATGTCACTTGAAGAAGAGTTGACCGTTGTGCGCCAGTGTCGTTGTCAACGTTTTAAAAGTTACCCACAAGTTGCTCATTGGGGATTCCACACAGCAGTAACAGTACGTAAAGTTCGTGGTCTGATCACGTCTGTGAAGGACAAGATTCCTGACATGCAATATCCCAGCGTCTACAAACTAAGCTGTATCTGCGGCAGCAGTTACATTGGATAAACTAAACGACGTCTCGGACCGTGTTCGTGAACACAAGGCAGATCTGAAACACGGCAGGACCAATACTTCTGCCGTGGCTGATCATTACTTTAGTGCGGCTGGCTCACGTGAAATTGATTTCTCTAAGACGATGGTACTTTGCAATCTGACTGGCTATCAACAAAGATTCATTCACGAAGCCATCCATATATACAGACACAGACACAATTTCAACCGAGACAACGGTTTTAAACTCAGCAATCATTGGAAAGATGTCATCAACCACTTTGGGTCATGATTTGATTTGTATTTTCTTGTCAACCTCTACCGTCAGCAGTGTGGGTGTGTGTAGCGAGGTGCAATGCCCCCCCACCATCTCGAACCCCCTCTCTCCCCCTATCTCTACCCCCCCTCTCCCCCTGTCTCTGCCCCCTCCCTCCCCCCCATTGTCTAACACACTTGGACTGCGCTCTCGCCTTCAGCTCCACCCCTATCTCTACTCCCCCCTCTCTCTCCCCCTATCTCTACCCCCTCCCTCCCCCCATTGTCTACACACTACTTGCACTACTTGGTACTTGTGGTGCTTTGCTCATACATTGGCGCTGTCTGCCCCGCCCATGCTGTTGACTCCGCACAGCTTTGCTCACTCTGAAAGCGCCTTAGAAGCAGTCGCATTCGGAGGCTTGCCCCCTCTTTTCTCTCCGCCTGATGAAGACCGCTTGTGTTGCGACGGAAACGTCATGGGTTTTTTGCTTTTTATTTTGAATTTTTTTATTAAATATTTTTTTTCTATCCACGTGACTTTACCGAAAGAAGCAAGAATATGAATTCCTGCAGTCACGAAAGTTTTATGTCAAAATTTTACATCGCCCCTCCCGTGAAACCTCTGTGGACTGTGTGTCCGTGATACACCCCGCAAATAACTTAATTGTAAAACATAGTGACCATCTTCCGCTGCTCCTGAAAAAGGGAGGCTCGGCGAGACTTTCCTGGGTAAACAAGCATAATATTAAAATTAACAACCTATTTGACTCATGTACCTGCATAGACGTGATGTAAATGCTTGCCTGTACCGTGTGTTTACGCAGATCCAAGCATGCATCTCATCACACGATTTGACGGAAATTTTCGGAGTGTCAGGCGAGGTGTGGTCACGTAGTGAGCTGATGTCCGTGTCTCCGGCCTTGGTTCAACAACTCCTTAGCCACGCGTGCCAAGCGCCCAATGGCTCTCACTCGGGAGAAACAAATTCGCGACCTTCGCAAGCCCACAGTGAGTTTATTATATACACCTAAAACGCTCACGAAAACCCCATATGCACAGTGTGCCCACATATTTCACATACTAACGCGCCCAGTGTATTACCCACACTTGAAACTTACATTTCACCAAATTTCAGCCGTAGGATGATTTTCAAAGGATATGGATGTTGATATGAACCATCATAGATAATGGTCACTGCGTATCATGTTGCCTGGATGGTACAGTTATGGTTACGAGTAAAATATGGATGTGGTGGAACATATTCAGGATTAGGATGCGAGGGCATTCAAAATGATGGCGCTGCCGGTTGTTGGTTATAGAACTCCAGTCCAGACAGGATGTGACAGAATGTCAGAGGCAGATAGAATAGACCCATTAATGTTGTGTTGACATGAAAACAGCTTTGGGCAGCCACGTGATGGAGTCGTCGGTCTCCCCGATAGGATGGCTCGAGAGGAGCCACCCAGTGGCAGGGGCCAGGGGAAATTAAGGGACCAGAAGAGGATGAGAGGGAGCGACGTGAGGACGGGGTTAGGGGTTTCACCTCGGTGGGAGTGAGACGAGAGCCGCCGGGCCTGGAGCGGTCGTGTGGAAGATGTGGGACAACGTGGCGCTGTAGATTTTGTGCATTAAATAGCTGGCGATGAATTGCTGATGGAAGTTATTTTTGCTTCGTTTCCCGAGAGAGTGAAGCGCTTCCCCATTGTGCTCACGTCATGTGTGCCTGGTGTTAACAACGTTGCTCCTCGATTTGAGAAACTACTTTGGCTGAGTTTACGTTAAGTCGAGCTAATCTTTATTGCCCAGGAGATGTTGTTTTTAAAATCAAGGTTTGGGAAAACATACGACGGGAGGAGGGAATTCCAAAGTGGAGCAGTGCAAGGGAAGGAGCAGAAAGAGAAGCGTTGTGGATTGATAGAGGTGGTGGTTGAATGCGGGACAAATGAGACTGAATGGTCTGCTAGAACGGGTCTTCGACATGTGAAGAGGACCCAATGAATGAAACTCAATGGAACATTAACCATGGTAGTCGCTCTAGAAGGGCGATAAGGAAGCCACCGACCGCTGATTTTATTTATATAATTGTTATTAGAATGGACAATGATGGCAGGAGATAACTGACAACAATGATTGTTATGGCTAATCCACAGAGTACGGATATGGAACGCTGGCATCCTTGCTGGTGAGCGCTCTGTCCCTCATTGGAGTGGTCACCTTGACTTGTTCCTCGTGCACTTACGTCTACTTGTACAGCCAGCAGGCGCTCTTTGGCCTTGCCGTTGGAAGCATGACTGGGGACGCCATACTGCACCTACTGCCCAAGGTGAGTTTAACACGCAGTAGGATGCTTTCGCGACCAATATTATCCATAGCAAAGGTTTTTCTGGGTTAGATCGCGTAAATATAAATGTGTCGTGAAACCAGACACCACCCAACGCAGCCAATCAGTAAGGTTTGACTTAAACAAGACATGCCAATTCGTTACTAGTTTAGCACACCGGTGTGTTAGAGAGTAAACCCACAACAATTACAATTCGAGTAGCGTGACGTTTCGCCAGTAATTACAACCAGCCTCATCAGGCGACAGCCAGAGTTGGAGAAATCCTCCTCCTGTTTCAATCTCGAATAGAGGGATAAGTAAATGAAATAATTAAAGAGGCATAAGTGTGATGATGATTCCTAAGGTGAGTGTAGAATTCCTGCCACCCACATGCAGATCACACCACTTCCTGGCCAGGTGGCAACTCGAGCATATGTGCACAGTTTTATGGGGTCAACAAAGTGTACTTTTTGTGTTGTGTAAAATTGCAGGACCACACTTAACTAATATATATACAAACATACATCCACTGATATAAGATAAACTATTTAAACCTGGTTATGTGCAAAGGTGTTTTATCATGGTTATTTTGTCCAGGTAACCAAACTAATTATGAACACAATTTTTAAGAGCACGTGGTGGGGTATCTCCAATGTGCACTATTTTGTCAAATCCATAGAGGGGTTTTTAACACATCCCAGGCTCCACTCGGTGCAAAGTGGGACTCAAGACAAATGGGCAAAACAAATTTCACGGACAAAAAAGTTCACCAAACGATTGCCGGCATCTGTTGGAGGGGTGCACCTGGAAACCGATCAGAGCGCATCCAGCTCGGGCAGATATCGAACACGGATCGGGATCAAAACGATAACATTCATATTTAAGCAAGAACAGGTTAGAGTCTAATATTTTACTTAATTAAGATAAAAAAAGACGATCAATGTACTCAGTGAGGTACACGTGGCGGCTTTGTGCGGTGGTTCTCAACCGGGGGCGCACGGACCCCTTGGGGTACGTGGCAATGTCCCAGGGGGTACGTGCGGTACGTGAGTCATTGGTGAATAATCTGCCAATATAAAATCACTACAACATGCCAATCTACATGGTAACCCAGAACGATATAAAATACCTCTCTAAACTCATTCATCGTAAGCGATGTGGTCCACGAGAGTAACCAGCGAGCGTAAACAAATGACGTTACGTATGCAGATTTTAGTTTGTGTTCGCTTGCGGTTACCAGCTGGAGAGGATACGTCACGAGTTGGACAAATAGTTTAAATATTGATGTTCATTATTCGTGTTTTTATTTCTCAGTACCATGTTGGGTCAGGTAAAGGGGGGTTACTCGGTTGAAACTATTTTATAAGGGGGGGGGGGGGGTGGTAACAGTAGTAGCCAAACAAGGCTGAGAACCACTGGCTTAGTGTACAATGTACATTACCTGCTGTGAAATTGATCAGAAACGTGGACATTTTAAAAAATGATGATTGCCCAGAGATTTCGATTTAAAGCTTTCCTGACTGCAGGGATTCATCTTCTTGGTTCTTTCGGTAAAGTCACGTAGAATGGAAATAAAATTCTACGTGACTTTACCCAGAGATTGTTAACCGAGGTGAATTCCCAAAACTAGGCGGTGAGATTGCCAGAGTAGAGGCAGAGCCCAGGATGGTAATTGTCCAAGACGTGGAAGCAGGGAGTGATTGTGAACTGTGGTAGCATCACAACCCTTGGCATTGATGGCCTTCTCGTCATCAATATATTTCCGTAACAGGAGGTGCCGTTATACTGCGTAGCCAATTTAAGGATACGTCTGTACTCCGACTTGGCCTAAAATGAACACCTAGTTTGGCATGTGAAACCATCACTGGATAGCCTGCAATAGTCTTCACATCCATTTGTTGTATTCACTTATTTTACACGAATTAGCTTGGTTTCATTCATGGTGCTTGCCTTAAACTTGCATTTAAACAAGTGTATGTTTGTCTCTGTGTGTTGTTATGTGTTCACCAGCTGTTGGGGTTGCACGTTCATTCCACGGAGGACAACTTGCATGCTGACGACAATTCATACATTTGGAAGCTCTTAACCGTGATTGGAGGCTTATATGTGTTTCTGATGCTGGAACAACTGTTCACTGTCTTGACAAGAGACGACGCAAAGGTAGCAGCAATAAACAGGCACGGGTGTGTGTGTGTGTACAGAAGTGTCATGATGCTGGATTCGAGTGCTTGCAGTGGTATCAGTATGGCTACGGTAGCATGAGTGGTGCTGCAAAACAGTGAATAATACTGCACACAAAGCAACATGGGGCAGTGAGCAAGCAATGCAAACTTTGTAAATCCACTCACAAACATTGATTTAAACTTTGACATCAGCGATTGATTCACTTAGCCGTGTGTGTATGTTGAACTTCTTTCACACCGTACGTATCCGATCAGAAGTCTGTTGTCTCACCACATAAAAAGCCTAATTTCCATTCTTCTATGATGCCAAGTGGGGCGTGAATAGCAGAGGAAAACTCTTATTGTGGCCGTGGTAATATGTTCGTTAAAATATGATACATTTGTTTAGCTTTTCATATAACCTTTCTTTTTGTATTGCTCGCAGTGTTGCAGAGCTATCCACAACTTTAAGAATATATTTTAAGAATCTCACCTCATGAGGCCCTGGAACCCCGTGGTGGTTACCAGTTATGTAGTTACCCCGTTGTGGTTACTGGTTATGTAGTTAGGGGCCGTCCACAAATGACGTCACGCACCTAGGGGGTGGTCAGACATTTGTGACGATGTATGACGTCTATATGCAACTTTAAATACATATAGACAACACGTTCTACTTAATTAAATATACTTTTTTAATAAATGTGTTCTCTTACAACATCAGAGTGTAGTGCCACATTAAATACGCACTACAATGACAATAGTTTAAAGCGATTTGAAACATGATTTATATTTGGGGGAGGGGAGGCAGAGCTTTGTGATGTCATATTTGAGGAGGGGGGTGATACTTTTGGTGACGCCGTGTGACAAAGGAGGGGGGGTCAAAAAGCGTCCAAAATCGCGTTACGTCATTTATGGATGGCCCCTTACCCCGTTGTGGTCGTAGAATGAACGTGTAGTGGGTTCACGGGACATGGAGATGGTGGAGTAGAGGCAGAACTGTTTATTCAACTTAACACGGGTTACACTGGAAGGGGTAACGGCCCCTTCACCCGTATACACGCTGGAACACCCCCTAGGCTATCAAGCCTAATTCCTGTGCTCCCAGTTTCTCCAGCTACAGGCGCTAGAGGAGGCTATCTGACCTGGCCCTGGTCAAGCACAGATCACGGCACCCCACAACCAGACCGGCCCTTAAAAGTTCTTCGGCTCTGAGGCTCTGGGGCCGCACCACTGGCTTACCCTGCCAGCCCTTAAAAGGACAGCGGTCAGGGAAGTCCCAGGGTCTATCTAGCCGGCCTTCCTTCTTCACTGGTTCTTCATTCTTGGCCCCAACACTCTGCCCCGAGCTCTCTGGCTCCCCGCCCTTTATACCAATACACCACTGAGGACGGGGCTATAGCGGACGTGGTTGTAGCCACCAAGGTGTGGCTGTGTGTTACCTTCCCACACTGTGTGTTTCCTTCCCACAACACCCCTACAAAGGTGTTGCCTCCTGAATGAGTGTGTCTCTCAAGTGAACCCACTACACATGGAATCTGTGTGTGGGCAGCAGCATCGTGACCGCATTATCAGCTCAGCGGGTGCGGCATTGTGTCAGGTGGAGGCCCCACTGTTTGATTTGTCTCGCACGGTCGCACCTAGGAGGCTATTCGATATTACGGGGCTCGCCTTTGCCTAATCGCATCGTTACGCTCACGGACTCGAACATTTAACGCTGTGGGGGCGCTCCGTTTTAAATAAATAAGTGTTGTTGTTCTCTGACACTGTTGTTGAAAACACGTCTCATGGTGGTTGCCAAGGAGGGGGCCCAACTCGTAGCTTTGGCCACCAGTGCCACGCGCTCAGTACGCTACTGCTGGGTCTTGTCCTGCTTTAAAAACGCCAAATATCTTCTACAATCGTTTTTTTTAAATATTTCACAACCGTTCTTTGTGAAATTCGATTCGCCGTTCATCGTGCAAATTGTACTCAAGAAGGCGCTTTAGGGTTTGGTATAGCCACTGCCAGCTGACTAAAGTCTCAAGTCGAGATGGGGGCTCTATAACGGCCAGGGGGGGGGGGGCTATGGGATACTTAGAACCTTTGGATCTGTGGACATGGGGTAGAATGGGATCCCAGGAGACTGCATGGAAAGAGAGTTCAAGAAACTCCATGGGAAGTTCAGCATAATGAGGGCTCTGTAAAGCCCATCACGCAGGGGAGGGGGTGTGATGGACGTCCACTCGACGTAGAGACTGTGTGTGTGTGTGTGTCGCCAGTGAGCTGGCTGCTGTAACCACACCGCTGTTTTGTGATTGCAGGTGAACGATGAGCGTGATGATCACGGATACAAAATGGAGACGTGTCCAGACGTCGGCAAGATGGTGCAAATAACCACACACGCATGCGCGCGTTTTTCTCATACTTACATAACTTGATAACCAAAACTCCGTGTGTAAACATCCCCCTGGATAAAGCCAGGGTTCATGTAGAAATAACCAAAACGCAACACGTAAAAAAAATGTATACGTATTAAACTCATTTGTATTCCAAATAAAATGTTGCATCTTGAGCAGAACTGCTGCGGAGAGGTCAATGTAACGATCATTTGCACAACGCACGTTGTGACGTATTCCTGGGCCCAATTTTAATTTCAAGAGGGTCGGAGAAGTTCTCAAGAACTGGGCTTCAAAGGTTTAAAATTCCTGGACTTTGTAAACAGAGTAAGGGCATTTATGGGAGACAATTTAAAGCTACAGCAGTGTAATTTGAGTCTCTTTTTAGCTTTTACATAGAGCATTCATCATTTTAAATTAAATAAATAAAACACAGGCATGAAATCAATCTCTTGCTAACAACAAGTTGATATTCAATCCAACGAAATGTATAAATCAAGTCCCTTACCCATGACTCCTAATATTAGCAGGGTTGGAACAATCATCACTTCTCCCAACCGTCATTCACCACTCCTGACATAGGCGATGTCACAATGAAGAGGAAGGATTCGCGGGTGGGTGCTGAAATTATCTCATCCATAGCATCCGTGGGCACATAGAAATGACGACAGTCTTGTCATGTCCATCCTACAAATTTCGTCCCACACAATGGGCGGCCATGTGGGCAGAGGCCCCTGGCACGGTCGGGGGGCATGTGGGTTCCCGGGCTGGGCACGGAGCGCACGAGGCTGAAGTTGTACAACTCATTTGTATTTTAACAATATGTTTTTACCCTTTCCAGCAATAAAAACAGGTGTTGAGATGTTAAGACACCCAACATAAACCTTTTTGCAAGGAATCCTGTCTGCATTAAACACACACACGTGCTCGTGGTGAACATAGAAACTGAAAAACATGCTCTGGTTTAAACTGATTTGTATTTGGTAACGCATCCCAATTCTGTTTAGCTGAAACTTCTCTTTAACTTCTCTTGAACAGGACCTATCCGACAAAGAGAAACATGACGTTTCATATGAAAAGGACACCCAGCAAACGGGAAACATCAACATGTCAACTATTGACTTGGTACGTTTTGGTTTATTGTGTGCTACTTTGTGGTGAATAGCAAATATCGTTTGTTGTCATCTGTTTTGTTAAGATACCCAGTGGCGGTGTTTGTATATATGTGTGTTGAACTTCTTTCGCACCATACTTAGCCAACCGTGCTTATCGGTGGTGCGGGTTGGAGGAAGGGTGTTTGACGGACGGTGGCAAGATTTGTAGATCAGCTGGTAGGGGATGGAATTGTGGAGATGTGAAATTACAGATAAGGGTTATCTGCAGATGAGGTCAACACACGATGCATCTTCATATATCGGTCTACACATAAAAAAGTAAAAGGTCTTTTTAACCCAACCTATTGGCCCCCACGGCCTTCTGGGACTGCATCATTCCTGCAGCGTTGATTCAATGTGTAGTGTTGTACACGGAGACACACACTTGTTCTTGGAGGCAACACGTTTATTACAACACACCAACAGGGTTCCTAAATAAACGTACACTGGTTCTACATCTAGGTGATAACTACACGGTTAACGAGACCACAACGGGGTAACTACATAACCGGGTCAGTCAGTAACACAATGCCTGACCCACGATGCCGAGCGTAGACATCGAAGACCGAAGATCGAGGATCGAAGAGACGTAGCACCGACGGGTTCCAGCCCCGAACCTCCTCGGGACTGACCCTTTATCCGGCTGAGCGTGGCCTGGCTCCGCCCTCGGCCACGCCCCCTTCTAGATCCGACCAGAAGCTCTGGCCCATATCACGTGTCCCTCAAGCCCCCCCCCCCCCCCCCCCCCCGCTTTTGAACCCCCTTACTACCCTGCCCCGGTCACGTGCCCTCTCGGGTTCGCCCAGAGTCTCACGTCCTCACTTGCTCTCTCTCCGACCTTCACCAGAACTCTGCCCCCTAGGGCCCGCTTCCATGCCATATCCACTCTGGTGCCAGAGAGAGACTCAAGACGCACAGTGACACTCCTCTGACAGTAGCTGGCGATAACCACCCTAGTGACTCCATATAAGTCACTACAAATGCAAGGAAACTTTATAATCCTACACCAGCCTACAACCCTATATAATCCTAAACCAGCAACAGCCTGCAACCCTATATAATCCTACACCAGCCTGCAACCCTATATAATCCTATATCAGCAGTAGCCTGCAACCCTATATATTCCTACACCAGTAGCAGCATTCAACCCTATATAATCCTACACCAGCCTGCAACCCCCTATAATCCTATATCAGCAGTAGCCTGCAACCCTATATATTCCTACACCAGTAGCAGCCTGCACCCCTATATAATCCTAAACCAGCAACAGTCTGCAACCCTATATAATCCTACACCGCCTGCAACCCTATATAATCCTATATCAGCAGTAGCCTGCAACCCTATATATTCCTACACCAGTAGCAGCCTTCAACCCTATATAATCCTATATCAGCAGTAGCCTGCAACCCTATATATTCCTACACCGGTAGCAGCATTCAACCCTATATAATCCTACACCAGCCTGCAACCCCCTATAATCCTATATAAGCAGTACCCTGCAACCCTATATATTACTACACCAGTAGCAGCCTGCAACCCTATATAATCCTAAACCAGCAACAGTCTCCAACCCTATATAATCCGACACCAGCCTGCAACCCTATATAATCCTTTATCAGCAGTAGCCTGCAACCCTATATATTCCTACACCAGTAGCAGCCTTCAACCCTATATAATCCTATATCAGCAGTAGCCTGCAACCCTATATATTCCTACACCAGTAGCAGCCTTCAACCCTATATAATCCTATATCAGCAGTAGCCTGCAACCCTATATATTCCTACACCAGTAGCAGCCTGCAACCCTATATAATCCTAAACCAGCAACAGTCTGCAACCCTATATAATCCTACACCAGCCTGCAACCCTATATAATCCTATATCAGCAGTAGCCTGTAACCCTATATATTCCTACACCAGTAGCAGCATTCAACCCTATATAATCCTACACCAGCCTGCAACCCCCTATAATCCTTTTTCAGCAGTAGCCTGCAACCCTATATGTTCCTACACCAGTAGCAGCCTGCAACCCTATATAATCCTAAACCAGCAACAGTCTGCAACCCTATATAATCCTACACCAGCCTGCAACCCTATATAATCCTATATCAGCAGTAGCCTGCAACCCTATATATTCCTACACCAGTAGTAGCCTTCAACCCTATATAATCCTATATCAGCAGTAGCCTGCAACCCTATATATTCCTACACCAGTAGCAGCCTGCAACCCTATATAATCCTAAACCAGCAACAGTCTGCAACCCTATATAATCCTACACCAGCCTGCAACCCTATATAATCCTATATCAGCAGTAGCCTGCAACCCTATATAATCCTACACCAGCCTGCAACCCTATATAATCCTATATCAGCAGTAGCCTGTAACCCTATATATTCCTACACCAGTAGCAGCATTCAACCCTATATAATCCTACACCAGCCTGCAACCCCCTATAATCCTATATCAGCAGTAGCCTGCAACCCTATATGTTCCTACACCAGTAGCAGCCTGCAACCCTATATAATCCTAAACCAGCAACAGTCTGCAACCCTATATAATCCTACACCAGCCTGCAACCCTATATAATCCTATATCAGCAGTAGCCTGCAACCCTATATATTCCTACACCAGTAGTAGCCTTCAACCCTATATAATCCTATATCAGCAGTAGCCTGCAACCCTATATATTCCTACACCAGTAGCAGCCTGCAACCCTATATAATCCTAAACCAGCAACAGTCTGCAACCCTATATAATCCTACACCAGCCTGCAACCCTATATAATCCTATATCAGCAGTAGCCTGCAACCCTATATATTCCTACACCAGTAGCAGCCTTCAACCCTATATAATCCTATATCAGCAGTAGCCTGCAACCCTATATATTCCTACACCGGTAGCAGCATTCAACCCTATATAATCCTACACCAGCCTGCAACCCCCTATAATCCTATATCAGCAGTACCCTGCAACCCTATATATTCCTACACCAGTAGCAGCCAGCAACCCTATATAATCCTAAACCAGCAACAGTCTCCAACCCTATATAATCCTACACCAGCCTTCAACCCTATATAATCCTATATCAGCAGTAGCCTGCAACCCTATATATTCCTACACCAGTAGCAGCCTTCAACCCTATATAATCCTATATCAGCAGTAGCCTGCAACCCTATATATTCCTACACCAGCAGCAGCCTTCAACCCTATATAATCCTATATCAGCAGTAGCCTGCAACCCGATATATTCCTACACCAGTAGCAGCCTGCAACCCTATATAATCCTAAACCAGCAACAGTCTGCAACCCTATATAATCCTACACCAGCCTGCAACCCTATATAATCCTATATCAGCAGTAGCCTGCAACCCTATATATTCCTACACCAGTAGCAGCATTCAACCCTATATAATCCTACACCAGCCTGCAACCCCCTATAATCCTATATCAGCAGTAGCCTGCAACCCTATATGTTCCTACACCAGTAGCAGCCTGCAACCCTATATAATCCTAAACCAGCAACAGTCTGCAACCCTATATAATCCTACACCAGCCTGCAACCCTATATAATCCTATATCAGCAGTAGCCTGCAACCCTATATATTCCTACACCAGTAGCAGCCTTCAACCCTATATAATCCTATATCAGCAGTAGCCTGCAACCCTATATATTCCTACACCAGTAGCAGCCTGCAACCCTATATAATCCTAAACCAGCAACAGTCTGCAACCCTATATAATCCTACACCAGCCTGCAACCCTATATAATCCTATATCAGCAGAAGCCTGCAACCCTATATATCCCTACACCAGTAGCAGCCTTCAACCCTATATAATCCTATATCAGCAGTAGCCTGCAACCCTATATATTCCTACACCAGTAGCAGCATTCAACCCTATATAATCCTACACCAGCCTGCAACCCCCTATAATCCTATATCAGCAGTAGCCTGCAACCCTATATATTCCTACACCAGTCGCAGCCTGCAACCCTATATAATCCTAAACCAGCAACAGTCTCCAATCCTATATAATCCTACACCAGCCTGCAACCCTATATAATCCTATATCAGCAGTAGCCTGTAACCCTATATATTCCTACACCAGTAGCAGCATTCAACCCTATATAATCCTACACCAGCCTGCAACCCCCTATAATCCTATATCAGCAGTAGCCTGCAACCCTATATGTTCCTACACCAGTAGCAGCCTGCAACCCTATATAATCCTAAACCAGCAACAGTCTGCAACCCTATATAATCCTACACCAGCCTGCAACCCTATATAATCCTATATCAGCAGTAGCCTGCAACCCTATATATTCCTACACCAGTAGTAGCCTTCAACCCTATATAATCCTATATCAGCAGTAGCCTGCAACCCTATATATTCTTACACCAGTAGCAGCCTGCAACCCTATATAATCCTAAACCAGCAACAGTCTGCAACCCTATATAATCCTACACCAGCCTGCAACCCTATATAATCCTAAACCAGCAACAGTCTGCAACCCTATATAATCCTACACCAGCCTGCAACCCTATATAATCCTATATCAGCAGTAGCCTGTAACCCTATATATTCCTACACCAGTAGCAGCATTCAACCCTATATAATCCTACACCAGCCTGCAACCCCCTATAATCCTATATCAGCAGTAGCCTGCAACCCTATATGTTCCTACACCAGTAGCAGCCTGCAACCCTATATAATCCTAAACCAGCAACAGTCTGCAACCCTATATAATCCTACACCAGCCTGCAACCCTATATGATCCTATATCAGCAGTAGCCTGCAACCCTATATATTCCTACACCAGTAGTAGCCTTCAACCCTATATAATCCTATATCAGCAGTAGCCTGCAACCCTATATATTCCTACACCAGTAGCAGCCTGCAACCCTATATAATCCTAAACCAGCAACAGTCTGCAACCCTATATAATCCTACACCAGCCTGCAACCCTATATAATCCTATATCAGCAGTAGCCTGCAACCCTATATATTCCTACACCAGTAGCAGCCTTCAACCCTATATAATCCTATATCAGCAGTAGCCTGCAACCCTATATATTCCTACACCGGTAGCAGCATTCAACCCTATATAATCCTACACCAGCCTGCAACCCCCTATAATCCTATATCAGCAGTACCCTGCAACCCTATATATTCCTACACCAGTAGCAGCCAGCAACCCTATATAATCCTAAACCAGCAACAGTCTCCAACCCTATATAATCCTACACCAGCCTTCAACCCTATATAATCCTATATCAGCAGTAGCCTGCAACCCTATATATTCCTACACCAGTAGCAGCCTTCAACCCTATATAATCCTACACCAGCCTGCAACCCCCTATAATCCTATATCAGCAGTAGCCTGCAACCCTATATGTTCCTACACCAGTAGCAGCCTGCAACCCTATATAATCCTAAACCAGCAACAGTCTGCAACCCTATATAATCCTACACCAGCCTGCAACCCTATATAATCCTATATCAGCAGTAGCCTGCAACCCTATATATTCCTACACCAGTAGCAGCCTTCAACCCTATATAATCCTATATCAGCAGTAGCCTGCAACCCTATATATTCCTACACCAGTAGCAGCCTGCAACCCTATATAATCCTAAACCAGCAACAGTCTGCAACCCTATATAATCCTACACCAGCCTGCAACCCTATATAATCCTATATCAGCAGAAGCCTGCAACCCTATATATCCCTACACCAGTAGCAGCCTTCAACCCTATATAATCCTATATCAGCAGTAGCCTGCAACCCTATATATTCCTACACCAGTAGCAGCATTCAACCCTATATAATCCTACACCAGCCTGCAACCCCCTATAATCCTATATCAGCAGTAGCCTGCAACCCTATATATTCCTACACCAGTCGCAGCCTGCAACCCTATATAATCCTAAACCAGCAACAGTCTCCAATCCTATATAATCCTACACCAGCCTGCAACCCTATATAATCCTATATCAGCAGTAGCCTGCAACCCTATATATTCCTACACCAGTAGCAGCCTTCAACCCTATATAATCCTATATCAGCAGTAGCCTGCAATCCTATATATTCCTACACCAGTAGCAGCCTTCAACCCTATATAATCCTATATCAGCAGTTGCCTGCAACCCTATATATTCCTACACCAGTAGCAGCCTGCAACCCTATATAATCCTAAACCAGCAACAGTCTGCAACCCTATATAATCCTACACCAGCCTGCAACCCTATATAATCCTATATCAGCAGTAGCCTGCAACCCTATATATTCCTACACCAGTAGCAGCATTCAACCCTATATAATCCTACACCAGCCTGCAACCCCCTATAATCCTATATCAGCAGTAGCCTGCAACCCTATATATTCCTACACCAGTAGCAGCCTGCAACACTATATAATCCTAAACCAGCAACAGTCTGCAACCCTATATAATCCTACACCAGCCTGCAACCTTATATAATCCTATATCAGCAGTAGCCTGCAACCCTATATATCCCTACACCAGTAGCAGCCTTCAACCCTATATAATCCTATATCAGCAGTAGCCTGCAACCCTATATATTCCTACACCAGTAGCAGCATTCAACCCTATATAATCCTACACCAGCCTGCAACCCCGTATAATCCTATATCAGCAGTAGCCTGCAACCCTATATATTCCTACACCAGTAGCAGCCTGCAACCCTATATAATCCTAAACCAGCAACAGTCTCCAACCCTATATAATCCTACACCAGCCTGCAACCCTATATAATCCTATATCAGCAGTAGCCTGCAACCCTATATATTCCTACACCAGTAGCAGCCTTCAACCCTATATAATCCTATATCAGCAGTAGCCTGCAACCCTATATATTCCTACACCAGTAGCAGCCTGCAACCCTATATAATCCTAAACCAGCAACAGTCTGCAACCCTATATAATCCTACACCAGCCTGCAACCCTATATGAATCCTATATCAGCAGTAGCCTGCAACCCTATATATTCCTACACCAGTAGCAGCCTTCAACCCTATATAATCCTATATCAGCAGTAGCCTGCAACCCTATATAATTCAAAGAGAAAGTGAGCTGCTCCATTCAGTTCTTGAAGAAGCTCCCAGCACATTTAGCGTAATGTCAGACATCATGCCAAACATACAGGACAACTTGACTAAGCATTGCAGTGAAGAGTGTGTGTTATTGTCATTCAGTGACAGCGATGAGCATTGCCGGTGAAGATTCGGTCTCGGTGATTTTCACATTTCATCATTTATTATTGCAGATTGCAGAACATGAAGCCTCTCACCTGCCAACCTCCATCAGAAAAAAAGGCACGTGAGCTTAAGTATTGTGATGCCAAATCAAGTGTGTGTGTGCGTCAGTCAGAGAATGTTCTTAAAAACTTGCAGTAGTACGGGCGTGTCACGCTTTTTTTATGAGAAGCCCACCATCAGGGCCATCACTGCCAACTAATACCATCACCACGAGCAGTAGCCCTTTATTGGTGGAAGCCCACCACCAGCACCATTTCCTACCAAGTACTACCATCACCTCTCGCAACAACTTCTCTTACATGAACATTAGCTACCCTGCCCATGCTGCTGACACTTGGGCTGCGCCAATTTTAAACCTAAATAAACAGTTTGCCTTTAGAGGCTAAACCCCCCTTTCCTGATGACGACCGCTTGTGTTGCGATCGAAACGCCGTGGTTTCTTGTTATTTTCTTTGAACCTATCTACGTGACTTTACCGAAAGACCCAAAGAATATGAATCCTATACCAGCAGTAGTCTGCAACCATAAATAGTTATCCTACACCAGCAGCGTGCCAATTAGTTACTAGTTCAGCACTAACCGGTGTGTTGGAGAGGAAACCCACAACATTTACAATTCGAGTAGCGTGACGCTTCACTGAATGTACTCGCCAGCGAAACGTCGGAGTACTCGAATCTGTAAATATTTACATGACAAACCTTGCTAAATTCGCTGCGTCGGGTGGCGGAGGGTTTAACGACAAATTTATATTGACGCTGCTGCTGTTATTTCTGCTGCTGTTCCTGCTGCTGCTGTTGCTGCTGCTGCTGCTGCCGTTGCTGCTGCGGGTTATTTCAGGTCTCAACGCGATCGTGCTCATGGTGCTGATCGGTGACGGCCTCCACAACTTCGCCGACGGGCTGGCCCTGGGCGCCGCCTTCTCGCTGTCACTCAGCGACGGGCTTGCCACCATGCTGGCGGTGGCGCTGCACGAGCTGCCGCACGAGATCGGTGAGCCCCCCCCCCCGCCCCCCCGCCCCCCACCCCTCTCAGCCAGGGCGGCGACGAGAAGAGGAGGATGAAGAAGTAGAGTAGTAGACCATCGCCGTGAGCGACGCGCTGGCCCCGTGCCCGGGGGTCACCGTGCCGGAGGTCACCGTGCCGGAGGTCACCGCGTGTGTTGAACGCAGTTCCATAGCCCAGTGGTTATTCTCAACCTGTTTTTGGCTACTGTTGATCCCCTTGTTGAATTTTGTTTCAACTGAGTAACCCCCTTGCCTGACCCATCATGGTTCTGATAAATCAATATTTTAACCAATTGTCCATTTTTTTAGGTACCCTAACTAGCTAGTCACTGCAAACGAATAACAAATAAAAAAAATCAACGGACGCTCTGCACGCGTGAGGTCATTTGTTCGCACTCGCTGGTTACTCTTGTAAACCGCATTGCTTACAGTCAATGAGTTCAGAGGTTTTTTTTTTACATCGTGCTGGGTTACCGTATGCATTTAAATTACAGCGTAGTTATTTTTTCTTGGCAGATTCACACATGATTATTCAGCAGTGACTCACATGTCCGATATACTTTCACACCTTTGTATGTAAACCAAAAAGAATCACGTCACGCATCCGCTGGGACATTGCCGAGTACCCCCCGGTTGAGAACCACCACCCTCGTGGCTCACACCGCCACCGCGTCGTTTGCCGCACGAGCGCTGTCATTAAATTCGCGCAACTTCTCCTCGTCGTAAGGCTGATGTAGATGCCGAGCAACAGCTACAATTTCACATTCGGGTGGTCGATATCTTCAGTTAAATTCAATGCGACGAACGAGAGCCTTGCCGGACAACGTAGCCTTAGGAGCGTGCGTGCGTGCCGCGTGCGTGAAGTGACGAAGTGTGGCAGAGTAACAGGAGAGGGACACTGCCAGCAAATCTGATGGCATTCGCGATATTTTATCAACTGAAAACAAAACTTCGTTTTTGGTCGATAGCCGAGGGCGGTGGTGCCAAATCTACCACGCTTCTGTTGATCCATTCTCAAATATAGCGCGGACTTTTCCTGGGGCCTCTTGGTCTCATGTTATATTTTCACTGGTTTTTTGTTGTTGTTGTTGTTCTCGTGTGTTTTGTGTACGACCGCTAAATACCTTTGTTATTCGATGTGTGCTCGTTCTCTACAATGTCACAAATATTTGTCTTTTATCTTTGGTTGTTGCTATGCTCAAGCACCAATGATCTCGCTTGTGAAACAGCCGGGCAACTGGCTACACGGGCACATCCCAGTGGCACCACGGTGGCTAGGAGATGTCAACTGTCTCGCCTGGTATACAGAAGTGCGTGGGTTCGATCCAGACCCCAAGCGTGGTGCTGGCCACCCCCTGGTGTGCCGTTCCGGCCTTCATAGGTGCTGCTACTAGCTAACAGCACTTGCCCCAACAGTCTGGTTAAGGCGAGACGGGGGGGATCTTTGTCTTTGTGGAATGCTCCTCGCAGGGGACTTTGCCATCCTGCTCAACACGGGACTGTCCATCCAGGCTGCCCTGGGGCTGAACCTGCTAAGTGCCCTCACGGCGCTCATCGGCTTCTACATTGGGGCCTCTGTGTCTGAAAACGAGACGGCCATGCAGTGGATTATTGCCTTTGCAACGGGCATGTTCCTGTACCTGTCCATCAACAACATGGTGAGCCCCTTGCTCTCGTCTGTGCAGGCCACCGACAGATCGCAGTCCACTGTGACTTCTCCGTGAATATTAGCGACAACAAAAACTGCTCAATCCTGCCTCCCTCTCCTGATGTAGCTCTCGCCTGTCCTCCTCACCCCATGTCCCCTCTCCTCCACTCCCACCTCATGTCTCTTCTCAACTCCACTCTCATCTCCACTCAAACCCCGTGTGTCCACGATCATCTCCGCGTTCATACACTCTCCCCTCGCATCTCTTTCATCTGCCGTCTCGCTCACCTCGCATCTTTCCATCCCCACTCTCATCTCACACGTCTCCTCGTATCTATCTCTCTCCTGTTTTTTTTCTCACGTCTCTCTCGCCTCTCCACTTTCTTCAGTGTCCACATCGCCGATTTCGTAGGGATGCGTTTCCTCTAACGATGCACTTCTTCACCCCCTTTGCAGATCTCTGAGATGAAGCGATTCCACGTGGACCGGCCCTGGCTCCTGCTGCTGTTGCAGAATCTGGGATTGTTTCTGGGCTGGGCGTTCATGCTGCTCTTGGCTCTCTACGAGGACAAACTCCACTTTTAATACTCAGCTGACAGACGCCTCTCACAAAACTCACACACACACACGCGCGCGTGCACAAAGACAAAGATCCCCCGTGTAGCCTCAACAGACTGTTGGGGCAATTTCTGTTAACGAGCAGCAGCACCTATGAGGGCTGGCATGGTACACGAGGGGGGTGAGTGGCCAGCACCACGCCCGGCCGCCTTTGTCTCCCCAGTGGCGATGTTTACTACACACCGCAGCAGGCACTAATTTGAGGCCGAGTCGACCTAGGAAAGGATGACCTAGGACCGGTTCAGACAATCGTCACCGGGTGTTGGCCATGAGCGGGAATCGAACTCGGATCGCCGGGTTTGTCGCACAGCACGCGAACGCCCGCACGCCACCGGCCAGCACGAACCTCACAGCAAAGTTGCGGGCCCTTCACTTGAGCACGTGGGTTAATTTAATTTTTTGTATCATCACTGCACCCGCGCTCACAGTTCCAGCTCTGCCGATGTACACCACTGCGACTGCGAACACGAAGCGTGAAAGCCGAAGCGTGCGTCTTCGCACGCAAGCCTCGCCGCGTATTCCTTTCACCTTTCTCCATCCTCACCGAGTTCACGTGATCAGTCTTTTATCCCCCCCCCCTCCCCCGTGTACGTGCGTTCACGGGAGGACGCTGTTAGCAACACTAATCGAGGACGCTGCTGCGTTTCACAGTCGCGGGCAAGGGGGCGATGTCGCTGCAGTGCGATCCCAAAATGAGTCGCTTGTGGGGGTGATTCACAAAGTTTGACGATGACACCGGGGTGCACACGACGGCCTGCTCCTGTTGAGAGACGTCACGGGATCTTTAACGTCCACTGTGTATCTATGTTGAACTTTCTTCTGCACAGTACGTAGCCAACCATGCTAATCGGAGGTCCGGGGGGGGAGGACAGACGACCCGGGGTGTTTCACGATCGATTCCCCTGGACGTTGGAACCACAAACCCCCGAGAATGGAGAATGGAGTACGCGACACCGCTGGGCCACGTGGCAATGGCCGAGTTCGCAAGCTGTCAGTGCATCCATTGCTTTGAGTTCATTTTTACACAATGGTGTTGCGTTTCAAATCTTCTTCTCTTATTGTTCTCTGTCCACAAAAGATTCGGGGAAATCTTTGTTTTGTTCAAGGCTCACTTCTTCCGATGAAGCTTTGCGAACGACGGGAGCGTTGTCAACCACCTTAAGAGAGCGCCACTGTGAACCTGAGCATATCTAACATCACGTGACACTGGCGGTCATTTCAATAAAATTCTCTCGCACACGAAAACTCGTGTTCACGCATCATCTCACGGTTCTTGTGGACACGACTGAGCAACGTTAAAACGCATGCAAAAAACAAGTCTCATCCGGAGCGTCAGCCAGGGCCGCCTGCTGTTTCCAAGTCAATAGAAATACCAAAAAGTACACTACAACATCAAATGTAAATCTCTATGGGCTTAAACAGGTCGTGGACTACACTGACGATACATCGAGACGCAATGCAGCGCATGTCCCCGGTATTCCTGATCTACACACACACCCACACACGCGTCAACACGTCACCGCACCATCACGTTTTAATCTAGAAAGCGGGACTGTGTATGGGCACGACACGATTGAGGCGTCGCATTTATTAAACTATTGAAAATTATTATTTTGACTTGCCTAATTTCGCTATTAATAGTCCCATGACAATCGTAGGAGGCTTCTAAGTAGACACTCGTCCCGGTTTTATGTGGAAAAGGTGGCAACCCTGCCACTCCGCAACTCACCCACTCGCACTCTCGCCAACTCACTCCTTCATGAATTCACTCATAAATTAGCCAAGCTTCCGAGTAACTCACCCACTCACACTCTCACCAACTCACTCCTCCATTAATTCACTCATAAATTACAGGGAGGGAAAAAAGTATTTGATCCCCTGCTGATTGTGTACGTTTGCCCACTGACAAAGAAATGATCAGTCTATAATTTTAATGGTAGGTTTATTTGAACAGTGAGAGACAGAATAACAATAAAAAAAATCCAGAAAAACGCATGTCAAAAATGTTATAAATTGATTTGCATTTTAATGAGGGAAATGAGTATTTGACCCCTCTACAAAACATGACTTAGTACTTGGTGGCAAAACCCTTGTTAGCAATCACAGAGGTCAGACGTTTCTTGTAGTTGGCCATCAGGTTTGCCCACATCTCAGGAGGGATTTTGTCCCACTCCTCTTTGCATATCTTCTCCAAATCATTAAAGTTTCGAGGCTGACGTTTGGCAACTCGAACCTTCAGCTCCCTCCACAGATTTTCTATGAGATTAAGGTCTGGAGACTGGCTAGGCCACTCCAGGACCTTAATATGCTTCTTCTTAAGCCACTCCTTTGTTGCCTTGGCCGTGTGTTTTGGGTCATTGTCATGCTGTAATATCCATCCACGACCCATTTTCAATGCCCTGGCTGAGGGAAGGAGGTTCTCACCCAAGATTTGACGGTACATGGCCCCGTCCATCGTCCCTTTGGATGCGGTAAAGTTGTCCTGTCCCCTTAGCAGAAAAACACTCCCAATGCATGTTTCCACCTCCATGTTTGACGGTGGGGATGGTGTTCTTGGGGTCATAGGCAGCATTCCTCCTCCAAACACGGCGAGTTGAGTTGATGCCATAGAGCTCCATTTTTGTCTCATCTGACCACAGCACTTTCACCCAGTTGTCCTCTGAATCATTCAGATGTTCATTGGCAAACTTCAGACGGGCATGTATATGTGCTTTCTTGAGCAGGGGGACCTTGCGGGCCTCGCTGCAGGATTTCAGTCGTTCACGGCGTAGTGTTACCAATTGTTTTCTTGGTGACTATGGTCCCAGCTGCCTTGAGATAATTGATAAGATCCTCCCGTGTAGTTCTGGGCTCATTCCTCACCGTTCTCATGATCATTACAACTCCACGAGCTGAGATCTTGCATGGAGCCCCAGGCCGAGGGAGATTGACAGTTCTTTTGTGTTTCTTCCATTTGCGAATAATCGCACCAACTGTTGTCACCTTCTCACCAAGCTGCTTGGGCAATGGTCTTGTAGCCCATTCCAGCCTTGTGTAGGTCTACAATCTTGTCCCTGACATCCTTGGAGAGCTCTTTGGTCTTGGCCATGGTGGAGAGTTTGGAATCTGATTGATTGCTTGTGTATAGGTGTCTTTTATACAGGTAACAAGCTGAGATTAAGAGCACTCCCTTTAAGAGTGTGCTCCTAATCTCAGCTCGTTACCTGTATAAAAGACACCTGGGAGCCAGAAATCTTTCTGATCGAGAGGGGCTCAAATACTTATTTCCCTCATTAAAATGCAAATCAACTTATAACATTTTTTACATGCGTTTTTCTGGATTTTTTTGTTGTTATTCTGTCTCTCACTGTTCAAATAAACCTACCATTAAAATTATAGACTGATCATTTCTTTGTCAGTGGGCAAAGGTACAAAATCAGCAGGGGAACAAAAACTTTTTTTCCCTCACTGTAGCCAAGCCTCTGAGTAACTCACCCACTCACACGCTCACCAACTCACTCCTTTATAAATTCACTCAAATTAGCCAAGCCTCTGAGTAACTCAGGCACTCACACGGTAACCAACTCACTCCTTCATGAATTCACTCATATTAGCCAAGCCTCTGAGTAACTCACCCACTCACACGCTCACCAACTCACTCCTTCATGAATTCACTCATAAGTTAGCCAAGCCTCTGATTAACTCACTCCTTCATGAATTCACTCATAAGTTAGCCAAGCCTCTGATTAGCTCACCCACTCACACGCTCACCAACTCACTCCTTCATGAATTCACTCATAAGTTAGGCAAGCCTCTGATTATCTCACCCACTCACATGCTCACCAACTCACTCCTTCATGAATTCACTCATAAATTAGCCAAGCCTCTCAGTAACTCATCCACTCGCACTCTCACCAACTCACTCCTTCATGAATTCACTCATAAGTTAGCCAAGCCTCTGAGTAACTCACCCACTCACACTCTCACCAACTCACTCCTTCATTAATTCACTCATAAATTAGCCAAGCCTCTTAGTAACTCACCCACTCGCACACTCACCAACTCACTCCTTCATGAATTCACTCATCCGTTAGCCAAGCCTCTGAGTAACTCACCCACTCGCACTCTCACCAACTCACTCCTTCATGAATTCACTCATAAATTAGCCAAGCCTCTGAGTAACTCACCCACTCGCACTCTCACCAACTCACTCCTTCATGAATTCACTCATAAATTAGCCAAGCTTCTGAGTAACTCACCCACTCACACGCTCACCAACTCACTCCTTCATGAATTCACTCATAAGTTAGCCAAGCCTCTGAGTAACTCACCCACTCACACAAGTATGACCTTCCCCTTCGATTACAGTGTACCAATCCTCAAAGGTGCATTAGGGGGCGTCCATAAATGACGTCACGTGATTTTGTCACGGCGTCAAAAAGTCAGACCCCCCCCCTCTGAAATATGACGTCACAAAGCTCTGCCCCCCCCCAAACCATATTTACATTTTGAAAATAAAACATGCTTCAAATCGCTTTAAACTATTGTCATTGTAGTGCGTATTTAATGTGACCCTGCGCTCTGATGTTGTAGGAGTGTTGTTATAACAAATTAATAGTGTTGTTATAACAATTCTATATTGATTAAAAGTTGCGCATTTTGATGTGACGTCACATTTCTCAAACCCCCCCCCCCTCGTCACACATCGTCACAAATGTCTGACCACTCCCCCCCCCCAGGTGCGTGACGTCATTTATGGGCAGCCCCTTAACAATTTTTAGCATTTTTCCCTATTCCTTGGTTCTTTCCCTAACGTGACGTACGTAGAAAACGAATCTTTAAAAACGGAGTTAGTAAATAGAAAAGTTCAAATGTGTGTGTGTGTGTGTGTAAGTCCATGTGTGTGTGTAAGTCCATGTGTGTGTGTGTGTGTAAGTCCATGTGTGTGTAAGTCCAAGTGTGTGTGTAAGTCCATGTGTGTGTGTAAGTCCTTGTGTGTGTGTAGGTCCATGTGTGTGTGTGTGTAAGTCCATGTGTAAGTCCATGTGTGTGTGTGCAAGTCCATGTGTGTAAGTCCATGTGTGTAAGTCCATGTGTGTGTGTGTAAGTCCATGTGTGTGTGTAAGTCCATGTGTGTAAGTCAATGTGTGTGTAAGTCCATCTGTAAGTCCATGTGTGTGTGTGTGTAAGTCCATGTGTGTGTGTAAGTCCATGTGTGTGTGTAAGTCCATGTGTGGGTAAGTTCATCTGTGTAAGTCCATCTGTGTGTGTAAGTCCACGTGTGTGTGTGTAAGTCCATGTGTGTAAGTCCATGTGTGTGTAAGTCCATCTATGTGTGTAAGTCCACGTGTGTGTGTAAGTCCATGTGTGTGTGTGTGTGTAAGTCCACGTGTGTGTGTGTAAGTCCATGTGTGTAAGTCCATGTGTGTGTAAGTCCATCTGTGTGTGTAAGTCCACGTGTGTGTGTGTAAGTCCACGTGTGTGTGTGTAAGTCCATGTGTGTGTGTAAGTCCGTGTGTGTGTGTAAGTCCATGTGTGTGTGTGTAAGTCCATGTGTGTGTGTGTGGCAGCGTCAGCGCGACAATGCACCCAAGCCAGCCCCCTCCCGTCTCCACGAACTGCTCATGACGCAGGCCGGGCCGAGCGCCCTGGGACTCCCGTCTGTCGGAGATGTTCATTGAAAACCTCGGGGAAGTGACGAGGCGGCGGCTATGACGAGGTTGTGACGAGGAGACTGACGAGGAGGAGGCTGTGATTGCTGCGGTGCGGTCGAGGCTGGCATCGGGACACTCGTGGGCCATCGAGAGGGGCGCCCCCCCCCCTCTTGGTCGTGGGGACTGACGGCAAAGCCTCCCTCGTTGATGCTAAATAACTGCACTTTCTGGACTTAACATCTCCCCTGCACGTTTGTTTAACAAAAAAGAGTTTCATTTTACAAATAACGATGTATTAACCGAGTGGTTGTACACATAAAATAGCTGATGGAGCGTCTAATGAGCAAGACAATATTTTGCCTTACAAATTCGTCGTTTGAGTTTGGAAATTCCAGGATGCCTACTGTCCAAATACATTTCACAATCTGCATTTGTCTGCGTGGAGCCTGAATGTGAAAATGAGGCAGTGGCTGATGGGATGTCTCATTTGGTTGGGGAACAAGATGTAAAGTGGTGTCCGCATACTTATTGCTTCACCATGTTTTACAACCATTGTCTAGACACACAAAGTATTTGCACAATTTAGCGATGATTTTATCGTGTAAATCGACCTCATTACTTTCCTTGAAAATCACTCGGAACATGCCAAGTGGAAGACTGCGACAGCAGAGAGCTTTCCAGGTGAACAAACCACAATCGAGACGCTGCCAAACGTTTCTCAGTTAAAAAGGGGAAGATTTATTCCCACATTTCATCTCAATTTGAAGACAACGTGCTGCCAACAACTTTCCACTCAAGCGCGTGAGACGCTTCAACGTTACGCACTCACTCCCACCACCTCCCTGCCCTAACGCCAAGCGATCTCCGTCCGTCTTCACCACTCCTCTTGGCCACTCAACTACAGTCGACTCTCGATCATCCGCGTTCATGACAGGGAGGACGCCGGGGGATAATTAAAAATCGCGGATAATCCAAAAAGGATACATTTTCCGTGGATCTCTATGCCAAAAAACCCACTAATAAAGGTAAGCATTATTTTGAAGTAAAGAAAATTTTGTTTGTTAATGAACAAAAAGAAACATTTGAAGGAAAGAATCGACTGATTGATGCGCGTGCTCAGTGACGGAATTTTCCTGCTCCCTCACAGAAGACTCGGCCCACCAAGTGGACAGCAGCAGAGCCACGCCAATCAACAGCAATCAAACTCCGCCCACTGTTGTAAAGAACTACAACTACTGTACTGTAGAGGCGATCACGTGGCTTTCGGATTAACCAGAGCACATATATGTTCGGTTTAAGCACCGTGTGAATTGTAATAAACATTTCCAAGAATAACAATGTGTAACAGTGTTTAGATTATTAATTAGGGCTTAAGGGAAAATCCACGAGTTATTCATTTTAAAAAAATCTCAGGTGCGCGGTTAATCCTCAAGTCGGATAAATCGCACGTGGATAACCGAGTCTACAGCACCTGCCTGTGCCCCAAAAAAAATAATCATCATGCGTCGTTGTGGAGCGTATAACAGGGAACAAGCAGACGGTACAACTCAGTTACACATCTGTCCCTTCACGGAAAAGGTTGTTCAGCACATTCCATCAGCCACACGGCCTTCTCGGAGGCATCGTTGAAAATAGATGGCACCGGGCTGTGAAGGGGATCATGTCGATCTACCATCTCGCAATACATCCTCCGCACCCAAGCGGGAATCGATCTTTTAATCGGCAACAAGAGGTCGTTACATTCAGCGCAATGTCAATTTTAAAAAAATCGAATCTTGAATCGTGACCCCGAATATCAATAATTAATTTCACGGGAAGGTGGGAGAATCGTTACATTGTATAAAAATAAATCGTGGGTTTTCTTAAAAGTAAATGCGACGTTTGGGCTCGGGGAACGTACGATAACATTCTAGGTAGACTAGACAAAAAATATGGTACAAATAAAACAAAAGTTATATTCTTTACTTGAATCAAGATACCAAACTGTGACAATGCCTCTCTCAGTCCTGGCCGTGGCGAATGGCGACGGGTCGAGTCTGAACGTGCTGCCCGTGTCGCCCGCACAGCGCCCTCAAACAGCTGCAGCAGCAGCAGCAGCGTGTCGCGCCGGCGTCTCCCATCGCTCCACTGCGATGGCGCTTCACTTAAACTTCCTACCTCTCCCACCCGAGCCCTTGGCAGCCTTGGGCCTGCTGTTCCTCAACCTCTCGTTGCGAGCCTCTGGGGTCCTGAACCTCGCCCCTGCGCCTCCGGCACCCCCCCTGTCCCGAGAAAAACCCCTCCCTGGACTCCCACCACGACCACGACCACCACGACCACCATCACTGCCACGACCACCACGACCACCACGACCACCACGACCACCAGCACCACGACCACCAGCACCACGACCACGACCACCAGCACCACGACCACCAGCACCACGACCACCACGACCACCATCACCACCACGACCACCACGACCACCAGGGGACCGCTGGCCTCTGCCTCTCTCGCCCTGCATGCCACCCCTGCCCCTGCGAGCGAGCCCTCGGTCGGCGCTGCCCCCGCGCCCACTCCCAAAGCTCCCACCCCTCGTCCCGCCGCCCGTCCCTCCCCTCCCCCCGGCGCGGCCCCTCGCGCTCCTATCGTAACCGCGGTTGGGAGTTCTTTCGTGCGAAGTTTTTCGTCTCTTGGCTGGGAAGAGATCTGTAAGGAGCACGGAGGGGGGGGGGAGAGAGAGAGAGAGGAACACTTTACAAAATGCAGCGCGTGCTTCGGGCGCCCACCGCTTTGGACGTTGACCTGCGGTGCCTCACACTCGTCGTCAACCGTGTCCAGCTTTGAAGTTGCGTGTGAAGATGCCGTCTGATATTATTTGAACACATTCGCATACGCGGGAAGAAACAAAACTTCTCGGGCCAACAGCACGAGGGATTCACATTCAAACAAAGTGCAGAGCCACAAAGCGTCGGCATCTCAATCCTCAAAAGGAAGAACGCCAATAGACCGCACACGGTTCAACGCCGACTGTGAACGTGGTGGACCAATAAAACCTGTCACCGGGTAGGCAGGGTCGGATTAAGGTTCTTGTAGGGCCTTGGCACTTCTGTTTCGTAGGCCTTCAGAGATAACTGTCGACAGTTGCTACTGCAGATGCCCCATGTCACGACTACCGCCGCTGCCGCTGCCACTCGGCTTGATTCACGCGGTACTTTGTCCAGCCGCTGGACAGATGTCATTACTGTTGACGCGCTCATTCTTTAGTCTGTGCCCTCATTCGATGGAAAGCGCGCTGCGTGCCGCAGATAAGCAGATTTTATTTTTGATTATTGTAAAAAAAAAAAACAAGGTCAGCCTAAAAATGTTACAAGCAAAAATGTCTTCAACAATTTTTTCCTACGATTATCACATCGCATGACGCAGTTTTAAAAGGATGCCGCGTGGTGAGCGCCAAGTTTCTTCCCTTTCGTTTAAGCTTAACGATTTGCTTGACTGTTATTTTACGTGCAAGAACGCCTCACTTGCCACGAGTCGACGCCTCGCTAGCACTACAAAGAAATTGCAACGAGCAGCCAACAAATTAAGTGGAAAAAAGAATGAATGAGATTGTGCGCAAAAACACCATTTGAAGATGTTATTGTTCATTTTGCAATGAAAAAATCTCGAAATTCTACTACGGTCTTTATTTCTCACACCTTATGAAAAAAAAACGAATGACATTGACATGACTCTGCCTCTTTGTAAAAACACCGTGCCTATCCTTGCTATATAAATATAATTATTCAAGAAGATATCTTGGTTACATTTTTTATCACACAAACAACAACAAAAATTGTCAAAATGTTGTTTCGTAGGCCGTTTCGTTTTCGTAGGCACTAAGCACAGTGCCTCCTGGGCACTCGGGGGGGGGGGACCCCAGTCAGGCTGACCGGGTTTGTGCGCCCAGGGCCCAGCGCGTGACCAAGCAAAGCGCGCGAAGCCCCGAACACCCCGGGCAGCGCGCAGAGGACGGGCGGCCTCCACGCGCGACCACCTCCCGCGGTCCCGCGAGTTCACCCAGCGCGCATCCCTCCCCACCTGCGTCGGGCTCCTCCCCGACTGCTTGACGGTAGAACTCTGCCTCGTCGTCCTCCTCCTCCTCCACGGCGTCGCCGCCGCCCGGCTTCCCGGACGAGCAGGGGTCCTCGGCGTCGCTGTCCGCCTCCTGCACCTGGGACAGCTTCCGCTTCATGCCGGCCAGGCTGCGCAACCTGTAGCAGCAGCGGCGGCGGCGGCAGCAGCAGCGGCAGCAGCGGCGGCAGCGGCGGGGGCAGCAGCGGAAGCGGCGGCAGCGGCGGCGGCGGCGGCGGCAGGAGCGGCGGTGGCAGCAGCATCGTTAGCGTTTTCGATGGCACAAGCAGAGTGGTTCCTTGCTCAAAATGGCACTGGGTGGATGGTGTGTGGTAGACATGGTATGTACAGGAGTGTGTGGTGCAGGCTGCGTATACAGGAGTGTGTGGTGCATGGTGTGTGTACAGGGGTGTGTGGTGCATGGTGTGTACACAGGAGTGTGTGGTGCATGGTGTGTACACAGGAGTGTGTGGTGCATGGTGTGTACACAGGAGTGTGTGGTGCATGGTGTGTACACAGGAGTGTGTGGTGCATGATGTGTACACAGGAGTGTGTGGTGCATGGTGTGTACACAGGGGTGTGTGGTGCATGGTGTGTATACAGGGGTGTGTGGTGCATGGTGTGTACACAGCAGTGTGTGTTGCATGGTGTGTACACAGGAGTGTGTGGTGCATGGTGTGTACACAGGAGTGTGTGGTGCATGGTGTGCACACCAGAGTGTGTGGTGCATGGTATGTATACAGGGGTGTGTGGTGCATGGTGTGTATACAGGGGTGTGTGTTGCTTGGTGTGTACACAGGGGTGTGTGGTGCATGGTGTTTATACAGGGGTGTGTGGTGCATGGTGTGTATACAGCAGTGTGTGTATGCATGGTGTGTACACAGGAGTGTGTGGTGCATGGTGTGTATACAGGGGTGTGTGGTGCATGGTGTTTATACAATGGGGTGTGTGGTGCATGGTGTGTGTACAGGGGGTGTGTGGTGCATGGTGTGTGTACAGGGGGTGTGTGGTGCATGGTGTGTACACAGGGGTGTGTGGTGCATGGTGTTTATACAGGAGTGTGTGGTGCATGGTGTGTGTACAGGGGGTGTGTGGTGCATGGTGTTTATACAGGGGTGTGTGGTGCATGGTGTGTATACAGCAGTGTGTGTATGCATGGTGTGTACACAGGAGTGTGTGGTGCATGGTGTGTATACAGGGGTGTGTGGTGCATGGTGTTTATACAGGGGTGTGTGGTGCATGGTGTGTGTACAGGGGGTGTGTGGTGCATGGTGTGTGTACAGGGGGTGTGTGGTGCATGGTGTGTACACAGGGGTGTGTGGTGCATGGTGTTTATACAGGAGTGTGTGGTGCATGGTGTGTGTACAGGGGGTGTGTGGTGCATGGTGTGTGTACAGGGGGTGTGTGGTGCATGGTGTGTGTACTGGGGGTGTCTGGTGCATGGTGTGTACACAGGGGTGTGTGGTGCATGGTGTGTATACAGGGGTGTGTGGTGCATGGTGTGTGTAAAGGGGTGTGTGGTGCATGGTGTGTATACAGGGGTGTATGTAAAGGGGTGTGTACACAGGGGTGTGTGCTGCATGCTGTGTATACAGGGGTGTGTGTAAAGGGGTGTGTGTAAAGGGGTGTGTGGTGCTTGCTGTGTTTCCATGTGCTGGAGGTGTATGGGTCTATCTGTGCTGACTTACCGGTTTTTCTCCCGCTCGTCCACTTTGCGCATCACGTCGTCCTCCTGCCTGCGCCGCCGCTCGTCCTTCAGCATGAGCTTCGCCTCGCGTCGACGCAGCATTTTCGCGAGCTCATCTTCCGACTTGTGCTCTGCACAAAGACAAATACACGCGCGCACGGGCACACAGATCATTATCCAGGACCAAGGCTTGGAAGTTCCCACTTTAGACAAATTCAGGTTTAAGGGTTCATATATTGTGAGCTCGACAGAGCGAGGAACGAGCAGATGCGTCTCTTATTTGTTCTTGTTCTCGCAACTCGGCTCGCACGAGGCGTGTGTTCGCCACGAGCTTGTCGTGATGCGCCGCACGACCCCCGGAACGGAAACAGGGCGTCAGCGCACGAAAACACGGCGCTCCCTCGGACACGGAGGCACAGAGTCACGAGTAGTAGCGAGTCACAGAGACACGAGTAGTAGCGAGTCACAGATACACGAGTAGTAGCGAGACACAGAGGCACGAGTAGTAGCGAGGTAGAGACACGTGTAGTAGTGAGACACAGAGGCACGAGTAGTAGCGAGTCACAGAGACACGAGTAGTAGCGAGACACAGAGACACGAGTAGTAGTGAGTCACAGAGACACGAGTTGTAGCGAGTCACAGAGACACGAGTAGTAGCGAGTCACAGAGTCACGTGTAGTAGTGAGTCACAGAGACACGAGTAGTAGTGAGTCATAGAGACACGAGTAGTAGCGAGTAACGAGTAGTAGCGAGTCACAGAGACACGAGTAGTAGCGAGGTAGAATCACGAGTAGTAGCGAGGTAGAGTCACGAGTAGTAGCGAGGTAGAGACACGAGTAGTAGCGAGACACGGAGGCACGCGTAGTAGCGAGTCACAGAGGCACGAGTAGTAGCGAGGTAGAGTCACGAGTAGTAGCGAGGTAGAGTCACGAGTAGTAGCGAGGTAGAGTCACGAGTAGTAGCGAGACACAGAGGCACGTGTAGTAGCGAGTCACAGAGGCACGAGTAGTAGCGAGGTAGAGTCACGAGTAGTAGCGAGTCACGTCGCCAATCCGTGGGATTTCCGCACAGCGCGATGGCGTCGCGCTTACCAAACTCGTGGAACAGGACCTTCCCCTGGCACAGGCCCTCCTCGATCTTGATGAGCTGCAAAGTCATTCGGGGACCGATCTGTAGGCAGGAACAAAAAAACAAAGATCCCCCGTATAGCCTTAACACGCCGTTGCGCAAAGTGCTGTTCGTGAGCAGCAGCTATGAAGGTCGGATCGGCATATGAGGGGTTGGTCTGAACCAGCACCGGTTCACACAATTGCTGCTGGTGTTGGCCGTGAGTGAGAAATGAACTCTGGTTGTCCGGGTTCATAGCGCGGCTTGCTAACCGCGCCGCAACCGCTCCCCTCACTGGGCAGGCACGCACACACACGGTCACAACAACAACCGCCATTCACCACTAAGTGGCGATGACGTCACCACGGCGCTTGTGCCATGCTAGGTTCACGTTGAGGCCACGTGAAGAGTCGAAAGCCCGCCGGTAAAGCACGGATTAGGCTCTATCAGCACGTACACAGACACGCACACAGCGCCACACTCTCAACACAGAAGCAAGTCGACATCAACGCACGTAGCGTTAGCGCCACCAGTAGGCGGGGACGCAACCAAAGTTTGTTTGAGCGTGACGAGCGGCAAGAACGGTCCCAACACACAGAGTAACCCCAACACACAGAGTAACCCCCAACACACAGAGTAACCCCCAACACACAGAGTAACCCCCAACACACAGAGTAACCCCCAACACACAGAGTAACCCCCAACACACAGAGTAACCCCCAACACACAGAGTAACCCCCAACACACAGAGTAACCCCCAACACACAGAGTAACCCCCAACACACAGAGTAACCCCCAACACACAGAGTAACCCCCAACACACAGAGTAACCCCCAACACACAGAGTAACCCCCAACACACAGAGTAACCCCCAACACACAGAGTAACCCCCAACACACAGAGTAACCCCCAACACACAGAGTAACCCCCAACACACAGAGTAACCCCCAACACACAGAGTAACCCCCAACACACAGAGTAACCCCCAACACACAGAGTAACCCCCAACACACAGAGTAACCCCCAACACACAGAGTAACCCCCAACACACAGAGTAACCCCCAACACACAGAGTAACCCCCAACACACAGAGTAACCCCCAACACACAGAGCAACCCCCGGTACACGGAGCGTAGCTGTCGAAGAGACTCACAAGGAATCAATCCCAGCCCCATGCAGCGCGGAGCCAGGATTGACGTCGCAGCACGGACCGGAGTTATTCTACGGTCCGTCGAGGCCGTAGAGGGAATCTTTGAAACTAAACTATTTTTATTTAACCAGGTCAGAGCCCACTGAGCTATTAAGCTCTTTTTCAGAAGCGATCTGGCCACAGGTGATAGCTCAACCAAGCGTCCTATAGCGTGGTAATAATGTATAGCCAGGCAAATCCTCTAAAGGCATGTTTCTAAATGTGAAGGGGAAAAACCGGGGTTCCCGAAGAAAATTCCATGCGACCACGAGGAGAAAGACAAGCAAAAACTCCAAATATACAGCAGGCGTCAGGGTCAGGATCGAACCCACAACCTGCTGTGCACCGGGCGAGATCGTTGATATCTCGCCACCGTGAATGCGCGTGTAGTTGTATTGGAGCGCGCGCTGACGCGGACGCATCCATCCCCACCTCCGTGAGCCGCACCGCACTCTGTTGGGCGGCCATGTTGCCGCGGCCCGCCAGAGACTGGGGCAGCTCGGTGATGTTGTGGTCTCCATCCACCTCCGCCTCGCTCTCCGAGAGGTTCCCTCCCCTACACGCGCACGCACGCACAGAGATCCTGCGTGTAGCCTACAACGCTGTTGGGGCAAGTGCTGTTAGCGAGCGCCTATGAAGGCCGGCACGACACGCTAGGGAGGGCGGTGGCCAGCACCACGCCCGGCCGCCTTTGCCACCCCAGTGCTGATCTTAACACACCGCACCAGATGCTCATTTAAGGCCGAGTCGACCTCTGGAAGGCCCAGGACCGGTTCGAATATTCGCCACTGTTTTTGCTCGTGAGTGGGAATTCAATTCGGGTTGTCGTCGGGTTCGTCGGGGAGTGCGCTCACCGCTACGCCACTAGTCCCCGCACGCACGCACTCACACACGCGCAAGCACACTCGGCTCACAGGCACACACCTCGAGGTATGCGCTACTGCCAAGACGGAGACAATCCCAACGAGCACGAACCTTAACAAAAGGTCGCTGATGTCTGAAAACCGCGACATGTTGGGGAATCGCTCCTGCAGCAGTTTCTTCACTCCCTTGCTCATGCCGACAGGGACCACCCTCAAGTTACTGCGCACACACACAAAGACAAAGATCACCCGTATAGCTTCAACAGACTGTTGGGGCAAGTGCTGTCAGCGAGCAGCACCTCTGAAGGCCGGCACGACCCACGAGGGGGTGGGTAGCCGGCACCACGCCCGGCCGCCTTTGTCTCCCTAGTGGCGATGCTTACACACCGCACCAGGTACTCATTTGAGACCGAGTTGACCTAGAGGAGGCCCAGGACGGAGTAAGACATTCGTCACTGGTGTTGGCTGTGAGCGGGAATGGAACTGTCTGTGGCCGACACTTGCGAGAACCGTGGGGTTGACATTTAAAAAAAAAAAGTACCCAACTAGAACGGCATAAGCCCCGTGGGTGAGCCAGTGCTATTCCGAGTCTGTCACCTTTAAAGTACTTTAATTAGCGATTCGGTGAAGTTTTTTGTTATTTATTTATTACTTGCGCCTCCTAGCGCACCAATGCGCGCATCTACGCATGCGCGCCCCCTAGCGACGCGCATTCGCGTTAAAAAAGCAACAAAAAAACACATAACTGAGGTACATTCTTCAAAGTGTGTTTTCCTCTTGTCCCACCCCAATGCGTGCAATTACTACTATAGGGTTGGTAGATACTAATATTATAGAGCTTACGTACTATTACTGTAGAGTGGGCGGGGGGATGGTGAGGGGAGAGGTAGCGGCCCAGCCTGCCAAGGTGCCACCTCAGCCGGATGGGCAATCTAGGCGAGGCCGGGGGCTCTGCACGGGACTAGGCCTCACCACTACACTCTGTGAAGTGAGTACTATCATAGAGTCGATATATACTATTATAGAGTTGGTATATACAACTATAAAGTGGGTAGATCCTACTGTACAGTTTGTAGGTACTGCTACTGTAGAGCGGGCTGTGGAGGGGGGTATAGCAGCCCAGCCCCAGCCTGCCAAGGTGCCACCTCGGCCGGCTGGGCAATCTAGGAGAGGCCGGGGGCTCTGCACGGGACTAAGCCTCACAACGACACTGTTAAGTACTATATTCTTAGACAACTAATATTTAAATATTAAATTAGTAAATATTAAAACAATGTGTGTGTTTAAGTCCATGTGTGCGTCTGAGTCGATGTGCGTGTCTGCGTCGATGTGTGTGTGTAAGTCGATGTGTTTGTGTGGGTCGATGTGTGTGTACGTGTGGGTCGATGTGTGTGTGTGGGGGTCGATGTGTGTGTGTAAGTCGATGTGTGTGTATGTGTGGGTCAATGTGTGTGTGCGTGTGGGTCGATGTGTGTGTGCGTGTGGGTCGATGTGTGTGTGTAAGTCGATGTGTTTGTGCGAGTCGATGTGTTTGTGCGAGTCGATGTGTGTGTACGTGTGGGTCGATGTGTGTGTACGTGTGGGTCGATGTGTGTGTACGTGTGGGTCGATGTGTGTGTGTGTGGGGGTCGATGTGTGTGTGTGGGGGTCGATGTGTGTGTGTGTGGCTCGATGTGTGTGTACGTGTGGGTCGATGTGTGTGTGTGTGGCTCGATGTGTGTGTGTGTGCGAGTCGATAGGTGTGTCAGTCGATGTGAGTGTGTGTACGTCCATGTGTGTGTAAGTCCATGTGTGTGTGTGTGTGTGTAAATCCATGTGTGTGTGTGTAAGTCCATGTGTGTGTGTGTAAGTCCGTGTGTGTGTGTAAGTCCATGTGTGTGTGTAAGTCGATGTCTGTGTGTGCGAGTCCATATGTGTGTGTAAGTCGATGTTTTGTGTGTGTGGGTCGATGTCTGTGTGTGTGCAAGTCGATGTGTGTGTCTTTTTCACCTGGGCAACGCCAGGTACTTCCCGCTCGTGTTTAAATAAACTTGACATTTTCTGACAAGCAATGTAGCAACTATACAGAGCCATGGTTTGACTTCCCATACACTGTGCAGGATTTATGCGTGTGAACACAGCGATTTGTGACGACACTAACTTGTCTGCGACTCTCGAAGTCTACTTGGTATCTTTTTCAAGAGGCGAGAGAGACAGAATTTGTTCCAAGACAGGAATTCTAAAACAGAGTTGTGCGTGTCTGTGTGTGGGTGTCTGTGTGTATGCATCCGTGCGTCTGTGATGGGGAGCAGTAGTATAACGGTTAGCGCTACGCTGCGCTACGAACCCGAGCACATGAGTTCAATTCCCGCTCACGGCCAAAACCAGTGACGATTATCTGAACCGGTCCTGGGCCTCCCCTAGGACGACTCAGCCTCAATTGAGTGCCTGGTGTGGTGTGTAACCATTGCTACTAGAGAGACAAAGACGGCCGGGCGTGGTGCTGCCCACCCATCCCCTCGTGTGCATGTATTCATGTTGAATTTCTTTCGCACCTTATGTAGCCAACCGTGCTAACTGGAGGAGCCTTCATAGGTGCTCGCTAACAGCACTTGCCCCAACAGTCTGTTAAGGCTATACAGGGGATCTTAGTCTTCGTTGTGTATGCGTGCGCGCGCGCGTGCAGGAGTCTCTTACTAGTGGCGGAAGTCCATGAGCTTGGTGTCAGGGTCGTAGTGAAACAGGACGCAGCGCTTTATCATGTTCAGCCGGACCTGCCAAAGCACCGAGAACGAGTCACCGCTCGGCACGAGCGACAGGACACACCACGGGATCTGCTCATCCTCGTGAGCAGCAGCAGCACGGAACGGGAACCCCTCGGAGAAAACCTCACGCATACGAAGAGAGGCCAACACTCAATCCCCAAATAGAATGAACGCAGACGGAGCCCCACTTGCTGCACTGCAAAATCCCTGGCAAGCCAGCAAGTGGTGCCCTCACAGTGTGTATTTATGTGTGTATGTGTGTATTTAGGTATGTGTGTATTTATGTGTGTATGTGTGTATTTAGGTATGTGTGTATTTATGTGTGTATGTGTGTATTTATTTATGGGGAGCGGTGGTGTAGCGGTTAGCGCGCTGCGCTATGAACCTGGCAACCCGGGTTCGATTCCCGCTCACGGTCAACATCAGTGACGATTATCTGAACCGGTCCCGGGCCTCCCCTAGGTCGACTCAGCCTCAAATAAGTACCTGGTGCGGTGTGTAAACATCGCCACTGGGGAGACAAAGGCGGTCGGGCGTGGTGCTGGCCACCCACCCCCCTCGTGTACCGTTCCGGCATTCATAGGTGCTCGCTAACAACACTTGTCCCTACAGTCTGTTAAGGCTATATGGGGGATCTTTGATGTGTGTATTTATGTATGCGTGTGTATTTACGTATGTGTGTGTGTATTTACGTATGTGTGTGTGTACGTATGTGTGTGTTTATGTATGTGTGCATTTATGTATGTGTGTATTTACGTATGTGTATATTTATGTGTGTGGCACAAGCGTCGTGGTGACGTCACCGCCACTTAGTGGCGAATGGCGGTTGTTGTTGTATTTATGTGTGTGTATGTTAACTTCTTCCGCAGCCAACCGTGCTAATCGGAGGTGCGGGGGAAGGACAACACGCTTTAACAAAAAAGCATGAGTGTTTAATTTAGATTTTAAAAGTGCATAGCTCTGGTGACTTCCCTAATATAAAGATGAGACCCAGACACCCATGGAGATCAAGAGACTCGTATAGAAGCATAGAGACCTATAGAGACCCATACTCTTATGTGTGTATGTAGAGTTTATTTCACGCTGTACGTAGTCAACCACGCTAATCAGAGGTGCAGAGAAAAACAAAAGACTAGTATATTTTTATTTTACCAGGAAAGGCCCACTGACCTGGCAGACGAAGTGGTTTATCAAGTGGAAATGTATAGCAGCCAAATATTCTAAACGCACGTTTCTAAATGTGGAGGAAAAAACCGGAGGACACCAGAGAGAGACGTGCAAACTCCACATATCCAGCAGGCGTCAAGGTCCGGATCGAACCCAGGACCCTCCTGCATACCAGGCGAGGTAGTCAACATCTCGCCACCGCGGCACCGGCGCGTGGCGGCGGCTGACGCACCTTGTGCACGTTGATGCTGGGGAACATGTTCTGCAGCATGGCGCCGGTGAGCTTGAGGTGCGTGTGCTCGCGCGACAGGTTGTTGCACACGAGGAGCGGCGGCGTCGTGAACTGCTCCTCGTGCATGCGGTGCCTCTTGATGGAAGACACCACGTCCCTGTGCAGGCAGTACTGCGCACGCGAGAGCGTCGCACGACACACACCGCCACACACACACAAACCGTTACTACCGCGAAGACGTGGGGCATCTTCGAGAGAAGCGTCTCTGTAGGACCCCGCGATGGGGGAGGGGTCGAGACGGACACCGCATTCACCGCGGCCGACACGACGCGGGGCGCTCGCTGCACATGGAGAACCGTGAAGCGGCCTGCTCGGTGGCGATTGGTCGGAAGGTTTGAATGCGGGAGCAGGCGGGGAGATTTGAACAAGGCAAGGGGTCCCGTGGAGGCGGTTAGAAGGGAAGCAGAGGGATTGGTTAGAAGGGAGGGGATGGGGCAGAGACGCGAGAGGAGGAAAAGGATAAAAGGGGAGAGGGGTGAGGGGGAGGAGGAGAGGCGCTCGGGGTGAGGGAAGGCACGGGACCACTGTTGGCTGGTGGTGGGCACTGGGCGTGGTTGTTGAGGGCAACGACAATCGATCGGCATGTGGAGGGGGTTCACAGAGAGAAACATAAAAAATGGCCACTGCTATCCTCGTGTGGAGACCAAGTCCTTGTGGGGCAGTGGACAGCACGGCTGGGTTCACATGCCTCTGGCTGTGCCTTTTGAGAAGCATGTGTGTCATTGTGTGTGTCATTGTGTGTGTCATTGTGTGTGTCATTGTGTGTGTCATTGTGTGTCATTGTGTGTGTCATTGTGTGTGTCATTGTGTGTGTGTCAGTGTGTGTGTCAGTGTGTGTGTCAGTATGTGTGTCAATGTGTGTGTCAATGTGTGTGTCAGTATGTGTGTGTCAATGTGTGTCAGTGTGTGTGTCAATGTGTGTGTCAGTATGTGTGTCAATGTGTGTGTCAGTATGTGTGTCAATGTGTGTGTCAATGTGTGTGTCAGTATGTGTGTGTCAATGTGTGTCAGTGTGTGTGTCAATGTGTGTGTCAGTATGTGTGTCAATGTGTGTGTCAGTGTGTGTGTCATTGTGTGTGTCATTGTGTGTGTCATTGTGTGTGTCACTGTGTGTGTCACTGTGTGCGTCATTGTGTGTGCCACTGTGTGTGTCATTGTGTGTGTCATTGTGTGTGTCATTGTGTGTGTCATTGTGTGTGTCATTGTGTGTGTCATTGTGTGTGTCATTGTGTGTGTCATTGTGTGCGTCATTGTGTGCGTCACTGTGTGTGGCATTGTGTGTGTCACTGTGTGTGTCATTGTGTGTGTGGGGAGCGGTAGTGTAGCGGTTAGCGCGCTGCGCTATGAACCTGGCGACCCGGGTTCGATTCCCGCTCACGGCCAACACCAGTGACGATTATCTGAACCGGTCCCGGGCCTCCCCTAGGTCGACTCAGCCTCAAATGAGTACCTGGTGCAGTGTGTAAACATTGCCACTAGGGAGACAAAGGCGGTCGGGCGTGGTGCTGGCCACCCACCCCCTCGTGTACCGTTCCGGCCTTCATAGGTGCTCGCTAACAGCACTTGCCCCTACAGTCTGTTACAGGCTATACGGGGGATCTTTGTCTTTGTCTTTGTCATTGTGTGTGTCATTGTGTGTGTCATTGTGTGTCATTGTGTCCGTCATTGTGTGTGTCATTGTGTGTGTCATTGTGTGTGTCATTGTGTGTCATTGTGTGTCATTGTGTGTGTCATTGTGTGTGTCATTGTGTGTCATTGTGTGTCATTGTGTGTGTCATTGTGTGTGTCATTGTGTGTGTCATTGTGTGTGTCATTGTGTGTGTCATTGTGTGTGTCATTGTGTGTGTCATTGTGTGTCATTGTGTGTGTCATTGTGTGTGTCAGTGTGTGTGTCAGTGTGTGTCATTGTGTGTGCCATTGTGTGTGTCAGTGTGTGTCATTGTGTGTGTCATTGTGTGTGTCACTGTGTGTGTCACTGTGTGTGTCATTGTGTGTCATTGTGTGTGTCATTGTGTGTGTCACTGTGTGTGTCATTGTGTGCGTCATTGTGTGTGCCACTGTGTGTGTCATTGTGTGTGTCATTGTGTGTGTCATTGTGTGTGTCATTGTGTGTGTCATTGTGTGTGTCATTGTGTCCGTCATTGTGTGCGTCATTGTGTGCGTCACTGTGTGCGGCATTGTGTGTGTCACTGTGTGTGTCATTGTGTGTGTCACTGTGTGTGTCATTGTGTGTGTCATTGTGTGTGTCATTGTGTGTGTCATTGTGTGTCATTGTGTGTCATTGTGTGTGTCAGTGTGTGTCATTGTGTGTGTCATTGTGTGTGTCATTGTGTGTGTCACTGTGTGTCATTGTGTGTCATTGTGTGTGTCAGTGTGTGTGTCAGTGTGTGTCATTGTGTGTCATTGTGTGTGTCATTGTGTGTGTCATTGTGTGTGTCAGTGTGTGTCATTGTGTGTCACTGTGTGTGTCACTGTGTGTGTCATTGTGTGTGTCATTGTGTGTGTCAGTGTGTGTCATTGTGTGTCATTGTGTGTGTCATTGTGTGTGTCATTGTGTGTGTCACTGTGTGTGTCACTGTGTGTGTCAGTGTGTGTGTCAGTGTGTGTGTCATTGTGTGTGTCATTGTGTGTGTCATTGTGTGTGTCACTGTGTGTGTCACTGTGTGTGTCATTGTGTGTGTCAGTGTGTGTGTCAGTGTGTGTCATTGTGTGTGTCATTGTGTGTCATTGTGTGTGTTATTGTGTGTGTCAGTGTGTGTGTCAGTGTGTGTGTCAGTGTGTGTCATTGTGTGTGTCATTGTGTGTGTCATTGTGTGTGTCACTGTGTGCGTCATTGTGTGGGGGAGCGGTTAGCGCGCTGCGCTATGAACCTGGCGACCGGGGTTCGATTCCCGCTCACGGCCAACACCGGTGACGATTATCTGAACCGGTCCCGGGCCTCCCCTAGGTCGACTCAGCCGCAAATGAGTACCTGGTGCGGTGTGTAAACATTGCCACTAGGGAGACAAAGGCGGTCGGGCGTGGTGCTGGCCACCCACCCCCTCGTGTACCGTTCCGGCCTTCATAGGTGCTCGCTAACAGCACTTGCCCCTACAGTCTGTTAAGGCTATATGGGGGATCTTTATCTTTGTCATTGTGTGTCATTGTGTCCGTCATTGTGTGCGTCATTGTGTGCGTCATTGTGTCCGTCATTGTGTGTGTCATTGTGTGTGTCATTGTGTGTGTCATTGTGTGTGTCATTGTGTGTGTCATTGTGTGTGTCACTGTGTGTGTCATTGTGTGTGTCATTGTGTGTCATTGTGTCCGTCATTGTGTGCGTCATTGTGTGCATCATTGTGTGTGTCACTGTGTGTGTCATTGTTACGCGTGCATCAACAGACACCCTGAGAAACGAAACGTTCCATCAAGAGATATTCTAGGTGAAATATTTCTATAAACTTTACATAAGTTTTCGAATGTGCGTATGTTACATTCAAATATTAACACTGTGAGGAAATTGTATTTTTCGGGATAAACGCAACATTGCCTTCAAGTGAGTGAATACTGTACGATTGTTAAACGATGACTCACGGGGTCATAAGCGACGAGAGCCAAGCAATTTAACCACGATGTTCATCTCAACTACGTCGCAAACAGCCCGGTCGCAGACACGGACACAGACGAAAGCGACTCTCACCGAGGAGGCACCGGTGGCAAGGTACGGTCATCCGTCACCACGGGCGAGACGTGGCCTCTGGGTAGCGCATTCACCGCATTTTGCACAAGTTTATGGTTCAATTCCAAGTGGCCGCCCTGGTTGGTGGCACGGATTTTTCTCCGGGTCCTCCGATGTTTCCCTCCACATTTAGAATCACCGCTCCACGTGTGGAGTATTTGACTGCTGCTATAACTCTCCACGTGATGATAAGCCACTTTGTTGAGCTATCATTTGTGGCCGGGTCGCCTCTGAAAAAGAGCTACATAGCTCAGTGGGCTTTAACTGGTAAAATAAAAATCAGTTTTAGTACTGCTACGGGTGTAGCCACCTGGCAATGTTGCACGACGTAGGATTACATTTTTGCTTGACCCCGTTCTGGGTGTTGTACTTTTTTTTTTTTAAATCGATTATCATTTTGCGGTAGAATATAAAACGACTACTCACCTCATTCACTTTGAACGTTATTGTCGGTCCGTTGGGAATGCGCGCGAGTTTCTGTGGGATAGAAAAGAACCACGCTCTCCATGCATCCTGGTCGTCGCTCACTTAATCAGGGTGCGAAACACACGACGGGTAACTGTCAACACGTGGCGAGAAAGTGGACCGTGTAACGGGCACACGAAGACAAATAGTTGTGAGATTAATCTTCTTCCTGTCCACCTTGCAGCAGCGCTGCACGAGTGGACAGGAACTGGCGGCTTGGCCACGAAGCGTGGCCTGGTCTCTCGCAGCCACAGCCGTGTCTGCAGGCACCGACAACGGCTTCACTGACATTCTAAAGGATGCCTTGCACCACGCCACACAAGCCGGGACACCCGTGGCATTGTGCCAGCGGGAAGCAATCGCAGCCACACAAACACTCGAATGAGAGACTTGAGCGATGGCCTTCTCTGAAGGCTGCTCGTGGTCTGCCACAACGTTGTGATCTTTTCCTCCCAGCAACAACACGTGTTTTTTTACTTTTACTTAAGTTTGTTTTTTCTTTGCCGTCATGTGGTTGAAGCGAGGTACCCACCATCTGAGACCATGCTGACGTCTGGCTGTGAACTCATCGATTGGAATTTCCATTAATGAATACTTAGCAAATGTAAAATAAGTACATTTTAGATAACCACAGGATGATAAAAATGTTTAATGTCACGTGACATGTGTTTGGGTAGTGATAGGGGTAGTGATAGGGGTTTGGGTCGTAATAGGGGTAGGGGTAGTAATAGGGGAGCAACAGTTGCATGATGGGCAAGCGAGAAGAGATGGAGGTTGTTTTAAGGGAGGAGCAGAAGCAGCAGCAGGTTGTTAAAGTGAAGACGACTGCTCCCTGTGCTGCAGTGGGAGTTTGTCCCAGTGAAGGGCAAAGAGAAGGGAGAAGGAATAAAAGCGTGACTGGGTGCAGGGTGAAGGAGGCACAGAGAGGGGTGGAAGAGATTGGGATGGGATAGAGTCGTGAGATACGACAGAAGCAAGATATGGTGGGACAAGACAATGGAGGGATTTGTGGACAAGAGTGAAGACATTTAAATGGGCAGAGATAGTGGGCAGCGAGCCAGCCAGTGGAGTTGGGAAAGTGGAGCAGAAGTGTGGGGGAGGTTTAAAATCCGGCAGAGGAAAGTCGTATCGGTCGATGTTGGAGAGGCGTAAGCAGGAAGAATGTAACGAAGCTTCGTGGAGTAGTCGAGCTGAGTGAATTCGAGCGATTGAACCCCGGGGCTTATAGGAGAGAGTGAGAGGAGGGGAGGGATGTTATGAATTCTGAAGAGGTGAGAGCAGAGAGTCTGGGTAGTGTCAGAGGGAGGAGTTGAAGATGGCACCGAGGTTGTGGGCAGAGAAGTCGAGAGGAGTGAGGGAGAAGGGAGGGGGGGGGAGAGATGGTAGAGCAGGGTGAATGTGTGTTTTCATGATATCTTCTTGAAAGGAATTCATAATTGAGAATTTACCAAAATAGGGCAATAGTGAACACATCGATTGAACGCCCCTTTCCAGAACAGAAGCAGCACGGGAGCAGTAAAGTCATCCACTCACCAGGTTGATGCCGTCCAAAGTTTTGGAGAAAATCATGAAATGCGTGATGCCCAAGGGGCCGGACACGGTTACAAAATCTTTGAGGACGTTCTTGCGGCCAACCTGCACACCCAGAGGGATAGAAAACCGCACGAGGCCACATGGTTCCACAAGCGATGATCTGCCATGCGTTGATCTGCCATGCACAATAATGATCGGGCTTTGAGCCGCAGAAGATATTTGATTTTGTGATTATGACTACACTTGTTTACGAGCAAAGCCTACCCGAGCCTCAGTGCTTAATGAGGAGGGTCCTACCAAGTGTTCTCAGTCGAGTGTGACATTAGTACGTGTAATCACAATCAAGTAAATTGCAGATACCGTAATTGTTGATAATTGTTTTAGAGTGTGTAGAGAGTGTTTGTTTAGAGTGTGTGTAGAGAGTGTGTGTGTGCAGAGAGTGTGTTCAGAGTATGCGTGTTTGTGTAGATAGTGTGTGTAGATAGTGTGTGTGAAGTGTGTGTGAAGCAAGTGTGTGTGGGTGTGTAGCGAGTATGCGTGAAGTGTGTGTGTGTGCAGAAAGTGTGTGTGTGTAGCGAGTTGTGGCGGCCGTGGTGCGTGCGCGAACCTTGAGGCTGCTGGCGGTGTAGGGCTGCATGACACGCCTTGTGTCGGTCACGAGCTGCGTGAGCGTGTGCGACGGGGTGCCGCGTGAGAACACCAGGGTGTGTGGGACCCCCGAGAAGGCGTCCTGCGCCGCCTGCTCCGCAAGCGACGACGCCTTGCGCTGGTTGCGCGTCTGCAGCCCCAGAGAAATGGCAGCCCCCCGCATGATCGCTCGCACATGGCCAACTGCAATTGCGCCACACGTCCGGGCTCACCGGGTTAAACGAACACCGCTTCGGTGATCACTGTGGAGCTCTGCCGGGTTCCTCATAAAAAAACCTCGTCGAGGATCCCCCCACCGCTCCCCATCCACCGCTCCGCACGACTTTGATCTGTCAAGAAAACAGTGGCGGCTCCGTCGAGCCGCTAGAGACCAGCGACCTTCTTCTTTGGTTCTTTCGGTAAAGTCACGTAGAATGAGAATAAAATAATAAATTGATCAAATAAAATAACACAATAATATTCTCACGACGTTTTGGCCACAACACAAGCGGCCTTCATCAGGTGAAGGGACGAGACTGTCTGGTAGGACAGCGCTGGAGTGAAAGAGCCACGTTCAGATCACGGCCTTAAGCTGTGTGAGAGGAACAAAGCGCCTTGACAAAGGAATTAGCATATAATTTAGCATTGAAATGGCTGAATGATTAGCTTGTGACTGGTCACAGAAATAGCTATGTTAAAAGTTAAAGCATACACATCCACAGAGGCACCCCTTGTTAAAGGAATTAGCATAGAATTTAGCACACGTGGGGTGGTGTCGTTACAGCCGACCTCGCAGTGTGACTGCGGCCACCTGAACCAAACCACGCACCGTACCATATTCACGAACGGCTGGATTTCGACGCCCGCTCTCCGGCGGACTGGACAGAGTTAGTCGCACTACTACATGGCTCACAGACTTCAACCTGGATGTATAATTTAAGCGTAAGGTACTTGCAATACCGTGAAAAAAAGACTGGGGTTAACCTCGTACCAAATTGCCAACTTCAACCGTCTCGCGCGACTGGGGTCGCACTTGCAGTCGAGGCGACGTGCCACGTGTCTCAATGGGTTTATTTTGTCTCGTGGTTGAACGATATCGACACGGCGCCTCTCTCAGCTAACCTTCGACATTGCACAGCCACGTCCACCCCTGTGCAATGCAGTGGCCACATCTCCACAAACCCATCGACCCGCACCTGATAAATTAAATGTTTCCCCCCTATTCATCCTCAATGCAAAGGATAAAACTCTGCAAAAATCCACGTTGGGGTAGTAAGTGGAAGAAAAAAAAACCTATGCAGGTGATTCTGTCTCTGACCCGAAAACATCAATTCGGGCAAAGAGCCGAGTCAAAAACAAACACGTCCACCCAAATCGCCAAGCCCTGGCTTGACTGCTGCAACCATTGCCAACGCTGTGCCCCTTTCCAAAGTTGTACGTATGATGTGTGTATGTTGAACTTCTTGAGCACCGTACGCAGCCAACCGTGCTAATCGGAGGTGCGGAGTGCCGATACTAATCACGCAGCCGTTCCACCCATTGCCAAACCTCACACTGGTACCAAAGTGTTCCGCTTTGCTGGAAGTCACACGATGGCAATTGCTGTATTCCACCTCTCTTGGTGGCAATCGGGGTGTGCGCTGTGCAGGACCGTGACATTATCCAATAGGCACAGGAGGCAATGTGACGAGGGCTTATGGAAACCTAAGGGCCTACGAGAAACATTCGACCGTGTTTTTTGTTCGTATGATAAAACATTGTAAATTAACGGGCATCTCGATTTAAAGCTTTCGTGACTGCAAGGATTCATCTTCTTTGGTTCTTTTGGTAAAGTCCCGTAGAATGAGAATAAAATAATAAATTGATAAAATAAAATTACACAATAATATTCTCACGACGTTTCGGCCACAACACAAGCGGCCTTAATATTCTCACGACGTTTCGGCCACAACACAAACGTCCCTTCACCTGATGAAGGCCGCTTGTGTTGTGGCCGAAACGTCGTGAGAATTTTATTGTGTTATTTTATTTTATCAATTTATTATTTTATTCTCATTCTACGTGACTTTACCGAAAGAACCAAAGAAGATTAACGGGCATCCTTTTAAAGCTTCATCATGCGATATTTTTTTTTCATTTCAATAATTTAAAATGAAACCTGCTTATCTGTGGCACAGAGCGCTCTCCCCCCATCGAATGAGGGCACAGACTAAATAATAAACGCGTCAATGGTAATGACATCTGTCTAGCTGAGTGGACGAATTCCCAACGCGTGAAACAGGCGGAGTGACAGCGGCGGTAGTCGTGACATGGGGCATCTGCAGTAGCAACTGTCGACAGTTATCTCTGAAGGCCTACGAAACAGAAGTGCCAAGGCCCTACAATAACCTTAATCCGACCCTGCCTACCCGGTGATAGGTTTAATTAGACCACCACGTTCACAGTTGGCGTTGAACCGTGTGTGGTCTATTGGCGTTCTTCCTTTTGAGGATTTTGTTGACGACGCTTTGTGGCTCTGCATTCTCACTTTGTTTTAATGTACTGTAAAACCTCGTTATTTCGGTATTTGATCATTCGTAACTGGGAAGATAATTAGGCACGGCCGCGCTTTCGGCATCCTTCCGGTGTATTAGTAATTTGCCACGAGCCGAATTGCCGTGCCGAATGTTCCAATTTCGGCATAGCACGTGGAGCGCCACGACCAAAACGACGACTCTCGGTCTGGTGGCGGTGCACGTGGTGAGCGTTAGCGCAGAGCTTCCCGTTGCCTTGGACTTCACAGCGACGGTCGAAACATGGGGGGGGGGGGACAGCAGCAGTATAGCGGATGCAGAAAGTTATCTCTGAAAGCCTACGATGGACACCTGTGATTCTACATTGCCGTTCAAGGCTCATATTAAAAAGATCACAGAGACTTCATTTTTCCATCTTGCGGAATATCTCCCGCATCCAATCCCCTTCTCTCTGACACGGATGCAAAAAAAGCTGGCCCATGCCTTCGTCTCGTCTCGCATAGACGATGGTCATGTCTTACTTACTCCCTTGCGTGGTGGCCAAGAAGGTGCTGATCAATTTGCAGCATTTTGATTTAAAGCTTTCGTGACTTTACCGAAAAAACTAAGAATATGAATTTGCAGCATGTTGAGAATGCGGCTGCTTAGGGTGTTAACAGGAACACCTTTACATAAAATTACACCCGTGTTGGCCTCCCTGCACTGGCTTCCCGTTTTACATAGAATACAGTTTAAAATACTATTGGTTTAACACATAGGCTTTCGCGACCAATATCATCCATCATCCAAAAAAACCTTATGTTAAAATACTATTAACTTACAATGTAGTGAACCGTCTTTCCCCCGGCTACATCATTGACATAGCTGCACCCATATGTCCCATAAAACAGTTTAACACGTCGGCTTATACTATCCACGATAACGTTTTTTTGGGGTGGTTAGATCGCGTAAATATAAATGTGTGTCGTTAAACCCGCCGCCACCCGACACAGCCAATTAAACAAGGTGTGCGTATTTCCATTTAAAGCTTTCGTGACTGCAGGGATTCATCTTCTTGGTTCTTTCCGTAAAGTCACGCACGTAGACGGGAAATAATAAAATTTTATTACTTTTTATTTTTTTATTATTTCCCTTCTACGTGACTTTACCGAAAGCACCAAGAACAAGGTGTGCGCACTTAAAATAAAAAACGTGCCCACAGTCGTGAGACCGGTGTGTTGGACAGTACGCGCGCAGCATAAACGCAATTCGAATCGCGACGTTTAGCGAAGTGATTGCGACCAGCATCATCAGGCGCAGTCGGAACTGAACGATGCGCAAAAAAGAAACCTCCCCCAAGCCCTGCGATCACTGAGCGAGAAGAGAGACGCACGAGAGGGACGCGTGGCTTTGAGAAGGGGCCGGCGAGCCGCCGCCGCCGCTGCTGCGTTCTGTGGAGGGTGGGGTGGGGGTCTCAGCCAGGACACGTGGCTGGAAGGGAAGCCGGCATCTGTGTCGCCCGTGCGTTCATCTCGCTGCGCCCGTCTCTAACTATATATGTCCTCTGTACGCACGTCGGCGCGTGTCCTCGTGGTTCTGTATTTTTCTGTTTCACTGTGCGCATATTTAGTTGTGCGTATCTGTCGTGAATCCCTGTACTTACACGCGCGCATCTTACACGCGCGCATCTGAGCCGGTGCAACACGTGTATCCAAGCGACCATATCTCTGTCTCTCGATCTCTTGTATTTCAGCATGTATCTGAATGCAGCTCTCTGTACATCTCGCTGCGTCTCTGTGTATATCACTTTATCCTGCATGTGCCAGTGAATCTACCTTTTGTATCTTTCTCTGTGAATATCTCCAAGGATATCTGTATACTCTGTGTACATCTCTGTATCGCTCTCTGTGTATCTCACTATCTCCCTGTATGTATCTCTGTACTGTATAAATGTAAATCTCTTTATTTATCTCTATCTCTGTATCTATCTCTGTCCTTCTCACCTCTGTGTATCTCTCTGTGTATCTCTCCGTGTCTCTCTCTATCTCTCTCATTCTCTCTGTATCTCTGTGTATCTAGCTCTCTCTATAAATCTCTCTCACCGTCTAGCTCTCACCTATCTCTGTCTATCTAGCTCTCTCACCTTCTTTCCTGTCTCTATATCTCTCTCTATATCTCTCTGTATCTCTACCTCTCTATCTGTCTCTATATCTCTATCTATATCTCTACGTCTCTCTCTGTCTCTCTATATGTGTCTCTATATATCACAATGTCTCTCTCTGTCTCTCTCTATATCTCTCTGTGTCTATCTATATCTCTCTGTGTGTCTCTCTATGTGTCTCTCTCTCTCCGTGTGTCTCTGTCTGAGTGTCTCTCTCTGTGTCTCTCTATATCTCTGTATCTCGATCTGTCTATCTATATCTGTGTGTCTCTGTCTATGTGTGTCTCTATCTATGTGTGTCTCTCTATGTGTGTCTGTCTATGTGTGTCTCTGTCTATGTGTGTCTCTGAGTGTGTCTATGCGTGTCTCTGAGTGTCTCTGTCTATGTATCTCTGTCTGAGTGTGTCTATGTGTGTCTCTGTCTATGTGTGTCTATGTGTGTCTCTGTGTGTCTCTGAGTGTCTATGTGTGTCTATGTGTGTCTCTGTCTGAGTGTGTCTATGTGTGTCTCTGTCTGAGTGTGTCTCTGTGTGTCTATGTGTGTCTCTCTCTGAGTGTGTTTATGAGTGTCTCTGAGTGTGTCTCTGTGTGTCTATGTGTGTCTCTGTGTGTCTATGTGTGTCTCTGTGTGTCTATGAGTGTATCTGTGTGTCTCTGAGTGTGTCTATGTGTGTCTGAGTGTGTCTCTGTGTGTCTATGAGTGTATCTGTGTGTCTCTGAGTGTGTCTATGAGTGTATCTGTGTGTCTCTGTCTAAGTGTGTCTCTGTCTGAGTGTGTCTCTGTGTGTCTGTGTCTAAGTGTGTCTATGTGTGTCTCTGTCTGAGTGTGTCTATGTGTGTCTCTCTAAGTATGTCTATGTGTGTATGTGTCTCTGTCTATGAGTGTATCTGTGTGTCTGAGTGTGTCTATGAGTGTATCTGTGTGTCTCTGTCTGAGTGTGTCTCTGTGTCTCTCTCTGAGTGTGTCTCTGAGTGTGTCTGTGTGTGTCTCTCTCTGAGTGTATCTGTGTGTCTCTCTCTGAGTGTGTCTGTCTGAGTGTGTCTCTGTCTGAGTGTGTCTCTGAGTGTCTCTGAGTGTGTCTCTGTGTGTCTGGGTGTCTCTGAGTGTGTCTCTGTGTGTCTCTGAGTGAGTCTCACCTTCTTCCCCATGCTTCTCGTCGTCGTCGCAGTCGCGGCGCTCCTCTCCGTCCCCACGTGTGCGGCGAGGCCCCAGAAGCCACTTCCGGTCCCTCGCTTGGCGGAATTCCGCCGTGCTCAAACAAAAGCCGACGAACAACAACAAAAAAACGTTCCGGGTTTGATTTTGTTCCCCCCCCCCCGCGCCCTCAACCTCTCGGACTCCCCCTCGTGGTGGCCGAGGGGGGTTTGAGGAGGCGTGACGGTCGGGGGGGGGGGGTGGCGATGCTGAGACGACTTCGACGACACCACCGACTTGAGTTGCAAATCAGCAGCAGGAGCGCGTGCCAGCCCCTGCCACCCGCTCACAGAGACCTAAAGCCGCAGGGAATGGATGATGGATTAACAGGTCCCTGCAGGGTGGGCTGGTAGGAACATTGAAATTTTTCACTTCGTTAAAGTATTGAAAGGGGACGGACGGACGCATTAATCTATTGCAGGCTGGTACACTCAGTTTACAACTTCGTTCCTACCAGTATAATGTTTTATGTATTCAATACAGGAGGGACTTGGTTGTATTGAGAATCGGTATCTTTATGTAGACTGCAGCAGTATCAGGAGGAGAAATCCGAAGAGCTATGAAGCTCCAGTATGGGCACGTGATCAGCGAGTTACAGCAGCAGACAACAACAATAATAATGATGAGTACAAAATAGAGAAGGGGCCGTCCATGAATGACGTCACGCGATTTTTGACGATTTTTGAACCCCCCCCCCCGTCACACCGCGTCACAAAGAGTCAGACCCCCCTCAAATATGACGTCACAAAGCTCTGCCCCCCCCCCCAAAAAATTATATAAAACATGCTTCAAATCGCTTTAAACTATTGTCATTGTAGTGCGTATTTAATGTGGCGCTCCACTCTGTTGTAGGAGAAAACATTTATTAAAAAGTATATTTAATTAAGTAGAACGTGTTGTCTATTTAAAGTTGCGCATTTTGATGTGACGTCACATTTCTCAACCCCCCCCCCCTTCGTCACACATCGTCACAAATGTCTGACCCCGCCCCCCCCCAGGTGCGTGACGTCATTTATGGACGGCCCCCTAGCAGTTATTTTCGACTCTCTGAGTTACATTCACTAACACAGCCACCGTTAGCTGTGTTAGTAAAGAGCGACTTTCCATTATTTTCCACTTCCATGTGGCCACTGCGCTGTCTTACATTGACATGCTAATCTCTCACAATACAATGCCCACCCCCCGCAGCTCCGTAGTACCTCCCCCACATTAACGTTAGCTGCCCCGCCCATCTCTAAACCATTTGTAAACAGCTCTTTGATTATATTCGGTAAAGTCACGTAGGTAAAAAATAAAACAACAAAAAATCACGACGTTTCAGCCACAACACAAGCGGCCTTCATCAGGTGAAGGGATCAGGCTGTCTCGAGGACAGCGCTGGAGTGAAACACAGCTAAGCTCAGACCGCGACCTTTAAGCTGTGTGCGAGGAAACAAGGTGCCTTGACAAAGGAATTAGCATAAAAAATAGCAATTGATTGGCCGACTTAGCATAGAGGTGGTGTACATGCGGGTGCACATGCCGGTTGGCGTGGGGGGGGAGGGGGAGTTTCCCTATTGATGGTGTGAAAAGGGAATTTTTTTTAATCCAGGTAAGGCCTCACCGAGCTATGTAACTATTTGTTTTGCAGAAGCAACCTTGCTATGACAAATGATGATAGCTCAACGAGAAGTGGCTTATTATTATTATTGTGTACATTTATATCAGCAGCCAAATAAAAAAAACGCGTGGTGATGTTGATTCTAAATGTGGAGGGAAAAAAACGGAGGACCCGAAGAAAAAGCCACACGACCAAGAGGAGACACTGCAAACTCCAAATATACAGCAGGCGCCAAGGGTCCGAATCGAACCCATGCCCTCCTGCGTCTTGTGTATATTGTACCTGTCAGCATGGTAAGTAGCATCATTTGACACCAATTATCAAAATTAATACGTAAAACTGTTTGTTTAGTAACATAATTCTTTTCTATTTTTTGTTTCTCCCCTTGTGATGGGACTTTGCAGGATGAACGTTGAGATTTATTAGGGCACGGGGTGACCAATAAGGTCTGAATTGGTCTGTAATAAGGTAGGCGCTGATAAGGGGTTGACAGGTATGGGATTTAGGTTTCCATTTATGAAGGTGGATGTGCGCATCAGCCCTGTTCATGTTTTCCATGCTGTTGATGGTTCCACCAACATTGATTTGTGTTCGTGCGATGTTTTATATATATAAAAACTATCTATGTTTCGATCCGGGACTCAAGCGCTTTTTACCTTTACCACAACGGTGCGACAGGTCAAACGAGACCCGCCCCACTCGAGTTATCTGCTGGCCACGCAGGACACTCGCACTGCTGCTGCTGCTGTTGTTGCATCCCCTGGGGCGAGGGGGTCACGGCCCAGTGACATTGAACCATCACGCCAACTCCGCTCATCCTCACAGCAGCAGCGGATTTTAGATGGCCATTGAACAAAGCCGGTGACCGACCGCGTAGGTCGCGTTCAGATGCGCTTGTGGCCGTCTGGAACGCTCTTGTTTCCGATATTAGGAAGCCGTTGGAGCTATGCACTTTTAAAATCGTCTAGATTGACAAAATTATTTGTTTAGAACTGCTTGTTGTGTTTAGTTTGTTGTCCTTCCCCCGCACCTCCAATTCGCGCAGTTGACTACATACGGTGCGAAAGAAGTTAGCATACATACATGAATATGGGTATCTATGATTCTATACGAGTCTCTGGATCTCTCTGGGTCTCTACGAGTCCCTTCTGATATGAAGAAGTAACTGGGGCTATGAATTGTCAAATATAAATTGAAAACTCACGCTTTATGTTAAGATTCTTGTCCTTCCCCCGCACCACCAATTAGTACGGTTGGCTACGTACGGTGCAAAAGAAGTGCAACATACACACTGTACACAAACGCACGGCGAGTGGCGAGCAGTGGACTCGTGGACGCTTTCTCGCAGCCCGGCGGCGAGTCGCGTTGCCATGTCACCGATGGCCGTGCCATGGATGACATGGCTCGCAGAAGCAATGTTTATGAATGTAACCTTTGACCCGTGGCAGCTTTCCATTCGCCAGCTGCTGGGGGCTTTCCTACTCGTGGACCCGCTCCGTCTCCGCTCACTGTTTATTGATAAACTTCGGCGTCTAGCCGCGTGCTGTCTTTCTGTGTTGCCTGTATGCGCAAGTTCAGGATTTTTATGTCAATGTCGAGGTCTGGCTGCTGGCCACGACGAGAGGGCTTCACGGGAGAGTTTGTCTCTTTTCTGCTCTTCCTTCTCCGTTATATATTAAAAGCATCTATTAACTATTTTTTATTTATTTTACCAGGTAAGGCCCCACTGAGTTATATAGCTCTTTTTCTGAAGCGACCTGGCTATCACAAATGATAGGTCGACAAAAGTGGCTGATCGTCGTGGAAATTTATAGCAGCAAAATAATCTAAATTATCTCAATGCGTGTTTCTAAATGTGGAGGGTGAAAAAACGGAGAACCTGGAGAAAAATCCACGTAACCACTGCTTCGACCCAGACCCTGATGCCTGTTGTATATTTGAAGTTTGCGTCTCTCTCGCTCTCTCTCCCTGTGTCACGTGGATTTTTCTCTGGGTCCTCTGGCAATCCCCTCCACATTTAGAATCAACATCACGCATTTCCAGTATTTGGCTGCTACTGTCATTTTACAAATAACCCACTTCGCTTCTGAAAAGCTATGCCGTATAGCTCAGTGGGCTTTACGTGGTAAAATTAAAAAAAAGTTTAGTTTAGAAGCTTAATGTGGATGTTGTCTGCATTAAACAAGTTATACCCTTCTTGCCTCCACGGCCATAATTGGGAATATATAATCGACGTATCCGTTAATGGCCCTTGTTTTTTTGGCAGAGGCCAAACATAACTGTTGCATAAAGGGCCATTGGCCGAAATCTAAGATATATATTTTTATTTTAAGGCCAGTGTCTTTCATGAACGTGATGAGTTTTTGGTTTGTAATTCTGCACCACTGCCAACGCAGTGTAACCAAATATTGTTATGTATGACGCAGTGTAACGAATTCATGTCATGCACGTGTTAATTCAGCGATTGGTATATCTGCAATTCTCAACAGGCTGGAAAAAAACCACTGAATTGGAGGTGGGTGGGGACCATTGACCAGTTGAATCTCTCAAGGAATGTTCTTTTATTTCCAGTTGTTTTTGCATAAAAGACCGGCCGAGCCGTTAGGACCCTGCACTCACCACGCGAAGCGCATCGCCGCTGGCTGAGGGGCGAGTCAAGGCGGTCCCAACACGTCGGGCTCTACCCCGCGTGTACGCCCCCCCACGTCTTTACATAAGGAGTTCGTCACAGAATGCCAGCATTGTAGCCCACGAGTCAAATATGCTAACGTCTTAAAAGCCTTGCAAACACGGGTAACGTGTACGACTGTATATATGCATGCATCTCTCATTACAAATTCATGTCATCTGTGAAATGCACGTTGCGTAGTCAAAAACTTTAAGCAAAAAAACACATTAAAACGGCACAATCATTTATTATTATAGCCTTAGTTCCCTATTTTTTTATTTATTAAATATTTCATCACTTGTCCCTGCTTCCAGTGGTTGACTACATCTGAATTAAGGGCACTACCTGGAACTTGTTGACCCGGACAAATCATTACGATTCTTTAAAAAAAAAAACTTCGGTAATCAATTCTGAACTTTAGCAATAAATATTGTTGTACCAATAGCAAGGTTACTGATAATGGTGCGTGAATATATCTGTGTGTTTCCAGGATCATTTCAGTCGGCAGTGGCATCATCAGCACAATGTGAAAGAGTGATCCTCAAGAGCGGTGAATCCACACACCTGTGTGCGCGCACTCAGGCCATACGCATCACTTCATCTCCTACATAAGATTTCTCCAGATGGTAGTGCAAAAAGAGCGTAATTTTGTGTATTACCACGTAAAATGATCGCTAAGTACAAAAGCGTTGAAAATACCTAAAATGCTAACGTGAGGTGAGATTTTGTACAAAACGGACATTTAATGCTCACATAAAAACGTAACTAAAATATACTAATTACACGACTCAATACTAACGCCTTCCTTAAACAAAAAATCATTTCTTTTTCCTTTTTGACGGTGCGTGACTTCCAGTCGCAGATATATCTGAAAAAAGGGAGAAAAAAAGCATTTATTACAGCTCAGCCACATGGAAGGCTGCTTCACATGATCAACATCATCACGAAAACGTGATGTAAAACAGTGGAACAGACTCAAGAGGCTTAATCGCCACTACAAGCACAAAGGTCTACACGCTGCAACAGGACACAGTCAACAAACCTGTACTCCTTACTGTTTGTACATATTATTATTGTGCACTTTTTTTAAAAACAACATTGTTGAGGGCAGAGCACGGTTGGCTACGTATGGTTTGAAAAAAGTTATCCGTACATATTGCAAAATCAGCACTATTAAAAAGTGCAATCGATGAGCGTTAATCAATTTGTTGCATTGATCAAGGTTAGAGATTGAGTAGGTGAGCGAGTGGGTTGGTTTGGGGTGTGTATGTCTATTATTATGACCTGGCGTGTGATGGTTGAAGTGCGAATGAGACAAAACAGCCTGTCTGGTAGACCGAGTCCTCAATACGAGTGGAGAAATCAACAAGTCGTTCACGGGAACGGTAACCACTGTCGTAGCGATAGAAGAGTGATAAGGAGGCAACCGACTGCCATTAAATAAGCGAGTGATCGGATTGATTAAGCGCTTTCTGGATCATCCATTAACGGGACTGCTTTACTCTGAACTATATCAGGCACAGTGAGGGAGAAACTGGGTGCTTAGTGCGGCCTGGAAGCGTATTATTAAATAATACATATTACAATTCCTTAAAGGGGAAACACATACTAATTAACTGATTACTAATGTAGCATATAATTACAATAACACAAATACAACTAATTGCTAATCTACAACTAATTGCTAATCATAACCATTGACTGATTACCAATCGATTGTATCATTACAATATCCCCCCCTCCACCTCAAATCACTGCACCTGAATGAGTTAAATGATGACGTCACCCTGCTGCTCTATTTAAGACCAGGAGCAAGTGAGGGCTTTACCATTCTGGCGAATTGCCCGATGATGCTGGATGTAATTACCAGTGAAACGTCGTACTCAAACTGTAAATGTTGTGGATTCACTCTCCAACACACCGGTGGGCTAAAGTAGTGAAATATTTCTTGTCAACGTGACACTTTTTTGCTGATTGGCCGTGTCGGGTGGTGGAGGGTTACGACACATTTATAAATAACGCGATCTAACCCAAAAACCTTCATTATGAATAATATTGATCGCGAAAGCCTACGTGTTAAAATTATCCCAGTTCTTTAAAGTTATATTTGTATGATGGTTGTTTACCCAGGAAGAATCCCACCGAGTCTCTCACAGCTATCAGAAGGGTCCTGCCAAACCTTTTCATAGTGGGGAACATTGATTGCTATGCATAATCCCATACGGTGTAATTGACGGGAAATTTTTCAAATTTTTCGAATTTGAACCGAAATTTAGACAGCACACGATGGTCTACTCGTTACAAATGTCAAGGGATATTTAGCGTTCACACTGAAGCAATTGTTACCGGCGAAACGTCAGGGTACTCAGGATATAAATGTTGTGGGTTTACTTCTGCAGCACACCGGTGTGCTGAACTAGTAACGAATTGGCATGTTTTGTTTACGTGAAAAACCTTACTATTTGTATTATTTCGCTGTGTTGGGTGGTGGCAGGTTTAACGACGCATTGCATTTCTAAGTACGTGATCTATCCAAAAAATCTCTAATAATATTGGTCAAAAAAGCCTCCTACAGTGAGGGAAAAAAGTATTTGATCCCCTGCTGATTTTGTATGTTTGCCCACTGACAAGGAAATGATCAGTCTATAATTTTAATGGTAGGTTTATTTGAACATTGAGAGACAGAATAACAACAAAAATCCAGAAAAACGCATGTCAAAAATGTTATAAATTGATTTGCATATTAATGAGGGAAATAAGTATTTGACCCCCTCTCAATCAGAAATATTTCTGGCTCCCAGGTGTCTTTTATACAGGTAACGAGCTGAGATTAGGAGCACACTCTTAAAGGGAGTGCTCCTAATTTCAGCTTGTTACCTGTATAAAAGACACCTGTCCACAGAAGCAATCAATCAATCAGATTCCAAACTCTCCACCATGGCCAAGACCAAAGAGCTCTCCAAGGATGTCAGGGACAAGATTGTAGACCTACACAAGGCTGGAATGGGCTACAAGACCATTGCCAAGCAGCTTGGTGAGAAGGTGACAACAGTTGGTGCGATTATTCGCAAATGGAAGAAACACAAAAGAACTGTCAATCTCCCTTGGCCTGGGGCTCCATGCAAGATCTCACCTTGTGGAGTTGCAATGGTCATGAAAACGGTGAGGAATCAGCCCAGAACTACACGGGAGGATCTTGTCAATGATCTCAAGGCAGCTGGGACCATAGTCACCAAGAAAACAATTGGTAACACACTACGCCGTGAAGGACTGAAATCCTGCAGCGCCCGCAAGGTCCCCCTGCTCAAGAAAGCACATATACATGCCCGTCTGAAGTTTGCCAATGAACATCTAAATGATTCAGAGGACAACTGGGTGAAAGTGTTGTGGTCAGATGAGGCCAAAATGGAGCTCTTTGGCATCAACTCAACTCGCCGTGTTTGGAGGAGGAGGAATGCTGCCTATGACCCCAAGAACACCATCCCCATCGTCAAACATGGAGGTGGAAGCATTATGCTTTGGGGGTGTTTTTCTGCTAAGGGGATATGACAACTTCAGCGCATCAAAGGGACGATAGACGGGGCCATGTACCGTCAAATCTTGGGTGAGAACCTCCTTCCCTCAGCCAGGGCATTGCAAATGGGTCGTGGATGGGTATTCCAGCATGACAATGACCCAAAACACACGGCCAAGGCAACAAAGGAGTGGCTCAAGAAGAAGCACATTAAGGTCCTGGAGTGGCCTAGCCAGTCTCCAGACCTTAATCCCATAGAAAATCTGTGGAGGGAGCTGAAGGTTCGAGTTGCCAAACGTAAGCCTTGAAACCTTAATGACTTGGAGAAGATCTGCAAAGAGGAGTTGGACAAAATCCCTCCTGAGATGTGTGCAAACCTGGTGGCCAACTACAAGAAACGTCTGACCTCTGTGATTGCCAACAAGGGTTTTGCCACCAAGTACTAAGTCATGTTTTGCAGAGGGGTCAAATACTTATTTCCCTCATTAAAATGCAAATCCATTTATAACATTTTTGACATGCGTTTTTCTGGATTTTTTTCTTGTTATTCTGTCTCTCACTTCAAATAAAACCTACCATTAAAATTATAGACTGATCATTTCTTTGTCAGTGGGCAAACGTACAAAATCAGCAGGGGATCAAATACTTGTTTCCCTCACTGTATGTTGTTAAACTGTGAAGGGCACAGTGTTGGTGGCTTTTCTCAATTATAATTTGGCTTCGAGAAAGGAAGGTTATCATTGTGCGACTGGGACAGCGTGGCGCCTCGTGCTGATGTTAACGACCCGCACCTCTCGCCACGCAGTAGGACGCGGATCGCGTTGATCTCTTTCGTTGCAAGACGTCCATCTCCTGCTGCACTCCGGAGTCGTCCGGGTCCTTTTCCTTCTGTTTATTCCTGGACGTTTTATCCACCTCCACAGTAGTTTTTGCACTAAGAGAACGGAGAAAACGCGCGTGCATATGCAGAGCGAACACCTGCGTTGGCTCGTCACAACAATTTGCTTTCACGTGGTGCATGTTTTATTTGCCACTTTGCTTTCTCAGCAACTGAAAATGACGCTGGGATGAAAGGGGACCGCTCGGAAGCTGTGAACTCTCGTCCCTGCCCTCGGCAGACTGAGTGCACATCTACTCCTGGCTTGCATGCAAGTGTCTGTACCCTCAGAGTGAGATAAAGCCAAACTAAGACACGAATTGTTAAAAATAGCCACGTGCAACCTCACCTAAAGATGCTGCGCAAAAACAGTGGCAACAGCTACATGTTGGAAAATATCAGGCATACGTAAACACACGTCATGGAGAATAGCAGGTATACATATTCACACGTCATGGGGATATAGCAGGCATATATATATAAACGTCATTTGAATACGAGCCCTGGGAGACTTGAATTTGGTGTGCAATTCATGTTAAGTTTACATCAAAGATCTAGCATTTAATCAAATTAATTCATCCAATAATAAAAGGTCGCATTACCTTAATTCACTCTCCATAGGTGCACCTAAAGGAGAAAAAAAAATGCATTAAAAATGGTTATCCAACAACTAAACATAACACACTGCATATAAGACAAAAACTGGGCCAACGCACTGGATATTCATACCCTTTGGTTCTCTCGGTAAAGTCACATAAAGTTACCCACGTGACTTTACCGAAAGAACCAAAGAGTATGGATTCCTGCAGTCAAGAAAGCTTCAAATCAAGATTGCACTGGATATTGTTACAATAACATGCCCCCACACACAGCGAGCTTTAACTACAATTACACGACAGAATGGAATATTTTTTTTAAATCAAGCCAATAATTTAATTAGCGTTTCCCCCTATAGCCCCTCCCAACCATCCACCACTACCCCTCCCTCACCATGAATGTGTCACAAGTAAATTTAATATGCTTTGACTATGGCATATATTTTTCACATTGTAGATACTGTCACATGTTGTAGTGCATTTTGATATGCATTATATATTACATAGCATAATTCAAGTATCTATGTAGATGTATAATAAAGGTTTTTTGGATTAGATCGTGTAAATATGTCGTTAAACCCGCCACCACCCAACAGCCAACTCTTCAACACATCGGTGTGCTGAAGTAGTAACTAATTGGCACGTTTTGTTTACGTGACAAACCCTTACTAATTGACTGTTTCGTGGTGGTGGGATTAACGACGAATTTATATTAACACAATCTAAGCCAAAATGCCTTTACCATGGGCAACATTGGTCGCAAAAGTCTACCACGTGTTAAACTGTATGTAAATTATTATAGGTCTACCATTTGTTTCACTGCATTTGCATTTTAGATTTTTTTTATTTTGCCGACATAGTCTGGACTAAGTGTGAAATCCGACTAGCTGGGGCTTTTACTGATTTTTTTTTATTGTGCCCGCAAGTTAAGGCTGCGGTGCGCGTGTGTAGTGACCAAACACCACGACGCAACATTCGCTTTCACGGTGGACATTTATAGATCCTGTGACGTCGTCTGAACAAGCATAGGCCACCGTGTGATGGCGTCGTGGTCTAAATTTGCCATATTTTTAAAAGTCGCCTGCAAACATCTGGATTGGAAATCACACAGCAATGGAAGACTCAGAAATACCCTGCTGAAAAAAGTTTTGACACGCAGTGCGAGGCTTCTCTAGCTAAGCACGGGCAAAAAGAACATTCCCGCCATTATCTACGCTTCATCTAGATGGACAAAAATGTATGGATCCCCGTAGATTAGAGCTCCGCCATTGGCGCAGACGAACGGAGTTGCACTGCACAATGCAAATCACAACGTGGAGGAGGCCGAGCAAGGCAGACGTACCGCTCTTGTCACCCGCTGTGTCGACTGCACTCTCGCCAGCTGCTGCCTCTTGGATGGAACTGCTCACCACATCTGTTTTGGGAAAAAAAATGAATAAGCAGCTTAAAATGCATCCCACGTAATTATCTCTTGAACGATACTGTAAACATATAAGTTATCTTGATAAACAAGTATGTAAGGTTTTGATTTAAAGCTTTTGTGACTGCAGGGATTCATATTCTTGGTTCTTTCGGTAAAGTCACGTAGAAGGGAAACAATAAAATAATAAAAACATAAAACAATAAAATTCTCACGACGTTTCGACTGCAACACAAGCAATCATCATCAGGTGTGAAAGCCACAGCAAGAACATTTGAAAAAAAAGTGGCGGTTGTTTCCTTTCTACGTGACTTTACCGAAAGAACCAAGAACAAATATGTAAGGAGAACAAATTACACCATGGCAAAGTGCATTTAATATACCTATGGATTGGCTTTGTGTACCAGCGTCATCTGATGTAGAAGTTGAAGAATGATCTTCCAGTGTCACATCAGTTGAAACCGCTGTGTTGTCCGTTGGCCCCACGAGTTGAGACTGGCTCTCAACGGAAGTAATGGCACTCGGTTCATCCTTCTCACTCGACTCCAGCTGCTCTCCAATTCCACTTTCAAATGGCGTTTTGGCACGGTGTGACTTTTTACAACAGGGAACAGCACCAGCATCTTGAATGATTCCAGAGCCGATTGTAGATTCAGCAGAAGAGCTACATTCCGAGACAAATGAAGAACTTGCGACCTTGGAAGCGTCGGAAGTAGCTTGTTGGTCATTTGCCGACGTATGGCATGATTGAGATTCCAAGTAAGATTTATTGTCAGGTTCTGGAAATTCTGCATTTTTCCTTTCTGGTGACACGTCCATAGACGATTTAGCTGCAGGCGACTCTACAGGCGCACTTGATTTAGCAGACTCTGATGAAATCGAGGATGGGATGTCACATGATGTTATATTCGAATCAGACTCATGTTTGACGGTCACATCTTGGGGAGCAGTACTCTGCTCTGGCTGCTCGGTTTTAGAAACCGCAGAATGGACAACAGCTTCGTTCACATTCGTCGAGTTCGATTCTTTTTCTCTTTCGCCGGTGTTAGATGGTTCAATTACGGGAATAGAACCGGATTTGCTTGTTGAAGGTTCACTACTTACGGGGTTGGTAGTATCACTGCTACATAAAATGTCAACATTGTCCATTTTCTCAGAGACCATCTGATCTTGTGCACAGCTTGGAGGTGAAGACAAACTACTGTCATTTTTCATCGATGACGTATCTGCAGCACCACGCTTCTCTGGTGGAATCACGTGGACAGGCTTTGCGTGGGTATCCACAACACTGCCATCAGCTAGTGAGGAGCAACTCTGCTCCTCTGGTCTCTCTGTTGGGTTTACCATTAAGGTCGTTGCGATCGGTTCATTTGTTTCCCGGAAAGAAATCTTGGCATCGTGTTTATTAGTTGCCTCACTGTTCAACAGCTGCAGAGCATCTCCATTTCCGTTGTTTCTTTCGGGACTTTTAGTGTGTATTTGAAGCGACGCATTGCTGGAATGAATTACAGTTGCGGTTTTTTCATCGGACACTACAGAGTCGACACTTTTAGACTCGCGTGTACCAAAACCCATCGCCGGCTGTGTTGTATTTCCAGCAAAGCACTCTTCGTAATTAGAAGGTGTTGGCCACAGAGGAGGCTTGTGTGCAGAAGCAACAGCGGGATTTTCCAATTCACTGGACAGTGACGGGGAAGGTGTCGTGCTAGCAGTGAAGGGCAAGGGAGCGTACGACAGATTGTGTTTAAGAATATTTTCTCCAACACCCGGCTGCAGGAGAGATGAAGGGCTCTTCATTTGTGGAATGCTCGTCGGTGTTACTTCAGCCACCAACGGCTCAGCAGCTGGAACACTGGACTTGAAGTTGGGCAATGTCGGCAAATAGATATTTCTAACCAGTGGCTCATTCATGAAAGAGGCATTCTTGTCGGGTGCACTTGTCAGGATGCTATGCTGCAGGGAGTGTTTATTGATCTGTGCTCCGGGACTGTCTCCTGCTCTCCGCGTACCCGTCACACTTAGTTTTCTATTCGGACTGGGGATGCTTTTCTTAACGGTGCACTGCGTACCTTTCCTTGAACTCGGGCTACTGCGTTTGACGCCGATACTGGTCTGCCTCTCTTGGTAGGGCTCCTCCGACTTGACGCTCACACCTCCCGGCATCTGTGGAAATGCAGACTGGTTGCCGGGAACCTGCCCTATGGCTTTCAGTGTCGTGGGATTAAGCCCTTGCTGCTCCAAAGTCCGTGCATTGAGACAGGGTTGTTTGGGAGGCAACGGGACATTAATTTGTGGTGGAAAGAGGCCCGCTATCGATGCATTCAGTCTTTCTGGAGAGAGACTGATCTCAGATGGCTCGGTGCTAGGTGGGCAGAAAGACGGCGGTATTGCGTTATAAGGGCGAGGGCTCGCGCGGTTTGGAGTCTTGGGCCTAGAGACGGACGTTTGCAGAGTACCTAATGGTGCACTGAGTGCTTGGTGCTGAGAGCTAGACACTGGCAGTGGTGTTTGGGAAGGCACGGTGTTAGAGGAAAATGCTATTCGAGTTCCTCCGTGTAAAATTTGAACAGATGTGTTCCCCTGCTGCCCTATCTGACCAGGTGATGCCAGTTGAGACAAATCTCTGGTACTTCCACCAAATTTGATATTTGCCGCTGGCAGAGACTGCCCCTGGGAAAAGGGTGAAGCTGCAGAACCAGCGCAAGCAGTCGGGGATGTCTGAAGGTGTCTCGCTTTGGAGTGATCGTCTCGACCAAAGTGATTATTCGGTTTATTTTCTACCATCGCACAACTTTCCTCCTTGATGGAAGGCATAATCGTTTCAGATTTTTCTTGAGAGAAACTGCTAGAGCCAGCAACATCGGCACCCAAAGGCTGAGGCCCCTTTTCACAAACGGCTGCATTATTTGGTCCAATCGGTGCATTTTGCCCGGCAGAGTACATAGCGGATGGTCCATAAAGTGGAAGGGACCGTGGGATTTCCACAGGGTTCAATATAGTTGGTGCAACTTGAGGTTTCAGCGGCTGTAGGTCATGTCCCGATGTAGCAGGAGGGCCAGACATAGGCAACTCTAGTGTGGCGCTGCTGGGGTCATAGCTGTCAAACACATTCTGCTTCTGTGGCAAGTGATGCTCCGTCATTTCTGAGACTTCCCGTGTAGGGTCGGCAACGTCGCGCTGCACGTTCAACTGAAACGAGGACTGGACATCCGACTGATGCTGCTCGTTCATCTTACTGCTGGCTCCTGGAAATTACAACAGACAAAATCGTGCCATTGTATCAGCAAAACAATGTATCTGCACTCTCACATCATTGATACCATAAATTTATTTAGTTTATACCATCAATGACTTCACTTTTAAATGTATAGGTTTGCGAAAATGTTTCGTAACATTGTGTACGGTACACATAACATCCATCTATTTAATTACGTTGTATAATAAAGCAAATATATTGCACAAATAAATAAATAAAAACATCAATCAATTATACTGTAAATGTAGCAGTTTTATTTACCTTGGATAATGATGGGGGTGTGATGATGAGGGTGTGATGATGATGATGGAGGTGTGATGATGGAGATGTGATGATGAAGGTGTGATGGTGATGCTACTTTGACGATCATCGTCATCGGTGCACTTGCTGCCACACTCTCCCCGAGTGCCTTCTCGTTGTTGTTTATAAATCCGACTGCCGACTCGTTTACTATGCAATAGCAGCCAACATCAGACGCACTAACACCACGAGCAAGGTCTCTCCAACAACTCGACTTTTTGAGATAGGCAGCAATCCCTCACCAACCGCGTTTTTCCGCATTCCGCGGTATTTATGTATCAACGGTATTCCTTCGACGTGCCAATTTGCTCACCGCGTGGGTATGAAGTTTGACACTTGTGATTTCAAATCACCCCGCAATCGGCGTTCTCTCCGTGTATCATCGTCTCATCTCCCAGCTCCCTCCCGTTTTGATCGCAGCACAAGCGGAAGAGGAAACGTTTGTGTTGCGATCGAAACGTCGTAGTTTTTTATTTTTTTTATTTTCTTTGAACCTATCTACGTGACTTTACCGAAAGGCCCAAAGAATATGAATTCCTGCAGTCACGAAAGCTTTAAGTCAAGATCTGGTAAACATTGTCAAACACTGGACTAATTTACCAAAAATGTGAAGCCACAATAGCGCGTTAGTTCCGAGGGTGGCTCCCCCCATAAAGCTATGGGGTTTACCGTTTGCTACGGACCATAAAGCCCTCATCGTCAGGCTGAAATTAAAGAGGATTTACCTTGCATGCTCACACCATGCTGAGCTGTGTTTTCGTGATCCTCACTGGGCTCCACTTTAGTTTTTTCTTGCAGCTGCACATCAAGCGCAGCGTCCCCATCGGAGCTGCAGGGACAAGGGAGAGAGATCGCCGCAGTGAACGTTCGACTTGCAGAAGATCACATTCGCGGAGCAAGCGACACAGCTACCAAGCCGATGCGTTGTTGCTTCTTGAGCATTCATCATGCTGCGATCAACATGGGGAAATAGTACAGCGCATTTTCCTTGTGACCATTGGTTTAGCTTTTTCATTACAGAGTCAAGAGAAGTGATTTGCTTGCAATGTGCAATCCTCAACTCTTTACGATGTGGGAATCTTTTATTCAAGAAAGGAATCATTTTCATAGCAGGATAGGAGGTAAACATTTGCTGTATTATCCCTCGTATGTGCTACAAAAGTGTAATCATTTATATGTTGACACATGTCCTTCAAGTTCAACAATGGGAAGGCCATTTTTTTATGAGGCAATTTTATTCATAATAAAAGGTTTTTGGGTTAGATCGTGTTATTTATGTGTCGTAATCCTCCACCACCCGACATGGCCAATCAGCAAAAAAGTGTCACGTTGACAAAAGAAATAGTTCACTACTTAAGCCCACCGGTGTGTTGAAGAGTGAATCCACAACATTTACAGTTTGAGTACGACGTTTCGCTGGTAATTACAACCAGCATCATCGGGCAATTCGCCAGAATGGTAAAGCCCTCGCTTGCTCCCGGTCTTAAATAGAGCAGCAGGGTGACGTCATCATTTAACTCATTCAGGTGCAGTGATTTGAGGCGGAGGGGGGGTATTGTAATTATATAATCGATTGGTAATCAATCAATGGTTATGATTAGTCATGAGTTGTAGATTAGTAATTAGTTGTAAAGTGTGTTATTGTTATCATATGCCACGTTAGTAATCAGTTAATTAGTATGTGTTTCCCCTATAAGGAATTGTAATATGTATTATTTAATAATACGCTTCCAGGCCGCACTAAGCCTGTAGCTGTCAGAGCGATTAAAGTTATTTCTATTTCTCTCAATTTCAATGGATTCTCGAATTAGTCTTTGCCAGTAATAATTAGTTTTACACAACACTTCAACGTTATCAAAATCAATTGTTCTTGTTGACAAGCATGTTCTGCCACTGCCGACAGTTGTGTTTGAGATAATTTAATATTTCTTTGGTGTTCTTTTAGTCTTATGCTGATGTTACGTCCCGTCTGTCCAATATAGCATCTGCCACATAAACAATTAATCCGATATACACCTTCTGTTGATAATTTAGGTAATTCGTCTTTAGTGCAAGATACTAATTTTTGAATTGTGTACTGTACCAAATATTACTGTAATGTTTTGCTTTTGCAAAACACGGGCTAATTCATCAGTTACTCCTGAGATATATGGAATTTTAATTGTTTTAACAATCTGATCGCTTTCAGCCGTGTTGCTTTGCGATCGTGATTTGGCATTCAGTGCTCTGTTAATTTGAGCATTATTGTAGCCATTCTGTCGTAGTGCACCTTTAACGTGTTCGATCTCTCTCACTAGACTTTCACCATCTGACACTGTTTTAGCCCGATGTATGAGCGTCTTGATAAGAGAGGATTTCTGAGCTGGGTGATGATGCGAATCTGCATTCAGATAGGCATCAGTGTGCGTTTGCTTTCTGTAAACGCTGTGTTATTTTACCGTTTAGGCCATGTGCAAGCAAAATATCTAGGAACGGGCGTGTGTTTTTCACCTCCATTTCCATGGTGAACTGGATGGCCGGGTTTTGTGCATTGAGATGATTAAAAAATCATTAAGTGTATCTTTACCATGTGGCCAGACAACCAAAGTGTCATCCACATATCTAAACCAAAAATATGGTTTTAATGTGCTCGAGGCAAGAGATCTTATTTCAATGTTTTCCATGTACAGATTTGCTATAGCAGGAGATAAAGGAGAGCCCATTGCTGCTCCTTCCTTTTGTTTAAAGAAATCCCCTCTCCATAAGAAGTGTTATTTAAACAATGGCCAGCGAGTTTCGGAATATCTTTTGGTAAACCTGTATTCTTTACTAGTGTATCAAGTAATTTAAGTGATTCGTTCACTGAAACCTTAGTGAATAGAGAAATCACATAAAAACTTACCAGAATATCACTAGGGTTAAATATAAAAATCTGTAATATTTAGTGTCATTAAACTCTTCAACCGAACAGAGACGATGCATGTAAATCCTGCTAGGTGGCTCAGTGGCAGAAAGAGTGGCTCTCAGTTGTAAGGTTACGAGTTCAAATCTTGGTTGGAGGTCGACTCAGCCCATAATCCCCTTTGGGGTGGATAAAATAATTATCACTTTGGTGGGGAAGTCAACGATGGTTGTCCACTCGACTTCTATCATCGGAATGTGGAATTTCCACCTCTGACTCCGGGCTGTAAACAGGAGATGAGCACCGTCTTAACACTCATTTGAGCAACAGGAACTCACTGACTATTCAGCAACACTTTGTTTCATTAAAATGATAATCACCACTTACCTGGACTGTACTTTGTCCTGGCGACCAGGAGGGTTTTTCTTCTTTTGATTCCTCACTGGTTTCTTCCGGTTTGCTCCGTTGGCCCCTTGCTTGTTCCCGTGCGCAAACTGTGACGAGGTGATGTCGCTCTGGAGCAGATTGACGAGCAGCGGGCTCGTCAGGGTGACGTCCTTGTTCGCGAGCGACGCCGCCGCCTGCGCCCGGGTGGCCGCCGCGGCGGCCGCGGCCGCCGCCGACGTGGGGTTCATGGCGCCTGCCGAGAAACCGTAGGGTAGAGCGGGGGCCGGAAACCTGCCGACAACCACGCCGCCGGACGTCGGCGACGCGCGCTCACCGACGAGGGCCGGCTCCAACGGAGCGCCAGGAGGGCAGGCGTCACTCCCCGGCGTCCCGGCGCTACGGACTCTGGGACCGCGGCCGCCCTGCTCCTGGCCCTCGGCCTGTTCCGACGCGGATCCGGCCGACGCTCCTTGACCCCTCCCCTGAAATTCCGGGGTTGGGTTTCCGTGGCTGACGCCCGTAATCAGTTGCTGCGTTAGGGCGGCGCAAGGCGACTTGCGCACGTTGCCGTGGCCCGTAGCAGACGACTTCTCCACCGTGCCTACCGACTCCGGCACACTTTCAGAAGCGCTCGTCACAGCTCTTATATGGGAAGTAACATTCATCACTTGTCCCTGTGCACCGGGCACCTGATTTTGCAACGCAACCATTTGACTCTTTGTTGTTGTTACCAACTGTACTTCGGTTTTCGCCATTGTGTTAGGAGGGTGTTCTTCTCGTTGCGCACCGACCGGATTACAAGACACGGGCACCTGGCTTTGACTCAAACCATCGAACTGCGCATCGCTCTGTCTGTGAAGAGCGTTGCCCGCGTCCTGCTGGTTTCCCGACGCAACAACTTGGCTGGATCCAGCAGCGTTAATCTCCGACGACGACTGGTTTCCTAAAGATCCCCAAGATGCGTTTCGTACGTCCTGCTGCCCCCCACCAGATGCAGCTGCTCTCCGAACGTAGGCTCCCACCTCGCGCTGACTCCCGGCAGACGCCACCTGACCTGGCTGGCAGCTACCCAACTCCAGCTGGGTCACCGCAGCCTTGGCCTGTCCTCGAGGAGTGGGGGGGCCCTTGTCCTGCTGGGCTCCCATCGCTCCCCGGGGAACGTTACCCACGTTACCCACGTTGCCCAGCGTCTGCTGACTCCCCGTCGGGCCTCTGCCGTCTCCTTCGTGCTTTGTGGGCACCACGTGGGCAACTCTGGGCAATCCCGCATTCTGCTTCATTGAATCTTTAGCTGCTTCCCTCATGTCAGCTGCATTCATTAGTCTCTGATCCTTTATTGTAGAAACGGCAGTAGATCCTGCAGAAACACGAGTGCACACCGACCACTGCTGTACAACACCGCCTCGACAGACATACACGCAACGGGGCTCACGCTCTGGGTATTTTAGTACGCAAACGTGAATAGATTCATCATAAAAATATATTTTTTAAATACATATATTTTTACTATTTCTTTTTTTTACGTGGAAATACACGCGGTAAACCCTCGCTATTCGCGAGTTTCACATATTCGCGAGTTACTAAATGTATAGCAATTCCCTATTTGCGACTCGCCGTACTACCGTATTCGCGAGTGTACGTAGCGCCAGACTACCGACACTGGGGAGGTGTGCGCAGAATGTTTACATTTCAAAGTGTCTGCTGTAAAGATTAGGCACACCCTCTTGGCTGCACGCTCAGTCCTCATTCTCGCAGTAATACCACTCTGTACTCGCGTTTGTGTATTTTTACTTTATACGTACTTACAGTCGACTCGTTTATACATTTTGGCATAAACGAGTCGACCGAGGTCCATTAAAAAGAACGCAAATACAATCGGGGAAAGTGTTGCTGCCAGCGCTACCCCCAGTACTAAAATGATAACCACTGTGCGGCATTGTTATCAAACACCTGCATTTCCCAAGCAGTCACCCTCCTGAATTCCTCATCATCACCTCCGTCGTCAAATCATCATAGTTAAAAAAAATACATTATTCTGTATTATTTATTGTAATAATTGTTATTGAACGTTTACCATTTTCCCCCTATGTTCACTCGTACCAGGAACGTAACCCTATTTTTCCCATTGTAACAAAGTTTCTCCATTCGTGAATTCTGAATTCGCGAGTGTTGTCAAGGTAACCCTCACACATAGAGGGTTTACTGTATTTGAAGGTTTTGCTGATCTACTTTATTTATATTCTCCGCAAATAATGAAAAAATTATATAATTAAGCAAAACTGGAGTTGGTCAATGATAACCGGGAACTGTTTTCATGCGTCGATCCACTTTTTATGGTAAATATCTTGTGCGTACCGGTTCCGAACTAAACCAATGATGAAGCCAAGAGCACGGTCTAACGCAGGAGTATTAATACCGTATTCAGTTTTCCTTTTTTTAGGGAGGAACAATGCCGATGACACAACTGGAAATCACTCCTCGTAAGCCGCTACGTAGTTTCCTTACCATGGAATGGCACGGGCTTGTTCCCGCGGGAAGCAGATTGACTCTCCTGCTGCGCATGGCCGAGGGCGGCAGGAGCCGCACCGGCCGCCTCCCCGACGCTTGCCTGCATCGGTCCTTGAGCCGTGTGATGCACCTCAAACTTTACGGCGTTTTGTGTCATGTGGTAGGGGGTGCTCTGCATGTGACCACGGTTTTCCATTTGACTGGTTGTTGGTACAGGGGCCATGTTCTCATGATTTGGAGCGGGCCCTCCCGGATTGGACTGGACTGCAGACATCCCGAAGGGCAACCGATTCCTCACCCCGGGTTGCTCCAGGCGACGCTGTGGCTGTATGGGAGATGACATGACTGGCGGGTAATGCGTCATGTGACCTGGGGGCGGTCCTTGCTGTAGAGATGCTTGGGAAGTAGGAGGCAATGCATTACCGCTGGGTTTATTTTGAAGCATAGGAGACATCTTAGGAGCAGAAGATGAATGAGCCATCATAAAATGTGACTGTACCCCGGCTGAAACCTGCTGACTGCCAAAAGGATAGGGTGGGGGTGGATGAGGAGGGGCTGTGCTAGGGGTCATCATGGGTCTGTGAAATTGGCTTGGCACCTGTGCATTGTTTTGAAACGTTTGCATGGCCATTCCCGACATGCTGCCCTGCTGCATGCTGCCCTGCTGCATGCTGCCCTGCTGCATGCTGCCCTGCTGCATGCTGCCCTGCTGCATGCTGCCCTGCTGCATGCTGCCCTGCTGCATGCTGCCCTGCTGCATGCTTCCTTGCTGCATGCTTCCTTGCTGCATGCTGCCCTGCTGCATGCTGCCCTGCTGCATGCTGCCCTGCTGCATGCTTCCTTGCTGCATGCTTCCTTGCTGCATGCTGCCCTGCTGCATGCTGCCCTGCTGCATGCTGCCCTGCTGCATGCTTCCTTGCTGCATGCTTCCTTGCTGCATGCTGCCCTGCTGCATGCTACCCTGCTGCATGCTGCCCTGCTGCATGCTGCCCTGCTGCATGCTGCCCTGCTGCATGCTACCCTGCTGCATGCTGCCCTGCTGCATGCTACCCTGCTGCATGCTGCCATGCTGCATGTGACTGTATGATTGTCCCGGCATTCGGCTCCACATCACAGGAGCAGGTTGATGCCCTGGTGGACGGGATCCTGTTGATGACAAATTCACACTCTGTGATGTCTCCGACTGATTAATGATGATTAATGATCCCAAGAATTTGAGCTCTACTCGGGTCCGGTGCAGCTGGGAACAAAATGAATAAATAAATTATCGAAGTAACATTGCCAAACACTTTGAAATAATAATTATGGTTAAATCACTGAAATAGAAATTGTATATCAACATGAACATAACAATTCAATGAGAGTTCTGTAAACTATATTGAAGCTGAAGCGTGGTCATATTAATTTCCAATTGATTGGAATTTATGTGCTTAGAGTTAAGTTGGTGAAAAAAACGGCCGGTATTTAGCAGGAACCAAACGCGCCCCCTGACCTGCATATCCAAAATGAACGTTTTTGCTCTGTTAGCGACATTAACAATGTACCGTGATGCTCGATGAATCAAGCACTGGAGTGGCTTCAAAACTCCATCACCCACAAATTTCTCACAAATGTGAAGTTCTCCAAAGGTGACTTCAGACCAAACAAATTAATCTAAAAATAACTCTCAATTAATTTTCACGTGCAACTGCACAGATTACATTTCTGCAAAAGGAAGTGAGAACTTAAGCTATCAGTAACTAATCATGATCGCTAATCTATCATTAATTATTCACTATCATTGATCAATAATTTGTAGTTGGCAACACGTGACTCAACCACCGCTGACACGGCACTCCCAACCCAGTCACCTACCCCTGAAACACACAAAAAAATAGAAGTTTCTGAAACGACTTCGATTGCAACACAGTAACACGTTGGTCAGACTGGGCCAGCTTTTTGGCCGAGAGTGCAGGAGGAGTAAAAGTGTCCTCCGTGATCGTGCGCCTCGAGCGACGCCCTCGGGCTGGGGAGAGCTCTGGCACTGCAGGATGGATGGTGCCGGTCGCTCGTTACCTGGCACACTCTGCATGCCGCGCCCTGCGGGGGCCGCGGTGGGGTTCGGCAGAGACGAGGCGGCAGCTGCAGAGGCCGCGGCTGCACCGCTGCTTCTGTTTTCCAAGTGCTGCGTCTGCACTGGCGCAAGACGAACGACTCCCTCTCCTGAGTAAACGAGACGCCCCATCAGTCGTGTGCACAAGTTGACACAATGCTCGTGATATACACTAATTTTATACACACAATTCTAACATGTTTTATTCCTCCTACAGCATTTGTTTGCGTACTGATTACAAACAGTAATATAGAACTTGAAGCTTTCGTGACTGCAGGAATTCATACTCTTTGGGTCTTTCGGTAAAGTCAATTGCCTGCGCTGCGATCGAAACGTTGTGATTTATTTTTATTTTTCTATCTACGTGACTTTACCGAAAGACCCAAAGAGTAATAATATAGAACTCTCAATGCCACCCGACACAGCCAGTTCGTGAGATTTGTCACGTAAACAAAACGTGCCAATCAGTTACTGCTTCAGCCCACCGGTGTGTGTTGGAGAGTATAATACACATTTACAATTCGAGTACCATGACGTTTCGCTGGTTGTAATCGCCAGCGAAACGTCACAGTACTCGAATTGTAAATGTGCTGAACTAGTAACTAGTTGGCATGTTTCATTTACGTGACAAACCTTACTAATCGGCCGTGCCGGGTGGAAGCGGGTTTAACGAGACATTTATATTTACGCGATGTAAACCAAAAAAATATTTTTTTATGGATATTGGTCGCGAGAGCCTGCTACATGTTAAACTTAGGAAGGGAGATTCCTCACCTTCTATCTGCACCGAGAGAATGCCCAGCTCACGGAGCTGTTGGGGATTTCCCTGCGCCAGCTGCCGCAGACGCTGGGCGGCGTCTCGCGGAATGGTGAAGGTCACCCGCACGCTGTTCCACGGCTCCACCATCTTCAACGACACATCATCGCCACCTACACAAGTGCGCACACGCATCGCCCACGGTTACACTTGTCACGAAAATATTTCAAACCCATTTAGCAATTGAATAGCACAGAATGTGTATACAAAAATCGCATTGGTTATACCAGACAAAATGTTCCAAATTAAACTAAAATACATTTTATTTTACCAGGCAAGACCCACTGAGCTATATAGCTCTTTTTCAGAAGTGACCTGGCTATAAATGATAGCTCAAAGAAGTGGCTTATCACGTGGACAATTTATAGCAGCCGAATACTCTCAAGGCATGTTTATAAATTGATCGTTACATCCCTTTCAGGCGTGCACTGTTTTTAACAAGCTTTAGAACATGTACCTATTTTCAGCATGCGACACATCGCAGACACCATCCCTTCCAGCTTCTTCCGGAAACCCTTTTCTCCAATACTTCCTTCACATGTCAGGACCAGGACGGAGTGTGCGTTCAGGTGCCACTCTCGACAGACGTCCTCTCCAAGGTAGCAGCCCGTACTGCTGGCCTTTTCCATCTCTTCATCCAGTCACACGACAAGGGAGAGTCTGCAAAATAACATCCATTGTGAGCAATTCACGCTTTCGATGGTTCAACATAGTAAAAAAATGTCTTGAATAAAAATGGCTTTAACGTAGAAAAACGTTATACTTTTACAGTGAAATTAATCTTATTGTCACATCGGGGAATCTGCACGTCTTCACATATTATTACCAGATCCCTGACGATAAGTTAAGTTAGATGACATAAAAAACATGACAGGTATCCAAAGAGGGCGGAGCCCCTTCAGGATACCTATATAGCATGAGGTGATGGTACCTTCCTGGGATGTATTTAAAGACACCTACCACCTGTAACACCACGAGGAACGCAATTACAGAACACCAAGTGAGTACGAAGTTACAACAAAATACCTGTCAACCCCTTATCAGTGCCTACCATATTACAGACCAACTCAGACCTTATTGGTCACCCCGTGCCCTTATAAATCTCAACGTTCATCCGACAAATCCCATCACAAGGGAGAAACACAAACAAATATAAAAACATTTTTCCCGTATTGAAACGGCTGTACGCCGTATGGACCTGAAAACTCTATTTCCCTGTACAAGAATACGGGTACACCATATGGGTTGACAGCTATGCAACAAGTAATGGGAGCAATGACGGCAGCTCAACGATTAGAAAAGGCGAGTTGCAAATGTATTCAGCACGGTTCGACCACGACTCCTGGATCTAGACAATCATAAAAACTCGCGGAGTAATTCTATGCGTAGGAAAAAAAAATCAGTCGTCACATCACTCTTGGAAAAAGTAAATGACCTATGACAGAATGACAAAGGGAAAGTTCCTGGAGCAGGTGGTATAACTGCAAACAATGACAGGAGCGGGGTCAGCTGTTGAAAAATGTTTTTAGAAGACCTGTTCATCGTTTACACAGAACACCTACATCCGTCGAATGATGTCTCAATTCTTCAATGCCAAAAGGGGGAAATGAAACTGCAGCATTACAGATGCACGGCAGGCTGTTATAGAAAATATATTTTATTTTCTACTCAACCAGATTCAAGAAAAAAAACCATCAATAGTGACAAATTCATATCAAATACTTTACAAATATGCCTGGCTTTCGCAGGCTATGAAAAGGTATGTGCAAGTACTGACATCACTAACGAGCTAAGCGGATCAGATAACTGAAATGTATGCGCAATAGATGAATGTAATAACAAGAGAGCAACAAGAATGGCTGTGGTGAGAGTTGTTTTACCACAAGGCAATGATTAATAATAAGAGAGCACAAGGCTGGCTTTATAAACGTTACATCACTCTTAAGACCCTTGGAAAATCGTAAAAAAAACACAAGACATGCACCGATATCCTTACATGCAGATGCATTTCGATGCTGTCAATCATAATTATACTGGTAGGAACGAAGTTGTAAACTGAGTGTACCAGCCTGCAATAGATTAATGTGTCCGTCCGTCCCCTTTCAATACTTTAACGAAGTGAAATCTCGTGCTGTTGGGTGTAAGAGGTTAATTTGTCCGAAGAACCCTCAACGATTTTGAGGGCAAAAAGGTGGGAAGACGCTCTCAATTTGCACAATTTTACGTAACAATGTCATAAAATTGCGCAAAATTCCAATGTTCCTACCAGCCCACCCTTCAGGGACCTGTTACTGGTAGGAACGAAGTTGTAAACTGAGTGTACCAGCCTGCAATAGACTAATGTGTCCGTCCGTCCCCTTTCACTACTTTAACGAAGTGAAATCTCGTGCTGTTGGGTGTAAAATCAGCAAAAGACAGCGCAGAGACTTGTCCTACCAGCCCACCCTGCAGGGACCTGTTATTGGAAACTAATTCATTTTAACTTTTCACCGTCAATCTTCCATCCCAATCGACCACCGCCCATCATCGCGGATCGCCATTACCACCACCACCATCATGACGGATCATCACTATGGTTATCATGACTAATCATCACGAATGATGATCATTATCACGACCACCGATAATCACAAATGATGATCACTGGTTATCACCGAGATCTACTGAGATTACCACTGAACATCACCGTGACTGACCATGACCACAATTCATTACCACCACCACTGATCATTTCTTCAGTATCCCAAGTCACGGGCCGCGTAACATCAGAGGCCCTCCTTCAGAAAGCGGATCCTCAACTTTGAGCCCCCCTCACCCAGCTCACCCCCCAGACCGCGACCCCCTCACCCAGCTCACCCCTCGCACCCCCAGACCGCGACCCCCTCACCCCTCACCCCCCAGACCGCGACCCCCTCACCCCTCGCACCCCCAGACCGCGACCCCCTCACCCCTCACCCAGCTCACCTCCCCAGACCGCGACCCCCTCACCCCCCCAGACCGCGACCCCCTCACCCAGCTCACCCCTCACCCCCCAGACCGCGACCCCCTCACCCCTCACCCAGCTCACCTCCCCAGACCGCGACCCCCTCACCCCTCACCCCCCCCAGACCGCGACCCCCTCACCCCTCACCCCCCAGACCGCGACCCCCTCACCCAGCTCACCCCTCACCCCCCAGACCGCGACCCTCTCGCTCCAGGCCCCCTCCCGAGCCAGGCGAGGCGGCGCCTTGCAGGCCGCGCCGATCGCTCCGCCCCTCGCCGTCCCTCGCGCTCCCTCGCCCTCTGGCGCCCTCGCGCCTTACTCCCGCGCGTTACCTCGGCGCGGTCCTGTCCGAGGGTCGTGGCCTCGATCGTCGCGATGTTCTCCGCGTCGCGTCTCCGTGCGGCGGCGACGGCGACAGAAGCAGCAAAAGAGCCTAGGCCTGGGGCGGCGCGAAACCCGGAGCTCAGATCCGGAGCGGAGTCCCCCAAATCCCGGAGAGGATTACCTCATCCAGCTCCAAACTCCGGAGAGGAATCCCCTCCCTCAAACTCCGGAGCGTTCTCCCTCAAAGCGGCCTACAGCCCCAAATCCCGGAGAGGATTAACTCCTCCAGTTCCAAACTCCGGAGAGGAATGCCCTCCCTCAAACTCCGGAGCGTTCTCCTTCAAAGCGGCCTACAGCCCCAAATCCCGGAGAGGATTAACTCCTCCAGTTCCAAACTCTGGAGAGGAATCCCCTCCCTGAAACTCCGGAGCGTTCTCCTTCAAAGCGGCCTACAGCCCCAAATCCCGGAGAGGATTAACTCCTCCAGCTCCAAACTCCGGAGAGGAATCCCCTCCCTGAAACTCCGGAGCGTTCTCCCTCAAAGTGGCCTACAGCCCCAAATCCCGGAGAGGATTAACTCCTCCAGCTCTAAAATCCCGGGGTGGAGTCCCTCCCTCGTAACTCCGGAGCGTTCTCCTTCAAATCCCCCGGAGCGGCCAACAGCTCCAAATCCCGGATCGGATTTCCTAAAACCGACACGGAGTTCACCCCCCGCCCGCACCCCCCACGAGCGGACTCACGGGCAGGTGACCCCAAATCCCCGACGTTTCCCTCCCCCCCACCCCTTAAAGGAGAGCGCAGTCTACACTGAACATTACAGACAGGGGACAGGGCCAGAGAGACACGGGAATGGATTCGGAGGCACGGAGAGACAGCGGCAGCAGCAGTGCCCAGCCATTCACCACCACACGCAAGACACGGGGAGAGGCGAGTGGGAGGACGGTCAAGCCACGCAAAAATAGCCTCGCGGAGCGCAAAGCGGCAATAGATTATCTTCGGTGCGTTCACGAGGAGGCCTCATAGACCACGACGATGGACGGAAATATCCCGGAGGCTGCGTACGGCGTAAACTCGCGGAAAGAACTCGAGAGAGAGAGAGAGAGTGAGGACACATAGAGCAAAGCGTTGCAAAAAAAACCGAAATGATGAACAAAGCCGAGTGCCGACTACACCGAGCATTTTCTTGTTTCCTCTGATAGTGAAAAAAAGAGAGAGCAGGATTTTAGGGGAGTCTTCATTTGCAAGAGTGATCCTGGATCACAAAATGATGAAAGCGAAACCAATAAAGTACGGCGGCGATCGATTAAATGGAAATCGGGGCTAAGCCAAGAATCACGTGGCAAGAGTGTGACGTGAGAAATGTTAAATGTTGCCCCGGCATTAACGGATGTCGAGAACTTCCATGTAGCCTCGGTCGACTCGGGCAGATTATGTTTAGACTTTAAAGCGCACATTGCGTTATTGCACGCTAAGTTGCAGGAACACGAAACAGATATAGGCTGACTGTTGCTTTAATGGGCAAACAAGCAGGGATGTACTCTTTCTGTGAACGTAGGCTTTAACGATCAATACGCTTTGGTTCTATTCGGTAAAGTTACGTAGGTAAAAAATAAAACAACAAAAATCACGACGTTTCGGCCACAACACAAGCGGCCTTCATCAGGTGAAGGGATCAGGCTGTCTCGAGGACAGCGCTGGAGTGAAACACAGCCACGCTCAGACCGCGGACCTTTAAGCTGTGTGCGAGGAAACAAGGCGACTTGACAAAGGAATTAGCATAAAAATTAGCGTTTGATTGGCCGACTTAGCACCTTGTTTCCTCGCACACAGCTTAAAGGTCGCGGTCTGAGCGTGGCTGTGCTTCACTCCAGCGCTGTCCTCGAGACAGCCTGGTCCCTTCACCTGATGAAGGCTGCTTGTGTTGTGGCCGAAACGTCGTGATTTTTGTTGTTTTATTTTTTACCTACGTGACTTTACCGAATAGAACCGAAGAGTACAATGATTTTAGTTGAAGAATGCCTAATTAAAATCACGGCGTACAGAAAATCCTGCCCTCGGCATAAAGTTGAAGTTTACAATGAGACCTCATGCGATATTATGAAGACAGATTGAACATATAACAGCACCAAGGGCAGAGAACCCTGTCGACCAAGTGAAGTGGGAAGAGAGAGGTCGTCTCTGCCGTGAGGATCGGCGCTCAGCAGATTTTCAAGCTGCGATTCCCCCAGCCCCCGCTTCTGCAATGTGTGGGGGGCTTCGCCAACTCTGGCGTCGTTAAAATTTAAGCGAGCAATGCCAGTCACACATAAGTAAGCGTGAAGAGATAATTTAGAGGGTGTTTTCACGTGGCTCAGATAATCACACATTTTAATTGCCAAGAACCCAGTCTTTGAAATTTGTCTGAATCTTGCTCGACTGAATTTGTTTTCGCTTTTGTTGAAGGTCCACTTTTACAGTGATATTTGAGTTGAATGTTACCATCCGCATTCTACGACATTGGGATTCGATGGTGATATCCGTACAGGTTATCACCGCATCCGTTTCCTCCTTTAAAAAAATATTTTTTTAAACCCCATCTGTGTTGAAGCCTCGATCGACCCAACCCGACCCTATCGTCTCACCCACCAACACTAGGACACAGCAACAAAGACAAACATCCCCCGTATAGCCTTAACAGACTGTTGGGGCAAGTGCTGTTAGCGAGCACCTATAAAGGCCGGAACGGCACACGAGGGGGTGGGTGGCCAGCACCACGCCCGACCGCCTTTGTCTCCCCAGTGGCGATGTTTACTACACACCGCACCAGGTAGTCATTTGAGGCTGAGTCGACCTAGGGGAGGCCCAGGACCGGTTCAGATAATCACTGCTGTTGGTCGTAAGCGGGAATCCAACTCGGGTCGCCGGGTTCGTAGCGCAGCGCGCTAACCGCGACACTACCGCTCCCCCACCAGCCACTTTGCTCCTCATCCGCTCAATCAACTACCGTAGTGACACTTCTATTGCTGCTGCTGCTGCTCCTGCGAGTTCTCACGCCGTTGCTCCACTTGCAAATTCGTTCCCATCGTCGTCGCCTCTTTCCGCAAGCCTTCGCACAACGTCCGGCTCTTGGCTCACACACCATTTATTTCGAGTATAATAAGTGTAGGGTGGCCGTTTGTTGCCAGCCTCTCGTCATTTGGTGCCTTTGATCGGCAACTGCGTTTGAATAAATATCCCGACACACAACGAATGCCGACTCAATAATTCATGGTGAGTTCATGGAAGAACTTGGGAAAAAAAGAGGCATTGTCTCCGCACTTCCTGTTATATTCCTTCTTTTTTGTTTGTTGCACATGTATATGTACAGTATTTTTTCACAGAATTAGAACAAGGATAATGATGGTTACAGCCGGTGTAGTTTACATATAAACCCTCGCACTGCCAGTTCACAGACATGGTGGCGGGGAACTGTCAAGAGCCATAACGAAACATATCTAGCCACACAATCTCGAGCACAGGCAGCGCCACGGTTTAAGAAGCGGTGTATCTGGGAGGCCCTATCACGTGTATGTCTGTTGAACTTGTTTCGCACCATACGGAGCCAACCGTGCTAATTGGATAAGTGCGGGGGAAGGACAACAAAATGAACACAAAACGCAGTTCTAAAGAAATGAGTTTTCAATTTAGATTTAAAAGTGCGAAGCTCCAGTGGCTTCTGAACATCAGATGGAAGACCGTTCCAGACGCTCGCAGAAGCGCATCCGAAAGCGCGCGATGCGGTGACCGTCTTTGTTCGATGGCCAGCAAAATATCTGCCGCTAGCGAGGATGAGCAGAGTTTGCGCGATGGTGGTTTTATGCTCCTTGACGAGATCAGTGAGGTGTTCGTGGGTCGTTTGTGGAAAGCAGGACACGTGTTGAGCTGGCAGGCCGCCCGCAGCCTGCCCCCGCCCACTTGTGCGTAGCCACACCTACTCAGCCGCTAGCCCACTCAGCCATTGGCCTCTCCTCGATGTTGGCCCTGCCCACTACCCAGGTGGGTCCCACCCCCACCCTACCCTTTGTCCGTATCACGAGTCACGGATCCATAAGCCAGGATAATTTTGTGGGGAAGATCGACATTTTCATAAAATGGGCATATTGGCGGTACACCGGTGGGGCGCGGTATAAATTTTTTTTCGCAATAATTATTTATTTTCTAGCAATTCGCAACCGCCGGTCAGAAAATCTTGTGGGGTGGTGGTGCGTCAAAATCAGTCCTCGTGATGTCGAAGCAGTCGGAACACGAAGCTTCACAGTATGTTGCCGTATAGCAAGCACCCAGCCTCATAACGATTGGCTGCTCCGTGTTCGAAAGACAGATTTGACTCTCGTACCCTAGACTTGGTCGGACGGTTCCTCGATTCGTAGGGGCCCAAATCAACGGTCAACTTTAACCTTTTTTTAGCAAGTGTCAGTAGACTGAGTAAACCTTCGAATCTTGTCAAACTTGGCGACAGGAGTGAATTAAAGACTGACAGATTAACCGAATCAGAATTTTATTTCAGACTGTTTTATGACCGGTGTATTATGCTGCACCAGTGTACTGCCAATACGCCCAAATACATTTCGGGGAAACGGGGACTGACTTTGTGAAACCGGAATGTTTTGTAGCTTTCTAGCCACATTAGCAGACATTACCCCTCCCCCCCCCCCATAAGAAACCACTGCGAGTATTTAAACTGTTAAAAAAGTGTTTATTACCAACACTTACATTTAACTGTTAAAATCATATCCATAGTACAGTAAAAGGGTTTTTTTAAAAAGTTTATCATGCCACCGCCTAACGAAGGGGACGCCGTAGGCAAGCGGCTTGGGTGCGCATGCATTCGCTTCCGTGTCAAGTTGTAGGTAAAACTTAACTTTTCTGCTTTCCGTAACATCCTTACATTCTTAAAATGCTGCACAACTCATGTCATCAAAAAATATAACTGCATCTGTTTCGCGTTTTGCGACGCACAAGTTGGGTCACCGCGCTCATCAGTCAGATAAAAAAAAAACGCAAACGTGCTCCTCGTCCTTGGTCTATAACGGCAGTGGGGCGTCCTGCGGTCACAACGCTCGGCGCGATGCCAGCAGACCTCGGCGCCAATCCATCCTTGACGATCGAACACAAATCACAGCAATTCGCTTAACGTCTGGGTCAAAGCAGGACAGGTGGCTACCCAGGTGAATGGGCCGATTGAAATCAATCGCAGCCTACGTTTTGACATAAATGCATGTGGGGAGGGAGGTCCTGCCCTCCGCTCGTGCCAAGGCCTCCTAGTCCAGGAAGACTCAACCAGGGAGTTTCCACTCATTACGCACCAGCACAGGCTAATGCCCATCCTCACCCAGGCTCCCGGGCATCAAATCAGCCCGATAAAAATTAAAGCACTGCACGTACGTGAGAAGAAGAAGCAGCAGCAGCAGGGCATCTAGGCAAAGGCTTGGTCTACGAAACATAATAAAAGGCTATGAAAATAAGGTGAAAGTAATAAAATATTCGAAAATTAACAATTACGGTGAGCGATATCTTCACAAAGACAAATGAATGCAGTTCACTGGGCAGTCTACAAACAAAAACACATTTGCTACTCTTGCATCTCACCCAGCCCAACAGAAAAACGTTTCACAGACGGCCTCCAACTCCATCCCTTCGGTGACAACGCCCCCCCCTCTCCTCATGCCTGGTCTCCGATTGCAAAGTGGTGTCGCTGCCACAGTCGTCAAGTGGTAAAGTTCCTGTGTGGAATTGTATCAAAAATAACAACATCTGCAAGCAGCGTGCACGTGTTTAATATGCATGTTTGGCACTGTTCGTTATTATTGTGGGTTAGTGTGCATGTGTGCAAGCGTTATTAGGCCGGCTTACTTTCTGCATTGAGCTGCGACCAAAAAAAAAATCACACCGACAATCGTTTAAAATTCAAGTAAATTGACATTCAAAAGCTTTTACGCGTTCAAGCGTCACCGATAGCCCTGCACGTTTACACTGGGATACAGCGTCCGAGCACCGTCGTCTCCTCAAGGGAACATCCCCAGGGTGATTTGTGTGAACCCAACCACCGCGTTTCCGCTGGCCGTGGCTTTCCACTGGGGGTGGTTAAACAGCGGCAGACATCCCCACCCCCACCCCCATCCCCCCCCCACCCCCCCCCACCCTCCTAGGTGGCACGACGTCGGAGCACGCGGCCGCAGCGCCAGGGCGGCACTGCCCACGGCTCATCTCTTCATGGGCGGTATCTCGACGCACGGCTCGCCACCGCCGCCTCCTCCCTCTTCTGCCGGTCTCTTGCGGCCTGCGCCCGGCTAGGTGGGGTTAAAGTGAGACCAAGTTAGCGGATGTTACCATTTGCAAAGACAAAGATCACACGTGCAGCCTGTAACAGACTGTAGGGGCAAGTGCTGTTAGCGAGCACCTATGAAGGCCGGCACGGCACACGACGGGGGTGGGTGGCCAACACCACGCCCGGCCGCCTTTGTCTCCCTAGTGGCGATGCTCACATACCGCACCAGATAACCATTTGAGGCTGAGTCGACCTAGGGGAGGCCCAGGACCGGTTCAGATAATCGTCACCGGTGTTGGCCGTGAGCTGGAATCGAACCTGGGTCGCCAGGTTCGTAGCGCTGCATAGCGCTACTCGCTACACCACCGCTTTCCACAAAGTGACACTAAGTTAGAAGATGTTACCGTTTGCACACACACGCGCGCTTACACCGCTTTTGCGTGTCTCTCTCCCCGTGGTCGCGTGGATTTTACTCCGGGTCTTCCGGTTTTTCCCTCCGCATTTAGAATCAACGTCACGCGTTTTTAGAGTATTTGGCTGCTATAAATTCCACGATCAGCCACTTCGTTGAGCTATCATTTATAGCCAGGTCGCTTCTGAAAAACAGCAACATAGCTCAGTGGGTCTTACCTGGTAAAATAATAATTAGTTTAGTTTTAGGTAGTTTTGGAATGGCAGCCACACCAGCGCCTCCTCCGCTTCCTGCAACTCACCAAGAAGTTGGACACCAGGGGTGGCGGCATCGCTCCACTCCCGGCTGCCATCAGCGACTGCGCTTTGTGGATCATTTCTTGATCCTTTGAGGAAACAGGCGTGGATTTTCGGAGAGTCAATCCCTCACCCAGTCGCAATCTGGCGTGAACCCGCGCGAGACCCGCGTCCCGTTTACCAGGGCGGCCCAGCGGTGGCCGGGCGGGTGCGGTAACGCCGAACAACTCTCACCTGCAACCAACCATGCCCGAGCGCCTGCTCGGTTGTGTAACGCTGCGTCACTTCAACCACCATCAACTTCCTCACGAGGTCTTCGGCTGACACAAACATTACACGAGTTTGAACTCTAGCAAGAGTACGTGTTGACAAAAACAAAAAGTGCCTTCAGATGTAATTAACTGGTCACATCTCTCGAGAGTAAAAAAAACCCCGAACGGGCATGCTCCCTACATGAGTGTGTACGTGTGCGTACGCGTTTGTTATGCGTGTACGTGAGTGTTATATGTGTACGTGAGTGTGTACGTGTACACGCATGTGTTGTGTGTGTCAATCCACACCAGGACACCCTTGCACATGAGATGCTCCATCTCAAGTGATCATTCAGGTGAAATATTTTAAGGGTGCTGTTATTGTGTAGGATCTGCATAATTATCGGGTGCTACATAGCATACTGTAACACATGTAGTGTACGTATGTACGTATGCATCTTACCTTCTTCTGAGACATTTTTCCAGATATCCTCAAGGAAGTCAAACGTCCCAGTGCAGATTTGGTCGTGCACACTCATCTCCTCAAACCCCTCGCTGAACGGGGGGTAACCACTCAGGCTGTGGGGACACGGACCCCACGGTGACGCGGCTGGTGGCACGGCGCGGGAGAACAGCGCTCACCCTCGCTCCACAACACAACACGCGCCTTGACTAAAAACAAAAAAATAGGCGTTGGAATGTCTGGCCATCGTATGTTCATTTTAACAATGGGAGGAAACCGGAGGAGCCGGAGGAAACCCACACAGAACAGGGGGAGAGAACACAAACTCCACACAGAACCCAGGTCCTCCTGCGCCACCCTGCAGCCATGACTCATTGCATCATACTGCGTGTTTCATGGTAGTGCAGCGGCTAGCGCCTTGTGCTATGAACCCGGCCACCTGAGTTCGATTCCCGCTCACACCCAACACGAGTGACGATTATCTGAACCGGTCCTAGGCCTCCCCAAGGTAGACTCGGCCTCAAATGAGCATCTGGTGCGGTGTATAAACATTGGCACTAGAGAGACAAAGGCGGCCGGGCATGGTGCTGGCCACCCACGCCCTTCGTGTGCCATGCCGGCCTTTATAGGCACTCGCTAACGGCACTTTGCCCCAACGGTCTATCCAGGCTAATACGCGGGATTTTTGTCTGGTTCTTCACGCGCAAAAATTGGCCTGACCAATTAAACACGTCACTGAAACATCGGCTCACAGGGGGCGAGGTCAAGTGCAGGACACCGGCAGCAGGGCGGCGCTACCACCAGCGGGAGCCTCGCCCGCCAAGCCGGCAGTCACGACGCTCGGTGAGGCGGCGAGCGCCGGCGAGCCAACCAGGAGACGAAACAAATCCGTGGAGACGCACGAAGCAGCGTCGCGTGACACCCTTTCGCGAGGGCGACGCGGAGTTACACCAAGGATTGAACTGAGCTAGTTGGCAAAGGCTCGCTGAGGGAGGGGAGGGGAGGGGAGTGGAGGGGAGGGGAGGGGAGGGAGGGAGGGAGGGAAAGCAGGAGGGGAGGGACTCGTGCGGTCACCATATGAAGAGGAGGACGCCCAGGCTCCAGCAGTCCACGGCGCGGGTGTAGCCGCCCAGGCCGCAGGAGGCCAACACCTCCGGGGCCTGGTACGCGGGCGTGCCGCACAGCGAGCGCATGAGGTACTGCTCCCCCACGAAGCGCGACAGCCCAAAGTCCGACACCTGGCGGGGAAGAGACGCACGGCGCGAGGGGCGCTCGCACGGGAACGCGCTGCCCGCTAAGCGGCAGAAGGGCACTGCTCTGTAGCCTCTGGAGAGTTTATTCGTGAATATTAAACATTCTAGAAATAGTTTAGCAATAGGGGTTTTTTCCCCCTTTTTTTCTGGCAACAAAACCGAAACCTTTTTTTTACGAGGATTCATGTCTGCATTAGCCACAATACCTGCAGTCAAAATGCAAACAAAAAACACACAATGATAATATGATGCATTGTCCTTGAAACTGATTGGTCCACACCAAGGGACGGCTTTCTAGCTGCCCCTCGCCTACGCCGGGCGCCGATCGCCCGCAGGCGACAGCTCCTCACCTTAACGAGGCACTCCGCGCTGTTGGAAGACAGCAGCACGTTCTCCGGCTTGAGGTCGCGGTGCGTCACCCCCTGGCCGTGGAGATACTACAACGAGCCCGACACACAAATTAGCACGCAGTCAAGCGCGCGCGCGCGACCGCCACACACCGAAGCACGCGAGCGACGTTCCCACCAATCGTGAGGCCTGCGAGCTCCGGGAATCTGAAGGGTTGCCGCGCCTGCCGCGCGTTTCAATAGGGCGAGGCTTGAGCGCCGCGTCGCCACCCCTGGGCGCCCGTCGTGCTTGACCGGGGAACCCACGCACGGACCGCTACGCTGCACGAGCAAGCACGCGCGCTCCGTACTCAAGGTGAATGAGACCCGACTGATGTTTTCTGACCATTTCAGAGGAATTCACCTCACCCGTACGGCACTTTTCTCCAACTGTTCATGCGCACCGTCGATGGCAGCTTCATTCCACGGTGTTTTTTTTTTTATTTTCAAGCGAGTGGCACAAACATATACAACGCAAAGCTTTAAAAAAAAACTAAAGCTGAAGAATCAAAAGGCAAAGTGACACTAAGTTGACGTCAGCAGACGGGTTTCTTTATATTTACATCCCAAAGTGTCCACATTTCTATAAACGCCGCAGCGCCCCAGTGCAGGCCCCACCACTGCAAGGGAGCAGCACTTACTTGCACAGCCAAGACCAGCTGATAGAAGATTAACTTCGCATTGTGTTCAGGAAGAGCACCCTGCTTCACCCTGTTGAAAAGTTCACCTCCCTCCATTCTGAAACGAAGACGGAAACATCGACCGCGTGTGTCCCGGCTCGGGACGCGTTCGTTCCACATGGGCATCCACTCCCAACAGAAGGCAACGACCAGTGAAATAAAACCACGCGATGATCAACATCATCGTCATCAGCCACAATCTATCCACTGCCTGGATGAAGGCCTACACAGGCTGTCTGACATGCTAACACGGTGCAAGCCCGTCGGCATCGCAGTGCAAGTTAAAGATCTCGTCGCTCAAGTTGAAGAAGGGTTAGGCCATTGTGTGCTGGCATGACAGTTCAAAATTAGAAAAACGTTTGCAAATGATTCAACTTGGAAACACGACCAACATCGCACCCTACAGCTCTGAAAACCTGGCAGGCCCCTCCTGACAAAGAGTTACGGGACTCAATGAGGCTTTCCTGGGTAAACAAGCGGAGTCGTCATAATGGTGTTTAAAAAGCAAATCTAAAACATTTTGTGCAATTCCACGCAGACATGAACGGGCAAACCTTATCGGAAAGACTACACCAATGTATCAACCTGCACCCTGGAAAACAGAGGGGCACACAACAAACAAAATACTTACAGCTCCAGTACCAGGTAGAGCGCGTCTGCCGAATCGAATGCATCTTCCAGCGTGATGATGCACGGCTGCGGCACACGCGTGAGTCACAACCGTCAGGCAGCGTCAAAATGCGCCGAAAACATTTTTTTTTGCACTTTAAGATACGGGAACCGAAGAGACATCTCCTCACGGTGGCGAGATGCTAATGACCTCGCCTGGTATACAGGTCGTGGGTTCAATCCCGAACCCTGATGCCTGTATATTTTTGAGTTTGCATGTTCTCCCCGTGATTGTGTGAATTTGTATCCGGGCCCTCCAAGTTTGTCCCCTCCACATTTAGAATGTACACGCGTTTAGAGGATTTGGCCGCTATAAATTTTCACGTGATAAGCCACTTCCCTTGAGCTACCAGGGCCTTACCTGGTAGAATAAACTAGTTTTAGTTGAAAGGTATCCCACGCAGCACCGCCGTACTCACATGCTTGAGCTTCTTGAGAATGTCCGCTTCCGTCTTCACATCCCTGCAGGAAGACTACCAAGCAGAGTTACTTAGCGGGGGGGGGGGGGCTTTGTTGCTCTCGCAGTGTCGTGCTGTTATTGTTTTGTGTGCATCAATTAAAAAACATTTCACCTGGGCACACGGAAGGCATGCCGTGACGCCACGTACACGCACAATGGCCTGATGAGGCACAGAATCTGTCACAATGGGATTTGATTTGTTTGTTCTAATCCATGGAATGTCCGCGTGCTTTCAAAAACTATTATTAGCGTGTTTATAGATACATATTACATATACGGGGTGCTTCAAATGTTAACAATTCTGCGAATTTGTAAAAACACCACAAGAAATGTTGCTGCTGCCTCCGGGTCTCTGGAGACCACCTGGTGAAGATTCCCGGCGTGCGTTGACAGCGGTGGCGAACACGTGGGAGACTCTTTGACTTTTTGAAGAAATCAACAAACATTTGTTATCATGCTTAAAATTAGTTCCTTACCAAACATATTGTTGTGGAATTTCCTCATTGGCTGAAAGTCGCCCCGGAAAGTGGTGGCCAGTTCCTATGTGGTCCTGGCACCAACCAAAGTTGACCGTGAACCGATCTCCCGTGAGATCATCGCCCACCCCCCCATCCGAGAACTATTAATAGCCACCAGTGTGTATACAGGCACTCTAATTAAACAAAGACAAAGATCCCTGTATAGCCTTTCACCAACTGGGGCAAGTGCCGTTAGCGAGTAGCAGCTATAAAAGCCGGCACTGTGGCACACTTGTACACATCATCATCGGCCGTTGCTCTACAGCGGACAGATTCATTCTTTTGTTCCACAGAATTGGAAAAAACATTAACGGGGTCAACCTTGTTGACGACATCCTAATAATGATGTCCAATGGGAACGAGCTGCATGAAACGTAAAGCAATTGTAACAGAGGGGGCCCGCTACATTGGGCTCACGATAAAAATCGGTTAAACAAGAGAGACGCACGGTGAGCTGAGCGATCAGAGGGACACTCACGTCAGTGTGTGTGTCTGTGTGTGTCCAGGGGGGGAGTGATAGTGTAGCGGTTAGCACGCCGAGCTACGAACCCGGCGGCCCGAGTTCGATTCCCGCTCACGGAACAACACCAGGAACGATTACCTGAACCGGTCCTGGGCCTCCTCTAGGTCGACTCAGCCTAAAAAATGAGTACCTGGTGCAGTGTGTAAACATCGCCACTGGGGAGACAAAGGCGGCCGGGCGTGGTGCTGGCCGCCCACCACCTCGTGTGCCGTTCTGGCCTTCGTAGGTGCTCGCTAACAGCACTTGCCCCAACAGTCTGTCGAGGCTACACGGTGAATCTTTGTCTTTATATCTAGCGCAATCACTGAGAGATGCGGTGAACAAGGGAGAGTGCAAGACGCGATACCGACAGAGCGAGAGGCACTGGGCTGGGCGTGTTGCCGGAAGAGACGATGATGTATCTGGTAAACTTCTTTCTCACCGCAACGTAGCCAACCGCGCCGAGCGGGGCAAGGACAGCAAGATGGCCGATGGTCAAGACAAAGGGACAATGGCGGCCACAGGAGGGAACAGGAGAGGCCCGCCGCCTCGGAGCCGGAGCGATGAGATCACTGAGTGTGCAGCATCGCGAGGCCGCGAGAGATATCGCGACCGAGCGGTAAAGGCTTTCGCCCGGCACAGCACCGCGCGCGGGTGACCAGGACGGCCGCCGGTACTCCTCGCGAGCGGCACTCCCGGCGACACGCAACGGGGGAGGGGGCCCACGCCGGAGAGCGGCCGTGAGCGTGCGGCACGCCAAGAAAACCGAGCGCTGCACGGGAGCGGAGGACGCGCGCTGACAGCGAGAAAACAGCGCAGGCACACGCAGAGCGTGGCACAGGCTGAGGTCACGTCACGAAGACCGCCCCCCCCCCCACCCCCACCCCTTACTTGTGGGATGGGCAGGCCTCTCTTGGGAACGACTTTGATGGCCACCTTCCTTTCGCTGCCCTTGTGGAAAGCCAGCTTCACTTCTCCAAACACGCCGCTGTCACGGGGAAACCGAGTCAGCAAGGGGACAGCGGTGCCGGTGCTGCACGAGTCGACCCGAGTCTCGCGCGCTTTCGCAGGGAAATCCCCACAGATTTTGCTTGCTCAGCAACATTAATCAACTAAAACTAAACGATTTTTTATTGGTTCTTTCGGCAAAGTCACGTTGAAGGGAAACAATAAAATAAAATATCTATTTACCGAAAGAACCAAGAATATGAATCACTGCAGTCACGAAAGCTTAAAATCAAAATTTATTTTTATATTACCAGGAAAGGCTCACTGAGCTATGCAGCTCTTTGTCAGAAGTGGCTTGGCCACAAACGATAGCAGAAGCTAAATACTCTAAGCGCACATGGATTCTAAATGTGGGGAAAACCGGAGGACCCAGAGAAAAATCCATGCGACCACAATGAGGGAGACAAGCATCCTCCAATATACAGGGTGCTTCAAAAAAATGTTAACACTTCTTGCAACAACACCACGAGGAATGTGTCGCCTCCGGGCTCTGGAGAGCACCTGGAGAAGATTCCAGGCCACGTGTTGACAACGATGGCGAACAAGCGGAGACTCTTTGACTTTTTGAAGCAATCAACAAACACTTGTTTATTTTCCATTAAAAACGATAGTCCCATGTAAGTGTTCACATTTTTTTTAAGCACTCTGTATACACACCAACAGGCGTCACAGGGTCGGGATCAACCCCGCGACCTCCTGCACACCGGGCGACGGAGTTAACCACCGTGGGCGCCCATGCGGAGCGTAACGTATCGGCATCGTGTACGGATTCCTCACCCTCCGCGAGCGTGAACAGGGCGCGGCGTCGCCAACGGCACGGCTCGCCAGAGGGCCAGCGTGCCACGGCGGCCGTGCGAGCCACCCGGACCCCCGACGCTGAACGCGCTACGACCGGCGTTACCGTGCGTGTGTGCGCGCGCGCGCGTACCTCCCGAGGGTACGCGTGATAATGTACTTCTTCTTTATTTCCTCCGGCCAATGGGACTCTTCGTACCTTGCCAGGTTGCTGAAGACGAACGCTGCAACGGTAAGGAAGGGGGTGTGGAGGCGGTGGGTGAAGGAGGCAGAGAGAGAATATCGCGGCAGGACAGAAACTCATCATTTGCGTAGTTCTGGAGATCAAGTGACAAAATAAATGAGCAGACAATCTGCCCCCTTCACATACCCATACACAAATATATATTGTTTTACACATCCCGTCAGCGAACACAGCCTTCTGGGAGTGCATAATTTCAGCAGGATCACAGGTAAATGGCTGCACCGGTTTTAACAGTCGGTGTCTCATCAGCGCTGCTGAAATGACGCACTCCCAGAGAGGCCGCGTGACTGATGGGATGCGTAAAAAAAATATTTGCATTCATATCCGGGCAGGGACAGGCATGGGAAGAAGGCAGCGTCTGCTTGGTTTTCATGGCACTCGAGTGCCACTGTTAATGACGACGCTCAGTCAATGAACTCCGTCGCGTGGTGACGTGCGGGCGAGCGGCCTCGCTGGCGATGTGCGCGCTCACTTCGTGGCGCATTACCTCTGTGCGTGGGCAAGGCGATGGAGATCTCCGCGTTGTTCATGAGGACGTGCCTCTGGTTCTTTCCGACCTTCTCGCCGTTGATGTACGTGCCGTTGGAACTGTAGTCCTCCAGGAAAACCTCTTGGTCCTGGCAGAGGCAACGTTGACAATTCACCCCCCGAATTAACACAACGCACTCGGAAATGCAAATCAACAAATATTGGCTGTGGCTGCGAAGCGCAGGTCTCCAGACAACGGCGCTCTTCTACGTGCAGGCCGACATGAAACGCCCTGCGCACAGCGTGCCCCCCCCCCCGGGCGAGAGCACAACGGGGCTGCTGTCTAAGCGTCACTGACTTCCCCTCTGGCAAAGAGAATGGGGGAAAAAATAATCGAGCGACAAAAGCTGCTGAATGGAGTCGGCGAGGACTCACCTCCCCCCCCCCCCTCCCCCCCCGGTGAGGAGCTCACGTTTGGGCTCCCAATTCCAAATGGCTCAAATGCGGAGCCTACACAGACTAAAGAGCGCGAGTCTCGGCAGATGCAACTCTCTCGTGAAATCACGGAGGGGGGCTTCTCCACAACCGACCAATGTGTTTGTCAGGAGAAGCAAACCACATGGATCATCTCCTGAGATGCCCTGCAGCACCCACAATGTCCTACCTCAAGATTTGGCAATGCCGACGCCAGAAGCGGTGGCCTGTGCAGGATAAAGGGGAAAGAGCGTACAGGACGGACAGGATACACGACGAGGTTGACGAAGAAGAAGAAGACGGCTACTCTTGGCATTCCACGCGAAAGAACTCGACACGCGTAACCGGAACCGGCCGAATCTCATGGACATAATATAATTCCACGTCTTGTAATATCCCCGGCCACGATCTAGCCGCTGCTCAATGTCACTGCCCACGTGATCGATCGAATCTGAAGTTAGAAACTGCCGTCCCTGAACTCTCCGATCACGTACTGACCGCTCCCCCTGCACCCTAAGCGTGCGTGAGCGTGTGCGCACCCTGTATATGCGTGCGTGAGTGTGTGCACCCTGTATATGCGTGCGAAGCGTGTGTGCACCCTGTATATGCGTGCGTGAGTGTGTGCACCCTGTATATGCGTGCGAAGCGTGTGTGCACCCTGCATATGCGTGTGTGAGCGTGTGCACCCTGTATATGCGGAAGTGAGCATGTGTGCACCCTGTACAGTGAGGGAAAAAAGTATTTGATTCCCTGCTGATTTTGTACGTTTGCCCACTGACAAAGAAATGATCAGTCTATAAATTTAATGGTAGGTTTATTTGAACAGTGAGAGACAGAATAGCAACAACAAAATCCAGAAAAACGCATGTCAAAATGATATAAATTGATTTGCATTTTAATGAGGGAAATAAGTATTTGACCCCCTCTCAATCAGAAAGATTTCTGGCTCCCAGGTGTCTTTTATACAGGTAACGAGCTGGAATGGGCTGCAAGACCATTGCCAAGCAGCTTGGTGAGAAGGTGACAACAGTTGGTGCGATTATTCCTAAATGGAAAAAACACAAAAGAACTGTCAATCTCCCTCGGCCTGGGGCTCCATGCAAGATCTCACCTCGTGGAGTTGCAATGAACATGAGAACGGTGAGGAATCAGCCCAGAAATACACGGGAGGATCATGTCAATGATCTCAAGGCAGCTGGGACCATAGTCACCAATAAAACAATTGGTAACACACTACGCCGTAAAGGACTGAAATCCTGCAGTGCCCGCAAGGTCCCCCTGCTCAAGAAAGCACATATACATGCCCGTCTGAAGTTTGCCAATGAACATCTAAATGATTCAGAGGACAACTGGGTGAAAGTGTTGTGGTCAGATGAGACCATCTTTGGCATCAACTCAACTCGCCGTGTTTGGAGGAGGAGGAATGCTGCCTATGACCCCAAGAACACCATCCCCACCGTCAAACATGGAGGTGGAAACATTATGCTTTGGGGGTGTTTTTCTGCTAAGGGGACAGGATAACTTCACCGCATCAAAGGGACGATGGACAGGGCCATGTGCCGTCAAATCTTGGGTGAGAACCTCCTTCCCTCAGCCAGGGCATTGAAAATGGGTCGTGGATGGGTATTCCAGCATGACAATGACCCAAAACACACGGCCAAGGCAACAAAGGATTGGCTCAAGAAGAAGCACATTAATGTCCTGGAGTGGCCTAGCCAGTCTCCAGACCTTAATCCCATAGAACATCTGTGGAGGGAGCTGAAGGTTCGAGTTGCCAAACGTCAGCCTCGAAACCTTAATGACTTGGAGAAGATCTGCAAAGAGCAGTGGGACAAAATCCCTCCTGAGATGTGTGCAAACCTGGTGGCCAACTATAAGAAACGTCTGACCTCTGTGATTGCCAACAAGAGTTTTGTCACCAAGTACTAAGTCATGTTTTGCAGAGAGGTCCAATACTTATTTCCCTCATTAAAATGCAAATAAATTTATAACATTTTGACATGCGTTTTTCTGTATTTTGTTGTTGTTATTCTGTCTCTCACTGTTCAAATAAACCTACCATTAAAATTAAAGACTGATAATTTCTTTGTCAGTTGGCAAACGTACAATATCAGCAGGGGATCAAATACTTTTTTCCCTCACTGTATATGCGCGCGTGAGCGTGTGTGAGCGTGTGTGCACCCTGTATATGCGGAAGTGCTTGGAGCTGTAGGCAGAGTAGAGGTCTCCCAGGCAGGCGCGGATGTGCGGATCGTTAAAGCAGACGGAGCACGAGAGGGCCCGTCCAAACAGGTAGTCCTCACACACCAAGTCTAGGCGACAAACACGGAGGTCGTTCACATCATGTAACACACAACACACACAATGCACATGGCACACAACACACACAATGCACGTAACACACAACACACACAATGCACATGGCACACAACACACACACAATGCACGTAACACACAACGCACATAATGCACATGGCACACAACACACACGCAATGCACGTAACACACAACGACATAATGCACATAGCACACAACACACACGCAATGCACGTAACACACAATACACGCAATGCACATAGCACAGAACACACACGCAATGCACGTAACACACAACACACATAATGCACGTAACACACAACACACACGCAATGCACGTAACACACAACACACACGCAATGCACGTAATACACAACACACATAATGCACATAACACACAACACACATGCAATGCACGTAACACACAACACACAATGCACATAGCACAGAACACACGCGCAATGCACGTAACACACAACACACATAATGCACGTAACACACAACACACATAATGCACATGGCACACAACACACACGCAATGCACGTAACACACAACGACATAATGCACGTAACACACAACACACATAATGCACATGGCACACAACACACACGCAATGCACGTAACACACAACACACAATGCACATGGCACACAACACACACGCAATGCATGTAACACACAACACACAATGCACTTGGCACACAACACACGCAATGCAAAAAACACACAACACACGCACTGCACAAAACACAAATCAATGCATGTAACACAACACACACGCAATGCACGTAACACACAACACATCAATGCACGTAACACACAACACACACCCAATGCATGAGCCACACATGCTTGTGGTAAAACATGCAAACAACACGCATGTTTTGGTAATGTACGCATTGTCCTTGAAACTGATTGGCCTTGTCTCACCACCAGAGAACGCCAAAAGGCCGAGCGATTAATGCCTTGATACTTGCACGGCCGGAGTACTGTCCGTCACAGACATGACCAAAGCGTGTTTGATGCCTTTGTCGGTGTCTAGTTGGTGTTTGAACACCTTAACACAACTCCTGTGAAATTTCGATTTCAAGCTTTCGTGACTGCAGGGATTCATATTCTTGGTTCTTTCGGTAAAGTCACCACGTAGAAGGGAAATAATAAAATAATAAATAATACAACAATAAATTCTCACGACGTTTCCATTGCACCACAAGCAAACCACAGCAACAAATTTTGAAAAAAAAAAACGCCACTTCTTTTCAAAATTTCTTGCTGTGGTTTTCACACCTGATGATGATTGCTTGTGTTGTAATCGAAACGTCGTGAGAATTTTATTGGTTTATTTTTATTATTATTTTATTATTTCCCTTCTACGTGGTGACTTTACCGAAAGAACCAAGAATACAACTCCTGTGCTGTATTAATGTTTCTTCTCGTAACTTGCTGACCCGCCCCTACTGGATGTCTACGAAAAAGAGCTTCATAGCTCATCGGATTCCTCATCCTCCTGCAGTCTAAATATTCAGATTCTGATTTACCAACGTGATGGTCATGTGATTGTAATTGTGTGATTGTAGACCGTGTGATTGTAGTCCGTGTGATTGTAGTCCGTGTGATTGTAGTCCGTGTGATTGCAGTCCGTGTGATTGCAGTCCGTGTGATTGCAGTCCGTGTGATTGCAGTCCGTGTGATCGTAGTCCGTGTGATCGTAGTCCGTGTGATCGCAGTCCGTGTGACTGTAGTCCGTGTGATCGCAGTCCGTGTGATCGCAGTCCGTGCGATCGCAGTCCGTGCGATCGCAGTCCGTGCGATCGCAGTCCGTGTGATCGTAACTGTGCGCAGTGAGACCGTGGCGCGTGGACACGCACCCAGCGTGGGGAACGCGCGGTGCGTCGAGTAGAGGCGGCCCCAGGGCTTGGGTGCGGCGGCATCGCCGTCGCCTTCGCTCAGAGAGGGCAGGTCCTGGCTGGGCAGCGTATCCTGCGTGCTCTGGGTGCCCGCGGAGCTGCTGCTGCCCTCCGTGCCCGAGCTGCTGCTGCTGCTGCCCGGCGGCAGACCGCCTCCGCCTCCGCGCGTCGCGTTCTCCGCGCCGTGAGCCGGACCCTCCTCGGGGGCCCGCGTCGCCGCCGCGCCGGGCCTCGCTCGCGCGCCGAGGGCCCCGGCTCCGCCGCCCGGAGGCACCGCGCCGCCGGGCGGCCTGACTTCCCGAGCCCCGAGGGGAGCCGACATCCCTCGGCGGAGGCGAGCGGCCCTCGTGCGCGCGAGGGCCGCGGGTCACCTTCTCTCGCAAACGAGACACGCACGCGTCTCCCGGTGAGCCTGGAGCTATCGACACGGGGCACAGCGACGAGGCTCGGCTCGATACCGGCACCAGGTCTCGGCACAAATCAATTCCTGCCACAGGTCACGCCAATCCCCCGGCCTGTCCGGGTGCAGACTGGGACGGGTGGCGACCCTGGCCTCGGGTGATGTCGGAGAGGGCTGCCCACGGGAAGCAGGGCTCGGGGCAGGGACCCCGGGCTAGGGACCCCGGGCTAGGGACCCCGGGCTAGATACCCCGGGCTAGGGACCCCGGGCTAGGGACCCCGGGCTAGGGACCCCGGCCTAGGGACCCCGGGCTAGGGACCCCGGGCTAGGGACCCCGGCCTAGGGACCCCGGGCTAGGGACCCCGAGGCAGGGACCCCGGGGCAGCAGCAAGAGCTGTGGGTGGGAGCTATGCAGAGGGAGCGGCACAAGGAAGGTAGGGGTGGTATTGCCCCTCCATAAAAACAATATCTCAGACCGAACTACATCAGCAACTGACAGGAACGAGGCCTGTGTAAGCATCTATGGCAACAAGTTAAATCTTTACGTAAAAAAGCACGCAATTTTACAACTCTTACTGTGAATGTGAAGACTAACGCGTGGAACACATCGCGATGGAGCGCACTCCGAGTTAAACGCCGCAGGGCGAGTGAACGCATGGAAGTGTTCGATTCGACTCACGGCCGGCCAAGTCGACGCACGCCCGGGCGGGTCGACTCAGAGCCGGGCGAGTCGACTCTCAAGACCGGGCGGACGGGTCGACTCACGGCCGGGCGGGCGGGTCGACTCACGCCCGGGCGAGTCGACGTACGCCCGGGCGGGTCGACTCAGGGCCGGGCAGGTCGACTCTCACGGCCGGGCGGGTCGACTCAGGGCCGGGAGGGTCGACTCTCAACTCACGGCCCGGCGGGTCGACTCAGGGCCGGGCGGGTCGACTCACGGCCGGGCGGGTCGACTCACGGCCGGACGGGTCGACTTTCACGGCTGGGCGGGTCAACTCACGGCCGGGCGGGTCGACTCACGGCCGGGCGGGTCGACTCTCACGGCCCGGCGGGTCGACTCACGGGCGGGCGGGTCGACTCAGGGCCGGGCGGGTCGACTCTCACGGCCGGGCGGGTCGACTCTCACGACCAGGCGGGTCGACTCACGGGCGGGTGGGTCGACTCAGGGCCGGGCGGGTCGACTCAGGGCCGGGCGGGTCGACTCTCAGGGCTCCTCACGGCTCACCCCGTGCGGAGCCGCCCGCGACTCCGCGCTTCTCTCCCTCAGCGCTCTCCTCCTGGTGCCCCAAGTCGCTGCCGCCGCTGCTGCCGCCGCTGCTGTTGTTGCGTCGCCGTCTCGCGCTTATTGTTGTGGTTGCTTTGTGGTGCTGATTGTTGTTGTTTCGTCGTGGTGGCCGCTGTGGTTGTGCGAAGGTTGTGGTCTCGTCGTGGTGGTTGTTGTTGTGGCTGCTGTGGTTGTGTGGAGGTTGTGGTCTCGTGGTGGTTGTTGTTGTGGCTGCTGCTGCTTCGTGTCGCCCGCGTTCACGCGCAGGCCCCGGACCATGCATGGTGACGTCACCTGTGACGAGATGCGAGTCAAGACGTATCACTCACTCACTCTCACACTCTCACACACTCACTCTCACACTCTCTCACACTCACTCACCCTCACACTCACCCTCTCACACTCACTCACTCAAACTCACTCTCACACACTCACTTTCACACTCACTCACTCTCACACACTCACTCTCACACTCACTCACTCACTCTCTCACACTCACTCGCTCACACTCACTCATTCACACGCTCACACTCGCTCACTCACACTCACTCACTCTCTCAAACTCACTCTCACACACTCACTCTCACCCTCACCTACTCACTTATACTCACTCTCACACTCACTCTCTCTCACTCACTCACACTCTCACACTCACTCACACTCACTCACACTCACTCTCTCACACTCACTCACACTCTCACACTCGCTCACTCACACTCACTCACTCTCTCAAACTCACTCTCACACACTCACTCTCACACTCACTCACTCTCACACACTCACTCTCACACTCACCTACTCACTCACACTCACTCTCACATACTCATTCACACTCACTCACCTACTCACTCACACTCACTCATCTACTCACACTCTCACACTCACCTACTCACACTCTTTGGTTCTATTCGGTAAAGTCACGTAGGTAAAAAATAAAACAACAAAATTCACGACGTTTCGGCCACAACACAAGTGGCCTTCATCAGGTGAAGGGACCGGACTGTCCAGAGGACAGCGTTGGAGTGAACAAAGTCAAGCGCAGGTCGCCTCCTTTAAGCTGTGTGGGTGTAAACAGAAAAAAAAACGCCTTGACAAAGGAATTAGCATAACATGTAAAGCTGTGCAAGCTTGGAGTTAGCATAAAAAATACATTAGCACCACCGTGAGAGTTTGGGATGCCACTAATTGAATAAACATACTGTATCATTAAAAATTACTTTAACGTTTGGTTCGATTTAGAACATCTTTCCAATGGTTGCTTAATTTGAAACCATCTTCTGCCGAAGCTGATCACTGTTACAACGCTGTGGGTGATCACGATATAGTCTTCTCCGATATCAAGGTTCTCTGTAAACCCACGTGTTTCTGTCAGAGATTTGTTCACGAGGCAATTCAGATTTACAAACACAGACACAATTTCAACGAAGAAGATGGTTTCAAATTAAGCAACCATTGGAAAGATGTTCTAAATCGAACCAAACGTTAAAGTAATTTTCAATGGTACAGTATGTTTATTCAATTAGTGGCATCCCAAACTCTCACGGTGGTGCTAATGTCTTTTTTTTATGCTAACTCCAAGCTTGCACAGCTTTACATTTTTAGCTTATTCCTTTGTCAAGGCGTTTTTTTCTGTTTACACCCTCACAGCTTAAAGGAGGCGACCTGCGCTTGACGTTCTTCACTCCAACGCTGTCCTCTGGACAGTTGGGTCCCTTCACCTGATGAAGGCCACTTGTGTTGTGGCCGAAACGTCGTGATTTTTGTTTTGTCTTTTACCTACGTGACTTTACCGAATAGAACCAAAGAGTATGGATCCTTGCAGTCACGAAAGCTTCAAATCTAGCGTATCACTCACTCACACTCTCACACTCACCTACTCACTTACACTCACTCACACTCACCTACTCACTCACACTCTCACAACAACCGCCGTGGCGGTGACATCACCACGACGCTTGTGCCAGGCCATGTGGACCTTGAGGCCACGTGAAGTGTCGAACGGCCGCTGGCAGGAGGTCACGGGGCAGACCCAAGTGCCACGGATCGACTGACTAAGATGACTGAGATGACTGGCTGATGCACCACCTGAGCCCCCTACTGTGCCAACCTGCTGTGCTTTAGCCACCCGGCGCTCTGCTCGTTGTTGTGAGCGTCGCTCATCCGCCCTCCGTTGTTGTTGGAGGGCAACTACCTCCAACTGCCCAGTAGCGTCCTTCACGAGCCTCCTCCACAGAGGCCGATCTTGACACCGCTGGTACCGGTCATCGGCAAGTCCACTCAGCTCCACGTCCTCCTGTACCACATCACTCCATCTCTATTCTCTAGCCCGTGCCGCGCCTATTTAGCCCCCTCGATCCGGCCGAACAAAAGCTGTTTCGGCATACGGTGGCTGGGCATGTGGGCTACATGACCCAGCCAACGCAGCCTTGCCCGCCGGAGGAGCTCACCGATGGGACCTTGCCCAGATCTTTCAAGGATTTGTGAGCTCCTCACACAATCCAGCCTGGTTAAACCCAGGATGGATCGTAGGCAGGCCAGCCTAAATGTTTACAACCGGCGAAGATGTTCCATTAAGGGGGTCCACGTTTCGCAAGCGTAGAGAAGGGAGGGAATGACCGTGGCCGAGAAGACCTGAAGCTTAGTGCGGAGCGACAGACCAGGTAGCTTCCACACAGCGTTACGCAACAAATGAAAAGAGATTGCCGCTCGACTGATTCGGAGTGGGACCTCTGCTGTTAAACTGGAGCCAGTCATAAGCACACTGCCCAGGTATGGGAAACTCTCCACTCTCTCCACAACTGCCCCATCACCGATTGGGAGTTGTGGGGGTGGAGTGTCCGATGGTACAAAATACCCAGACAGGTGCTTAGTTTTGGTGGGGCTGATGGTAAGGCTCCATCTCTTAGTGGCACGCTCCAGTCTCAGCAGCAGCGTCTCCAACTCCTCTGAATGAGCAGCTATTACCAAATCATCGGCATACATAACGTGGTTTAGCAATAGGGAGCCATCCCTTGACCGCACCCGGGCATTGATCAGCCTCCCATTATATCTGTACCAAATGGAGATACCCTCGGTACAGCTATTGAAGGCTTCACGAACTACGTGGTCAAGATAGATGTTAAATAATGTGGGAGCCAGAGGACATCCCTGTCGCACCCCAAGGTGGACAGGGAATGGCTCTGACTCCCGGCCACGTAGTTTTACCCAGGCCCGCTCACCATCATGAAGGTCCTTAATGATCATGAGCAGAGGGTCAGGGACTCCAAAAGCACGAAGAACAACCCAGAGCCCAGGCCTACTCACTCACCCACTCACTCACACTCACCTACTCACGCTCACTCACTCACACTCACTCACCTACTCACACACTCACACTCCCTCACTCTCACACACTCACACTCTCACACCCACTCACCTACTCACTCACACTCACTCACACTCACCCACTCACTCACACTGACTAACTCACTCACACACTCACTCACCCACTCACCTACTCACTCACACTCACACACTCACTTACTCACACTCACACTCACTCACTCACACTCAACAACAACAACCGCCATTCGCCACTAAGTGGCGGTGACGTCACCACGACGCTTGTGCCAGGCTATGTGCACCCTGAGGCCACGTGAAGTGTCGAACGCCCGCTGGCAGGAGGTCACGGGGCAGACCCAGGTGCCACGGGTCGACTGACTGAGATGACTGGCTGATGCACCACCTGTGCCCCCTACTGTGCCAACCTGCTGTGCTTTAGCCACCCGGCGCTCCGCTCGCTGTTGTGAGCGTCGCTCCTCCGCCCTCCGTTGTTGTTGGAGGGCGACTGCCTCCAACTGCCCAGTAGCATCCTTCACGAGCCTCCTCCACAGAGGCCGATCTTGACACCGCTGGTACCAGTCATCGGCAAGTCCACTCAGCTCCACGTCCTCCTGTACCACATCACTCCATCTCTTCTCTAGCCCGTGCCGCGCCCGCTTAGCCCCCTCAATCCGGCCAAACAAAAGCTGTTTCGGCATGCGGTGGCTGGGCATGCGGGCTACATGACCCAGCCATCGCAGCCTTGCCTGCCGGAGGAGCTCACCGATGGGACCCTGCCCAGATCTTTCAAGGATTTGTGAGCTCCTCACACAATCCAGTCTGGTTAAACCCAGGATGGATCGTAGGCAGGTCAGCCTAAATGTTTCTAACCGGCGAAGATGTTCCATTAGGGGGGTCCACGTTTCGCAAGCGTAGAGAAGGGAGGGAATGACCGTGGCCGAGAAGACCTGAAGCTTAGTGCGGAGCGACAGACCAGGTAGCTTCCACACAGCGTTACGCAACCGATGAAAAGATATTGCCGCTCGACTGATTCGGAGTGAGACCTCTGCTGTTAAACTGGTGCCAGTCATAAGCACACTGCCCAGGTATGGGAAACTCTCCACTCTCTCCACAACTGCCCCATCACCGATTGGGAGTTGTGGGGGTGGAGTGTCCGATGGTACAAAATACCCAGGCAGGTGCTTGGTTTTGGTGGGGCTGATGGTAAGGCCCCACCTCTTAGTGGCACGCTCCAGTCTCAGCAGCAGCGTCTCCAACTCCTCCTCTGACTGAGCAGCTATTACCAAGTCATCAGCATACATAACGTGGTTGAGCAATAGGGAGCCATCCCTTGACCGCACCCGGGCATCGATTAGCCTCCCATTATATCTGTACCATATGGAGATTCCCCCGGTACAGCTATTGAAGGCTTCACGAACTACGTGGTCAAAATAGATGTTAAATAATGTGGGAGCCAGAGGACATCCCTGTCGCACCCCAAGGTGTACAGGGAATGGCTCTGACTCCCGGCCACGTAGTTTTACCCGGGCCCGCTCACCATCATGAAGGTCCTTAATGATCGTGAGCAGAGGGTCAGGTACTCCAAAAGCACGAAGAACGACCCAGAGCCCAGGCCTACTGATGGTATCATAGGCCTTGACCAGGTCAATAAAGCAGAGATGTAGGTCTTGTTGGAATTCCCTACACCTCTGCTGTAGCAGACGGACAGAAAATATGGCATCTGTGCAGGACCGCCCTTTCCTGAAACCGCATTGGGGCTCCGCAAGCCTCTCCTCAGCGTGCCTGGCAAGGCGATGCTGAATAATCCTTGCCAGGACCTTTCCCGGCACACTGAGGAGTGAGATGCCCCTGTAGTTGTTACAGTCTGTGCGGTCCCCCTTCTTAAAAAGGGGGACCACCAGGGCATCCTTCCAATCCTGCGGAACCCGTCCAGTGGTCCAGACTGTTGTTATGATGTCATATAGGGCAGTCTGTGC